GGTGCTGAGGCTGGAGGATGGGGTCGAGTCCATCGTCCGGAGGAGGGTTTGGGCCGTGCTGGCTGAGAGGTGTGCTGATGAGATGGGCATGGGGATGGGAGAAGAGAGCGGGCGGGGGAAGGAGGGGTGGGAGGTTGCGTTGGATAAGTGGAGGGAGAGGCGGGTGGGGAGAAGTGGATAGGAGGATGGACCGACGGAGCGGACGGTTACATTTAGTCAGTATTGCCGGTAAGAAGCGCGCTGTCTCGACGATGATGGAAGAAGAAAAGAAAGAAAGAAGTGGAATCTGCCAAGTTGCAGGGCTCGAAATGATCGATATACTATAGATGCCCAATCAACTAATTCTCTGCCAACCATATCCCGACCTATATTCGTCAATATGCAACATCTAGATTGTGTGGCATGGTGCAGACATGTCGCGGTTTTATGGTATGGCCGAGTCGTCTCTGATTTGGGCCGTCTCGGAAACACATGGTAGATCTGGCTGTGAGTATGGGGAGATTCCAAGGGTGGATTTACGTGTGATGGATGCCTTCGTTCCTCCGGGCGAATAGAGAATTCACCCTCTCCACACGCCCACAGACATTCTCCTCATCTGGAGATGCCTCATCATAAGATCCTTGCTCGAGAGAGAGAGAGAGCGAGAACAAGGGGACGCTTACTCGGCAGCTTCATCTCCGATCACCCAAGCCCCGCCTCTCGATCCTAGATGTCTCTCTCTCTTTTTTCTCCCCCCTAGCTCCTGAAGATATGGCTCGCACGAGGCAAGTGCCAACTCGATGCATGATATCCACACGGAAAAAAAAGCGCTCATTCTCATCTTCTCCAGTAACGCCAACGCTCCATGGATGCCGGGTAAATGTATCAATCCATCGTGTCCAACAAACCAAAAATAACCCGAAAATATCGTGCAAAACACAGATGCAATCCCGAGACAATAGCGGCTGATTTCCCCCGAGTTCCGCAGATGCTGAGGGGAAAAGCAAACAAAAAAAAGAGACCAGCACCCTCGTCGAACGGGATGTAAGTGGTCAAAATTCTCCTAACCGTACGTTCGGCAAGCTATATCTCGACCGCTCGGGCAAATGGGGCAGCACAACACCCATCCAGACATCCAGTTCGGTCAAGCGTGGCGGAGGAGAGGAGGTTTGCTCGTCGTTCACGGTTGCGAGCTTTGGTGAAGACGTCGATACTTGGTACGAGTGGAACTTGCTAGGGGCTTGCGAGTCCACCAGCACGGCGAGAGGCGGTCGTGTGAGCGGGGAGGCTCGGCGCGGAATGAGAGAACTCTGTGTGGGAGATAGTGAGGGAGGGGATGATGGGTAGGGAAGGAGGGAGGGGGATCGGGAGGAGAGATAGTAAAAATTCGACGTCGCTTCCGTTTCTTGTTCTGAGCCTTCTTCGTCATCTCCGTCATCTTCGTCTTCAGCTGCTTTGGTCTGCTCTGTCCCATCTGGACTGATGATTATGTCGGGTGGCTGCTTCCTTTCCGGCGTGATAGACCCGCCTTCTCCTACCACCTCTTCATCTTCAGCTCTGTCCGAATCTTTCGCAAGCATTGAAGGACGACGAATCGTACACAACGGGCGTCTGTTGCCGCTCTCCGTCCCGGGTCTAACCTTGCCCTCCATTACAGCTCGACTCGGTGGTGGTTGCATCATCCATGCCACTTCTCGCTGCGTGCGTGGAAGCTGGCTCACGGTAGGCGGGTGCAATTCGTTGACTCCAGGGTTTCTTGCATATAGCCAACTATGGTCGTCTGACGCTGTGGTGGCAGCCCTCCTACGACCGGTCGTCGGTGGTGGGTCTCGATCTGTCGACGCTTGCCGGCCATGTTGTGTGGCACGATCCCACATTCGAGAGATTTTGTCGTTGATTCCAAAAAGTGTCTCGTCCTCGCGCTCGTACCGTTTCCAGTTCCAGTTGTCGGGTCGCGCGATGGTAGACTTGATCGTGTCTCTGAGGGCGTCTAATGTAGATGTTGCGCCTGCTAGCGATGCTCGACGAGATAGTCGCGTAGCCTGCGGTTCCATCATTTGCGGAGCTGCGTCGGAGGAAGAACTAGCAGGAGGACTGGTTTCGTCGGTTGGAACTTGGCACACAGGTGCGAAGACACTTTTCTTGGGCTTCTTTCCCTTCTTTTTGGCACTTCCCGCTCTCTTTGTCCGGTCATCAAGGCTGTGCTTCCTCCATCCCCGGGGTGGGCCTGGCCCTGCTTCTATCTCTTCTGCCCAATACTGGTTGGTTTGAAATGGGACTGGTTGAAGTATCATCCCCGGTTGTGACAATCCAAGTTCGGCCCGTTCTTTCTGGCATCGATTTGCCTCTTTTCGCCTCTTCCGTTTGTGATTGTGCTCAAGACATGGCGACAGAGAAACATAATAAAATATGGCTGATTGAGTACCGCGCCAGAACCACATACTTCAAACAACGGTACAGCTTCACTCAGATTTCGTGGAATAGTTGTAAGTGAAAGTTGTAAAGTGAAAGATATCACTCAGGAGTGTGTTCCAATGAAGGCCTCAGCACCACAGGGCCACGCGGTGGGAGAACTCGAGGAGAATGGAAATAGGCAACACTGCACCACTGCACCACTGCACCAGTAGAGGAAACAGCAACCTCAGCTCACGGAAGAAAATTGTAGGACAGGATGGTATTTGGAGGTAGGCCGAATGTCGAGAGATCACGATGAAATCTCAGGGCCATTAGAAGACCTCCCAGTTGTAGAAACTTTCTCTTGATTCATATCAAACCTTAACAAGGAAGCTATCTTGTAGCAGGCCAATTGACAGTTGTCTCCCTCCGCAACAGAGCACACGTCTCGACACGGGTGCAGAGAGTCTTGGTGAGGATTACTACGTAGTACGTTTGCGATTCAAGTTGTGGAACACGGAAGGGAACGAGGGAGGGACCGGACGATGCAGGGACGGTCCTCCGGTCCTGGACAGAGCTTGGGAGGGTTCGAACTACACTTGTAACCACTACTACGTAGGTACAGTACAGTACTAGTAGTCGAGATGCTGGTGTGTTGCCTCTTCTGGTTTAGCCTCGCCAGATCGGGGAACGCGGCCCCTCTCCGCTTGGCCCGGGCATACTACAGTACGGGGGGGCCTGAAGTAACGTTAGCTCAGGGCTAGTATCTTTACTTGTAAGCCCTCTCTCTGTACAAAACAATTATGCCTAAAAAGGTTAAATGTAATGATATGACTTATTAGAATGATAAGTACATACAGAACAAGCTTTGCAGTGACGAATCATAACATGATTTCTGCGTAATGAGAACTAGTTGCTCTTAGCACCAGACTAACATTACTTCAGGCCACCCCGTAGTATACTCGTAGAGCCCGCAGCCCTTTTTCCTTGTGTCTTCTAACATACCCTGCTAGGAAGTGCACCACGCTCAGAAGTGCACCACGCTCAGAAGTGCACCACGCTCAGAAGTGCACCACGCTCAGAAGTGCACCACATTGCCTAGCATTTTGAATTTTAAGCCATACCTAGCTGATTATGAAAGTTATATATAGTCTTATTAAAAGGCTTTTAATTTGATAAGGTGTAAGTATAGTACGTTGAAGGGAGCAGTTTCTGGCGATCGGAGAGTGGGGGCCCAGAAAAGGGAAGAAGGGGGTTTGAGTTTTTCTGAAGTTGACAAAAAAAGTGGTAACTTAGCACGTCACATGACTCGTGCTGCAACAGACGTCGAAATCAGCGTCGAAAACTGCCTAAAACAGCGTCCTATGTCCTGGAATCTACTACGTTGTGAGGTAAGAGCTTAATATCAAGGCGCTCTATCTTTTATGTAAAATCTATAATTACATTATTATCATTATCATTACCATCACCATCATCATCATCCTTCCCCCCTTCTCTTTTCCTTCTCGTATTCACCTACTGTGTTCCCCCCTTTTTCTGCTTCTCCTTTTCTTGCTTTCCTCCCTCTGCCTCTTCCATTTCCCCTATTCGCTTTTCCGCCCTCGGTATGGTTCACTGGTTGCAAAATCCGTAGTGTCGCTACCGTCCAACCAACGCTAGCGATATCAGGTACTGCACGTATGGGCGCTATGCTAATTGCCCAAGACCAGGGCAGCCAACTCAATTCCATGGAGCTGGCTCACGGAGGAAGATGTTTTCAGGTCCCGAACAATTGATCTTCCCATTGGTTGTGATACTGCGCTATTGGCACCCTAGTATGGTATTGTGGCGCTGGGTCTCTAACGCTGGATGTATTTCTTTTGCTCCTGCATGTATCATTCAATTCTCTTGATGGATTTGTAATTGGCAAGAGGCTCGGCGGAATAAATCTTGAAGCCTAGCGGCTTCAACGGTCTGGTTGTACGCCCGGTCGGCGTTGACCCGTGGCGAACCTGATCGTATCATTGAAGGCCGATCCATCGGTGAATGTTGGTTCGATGTGTGGATCTGTCATGCTGGCAATGGCGTGCTCCGGGGACATTCTCGTGTCCACCAATGTTGGGGATTGGGTTCCATCCTGCTTAGCAATATACACGATTCGCGCTTCGCCAAATGTCGAAACCAGCGCCAAAGTGCATCATGAGAGAAGGATCGAAGGGTGGGCGGGCCTACAAGGCTGACGACGACGCTCAGAGGATGGGAGATGAGGAGCTCTAAGGAGGTGGTGTTGCGGGGCGGCAGGAGCATGAGGGGCGGAAAGACTCTGGAGAGTAAAAAGAGCCTGGAGACTGGATACAGTCAGGGGTGTGGAAAACGCCGGGAGAATTTAAAAAGCCTGGAGAGTGGATACAGTATGGGTATTGGAAACAGCCTGAGGAGTGGAAGTAGCCCGAGGAGTGGGGACTGCCCGCGGTGGTTCGATTGTGTAATTCGTGTTGCGCCCCATTCAGTTCTCGCGCCCTATCCAGTTCTTGCGCCCCATCCAGTTCTCGATGGAGAGGCCCAACAGGTGAAATCGGAGGTAGCAATGTGTGCCTGGCAACACTGCCGGATCTATTGGAGTTCGCTCCCTCGTCATCCAGGAGCAGATTATGGTTTCGAAGATTTCGAAATCGCTGGCCAGCGTCGCGATTACGCTCAAGGAATTTGCTGAGGCTGAGTTCGCGATGCTCTTTGATGTATGAAAGAAGGGCTCGCTCAGTGGGATCCAAACTATCCTGAATGCTTGTGGGCTCGGCTGCTTGGCTGTTGCGTTTGCGTTTGACGCTGGATAACATCCTCCATAACACAGGTCTGTGAATCCTATTGCCCGGGGTGGTAACTCTAGGTCTGGGCGACTGTGCATCCCGCTCGAGAAAACTCTCAAACATTCGAAGCAGACCGACAATGCCAAGTGGACGTAAAGTTCTGATGTTTGCCTCCTGGTCAGACGTTATGATAATACCCTCTTCTTCGAAACATTTGAGTAATCGATTGAAAACCTGTCGATTCGTGTTTGACAATTCACCGCATCTGTTTCTGACGAAGTTATATGTTGATGAGAATTGATCAGTATAGTCTCTTTCGCCTGTATCACATTAGATGATTTTGTGTACTCTTTAGGAGCTCGTACCAACTATTTGGGCAATTTGAATCTCTTGAGAAGATGAACCATTCAAACGCGGTTGAATACCCAAGCTAGGTACGTCCATGGAAGCAAGTGCAAATACATCCTCCCAACCGAACACCAGTGCGATCAATGCCCAAGTGTCAGAATAGCCGCCAGATTTGAAGTCTGTTGCCCAATAGCGGTCTCGAATCTCATCCGCAAACCCCTGAAACCAGTTGGGACGGCATTGGTACTCCCATAAGGCCTTGGACAGCAGATACAGAGCCACGAACGGGTCGGTATTCAGGAGCGGAGTGAACTCCTGATTTGTCCATGTTTTAAGTATGGTCTTAAGCGTGGAACAATCATATTCGCGGTGAGAATAATCCAAATGAATGTGATGCTGGCCGGCGTTTAATTGGTTCCCTAGTACCCTTGAGTGGTTGATAATCAGATCGTGCTGTCCATTGAAAACGTATGGGCCGTGGTCGCCATGTAGAGGGCAGACAATGGTAATGCTGCAATTCTGATGCGCGCCGTTGGAGGCCAACGTTCGAGGGCTGCCAGTAGCCATGGTCCTTTACTCCTTCGGTCCTAAACACGCCGAAATCTGCCTGGTAAACCCTTGTCAAGGCGATTTTGCACTCGCTTCAAGGTAGAATTACGTATCGGACATGCACAATGTCGCTATCATGCAAGAGAGAGTTGACTTGCTTAGTATCTTCTCATGGCTGGCCAGGAGCAAATAATTCATCGAAATTGCATCCAGGCCCCCAGTGAGGCTCATCATCCTACTAAACTCGCAGCGCTCCCACGGCTCCACTCATGAGTGGCACACAGATTACTCAAGTGGCCGTGATTGGAGGCAAAAAGAAAGCGAACATGGCAGCCTGATGCCCTGGCCAGTCAGGAGAGCCAGAAAGACCAAATGGGGACAGTCAGGCCATACGACCAGAATCTCTTGCCGCTGTTCTACCAGCCAGTAGGGATCGAGATTACTGATGGTAATAATCATTCCTTCGTAATACACGATTTCAACGGTCAAATTTTGGATAAATTACAATATCATAACTGACACTAGACCTAAAATAGATAACGCTAAGCCTAATTAGATCTTAAAGCCTCTCAAGATTTTCATCAAAGAGTCTGAAATCAATCATCCGCCAGTCAGTAAGGGGTACATCAATTACCATAGTAAGTGTGATTCGACACCCACAGCGCTGTCCTTTTGGCAGAGTAGTTGATGTATCCCTTTTCTGGCAGCGCTAATGCTACAGGAAATTCTGCCTTGCCTGGGTTCAATCCCTATATTTGTCTTGAATTATTTGTCTATTTAGTACTCTACTACTGCTGAATTAGAAACTCTGATCTGTACGCTAAATTGTCTCTGAATTATCTCAAGTCGGCCGAGGTGGCCTCTTGTTGGTCAGTGTATTCAGTGAGGAGTACATCAATTAAGTGTGGTTCGAAATCCATCGGCGCTGTCCTTTTGGTGGAGTGGTTGACGTGTCTCTTTTCTCCGCCCAGACTCAAAGTTCATCAAAATCAACAAAAATCTATCCAAAATCTTGAGATTTAGCTGTAGAATATCATGTAAGTAATTCGAAATTTACGTGGATTTACGACTCGCGAAGCTTATATTACAAACATACGAAAACGTACCTCAACCCCTGCCAGCCAGACCTCAATTTGAGCAGTGGGCACAACGGTTCTGCAAGCCACCCTCCATTTCACCACGCGGCTGCACACTAACCCAAGGCTGGAGACATCTACAAGGCTTGAGGGGCCCGCAATGTATTGGAACGCGAATCTTTCCATTACAAAACTTGAACCAGAGGACTGCCTGCGTTTTGCGACTCCCTTCGCTTTAAACACCCTTCGCACTTCCGAGTCTTGCTTTCAACTACCTTTCGTAGCCATTCGGCTACATTGTTCGGAATGAGTGAACCAACTTATATTCTTAGCACCGTACCGCCATACTCCAGCGGACAAAATGCTACGATTCCCCAGATTGCAGCAGCTCCCTACAGATATTTCCAGGTACGATGACCACATCGTTGTCGCATTCCTTTCCAACGCTCGAAGCTTACACCCGTCCAGGGCGCCGACCTCGCCTGGATGATGATGTCCAGTGCCCTTGTTCTTCTGATGATACCGGGAATCGCTCTCTTCTATTCAGGCGTCTCCAAAAGCCGGTTTGCACTCTCACAGGCCTGGCTGCCCATCATGAGTACCGCCATAGTGGGACTTGAGGTTAGTCATCGACGGAAGGACCAAGCGGCGCATCCACACTAAATACAGTTGCTAGTGGTATCTCTGGGGCTATTCGATCGCCTTCTCAAACTCGCCTTCCTCCCGCGTCTTCTGGGGAAGCACAGATGGCATCGCCCTCCACAACGTACTTTTCCGTCCAGTACGCTCAAGTGGGGATCTGCAAACCGAGAGTCCCGTGATTCCAGAACTGGTCTATGCCCTTTTCCAGGGCATGTTCGCATGCTTTACGTAAGTATCGAGCTCTCCGACAGAAGTTTTGCACTCGTAGGACGTTAACCACTTTTTTGTGCCGGTAGAGCGTCTTTGGTCAGCGGTGCGGCAATCTGCAAAGATCGTCCCGGCCATTTTCTGGTCTTTATCCTCCTTTGGACCACATTCGTTTACAATCCGATTGCGCGATGGACATGGAACCCTGAAGGATGGTCGCACAGGATAGGCGCCCTTGACTTTGCTGGAGGTACAGCAGTGCATATTTGCGCCGGCGCGACCGTGCTTGCACATTCGGTATATCACCGTTGCCTTCCCAAGGTAGAGGAGTTTTTAGAGCGAATCCTCGGCGGACCCAGAGATCCGGCAGGGCCGCCAACGAACAGTTCGAATAGTGTCTCTGCGGACCGGACATTAGGCTCCGCACATCCCCGTGAAGCAGATCAACCGGGACAGGACCCCTCACACAACGTGGAAAACGTTTTACTTGGTACTCTCCTACTCTGGATTGGTTGGTTTGGCTTCAACGGCGGTTCTGCCCTAGGGGCCAACCTCAGAGCAGTCTCCGCATGTGTTTCAACTCATCTCTCCGCTTGCGCTGGGGGTGTTACTCTATGCATCCTACAGTTACTCCGGGGACCCGTCGCGCCTGGCCGTGCCAGAGACCGTACCGAGGATGCCAGCGTTTTCATGTGGTCAATAGTCGAGTTCTGTAATGGCGCAGTCGTTGGTCTGATTTGTATTACTCCAGCTGCTGGCTACGTTCCGCATCAAATCTCCCCAGTTTTCGGTATCATTGGCGCTTTGATCTGCTCGCATATGACGTTCGTCAGCGTAAAGCTTGGTGATACCCATGGGATTATCGTTTACCACGGTGTCGGAGGTTTGATAGGCATGTTCCTGACCGGCTGCTTCGCGAGAAAGAACGTCGCGCATCTTGATGGGTTCACCAATATCAATGGTGGCGGATGGGATGGGCACTGGATAACACTGGGGTATGTGGTGATTGAATTCACGATCCACCTTACCCTCACTTCATATGCTAAAACTACAATAGTTGGCAAATAGCCGATGCTCTTGCTGGTATGGGGTGGGCCTTTACCATTACTCTTGTCATTCTTCTTCTGCTCGAACCTTTTATGTATCTCTCGAGGAGCAAGCGAGCTCGCTATCCAATAGTGCAAGGGGACAAGCTTACGGATGAGTGGACCATACAGGAGGCAGTGGAAATGTCTGAAGTTCCCTCAAGGCGGACTCTTCCCCGCTAACGTACAGAACCACTCGGCGAGACATTTTCGCGCACCACGCGCCCAGGCACCTTCCTATATCAAATACCCAGTCCTCCACTAATAGAGCTCGTAGAGATGTCGAACAAGGATCATGCCATTCAGAGAGCCTTAATGACGTTAATTCAAGTGTATTTAATTCAATTCGTAAAGCTGCAAGCATAACGTTCCGAATTCAATTGTGGCCCATTAATGCGCAGGGTGAATCCTAGTCGCAAAATTTAATCACATCTTACAACGTTTATCAAAATAAGAAGGAAAATTGTTTATTTAATATCTTCAAGATCTGTTGCAGCAGGGGATTAGTCGTACGAGGACAGCGAGGAGAAGAAGTGTATGCAGTTTCTGGCGATCAGAAACTAGGGGGCCTTCGGGCCCAGAAAAGGGAAGGAGAGAGGTTTAAGTTTTCAAAGAGTATCGGTAGCATGTCACATGACTCGTGGTGCAACAGACGTCGAAAGCAGCGTCCTATGTCACAGAATCTAGAGTAGTAAGGTAGTACGGAGTACAAGATCATCCTATACCGGTACCACATAGCCCAAGCCACTTTTGGTGATGGGGAGAAGTACCATTTATGTATTGTTCTCTATCTACTCCGTCCTAAAGCACTGTGAGCATGGTCGACCTTCTAATATGGTAACGAACTATGTCTCTCTCCAGTCAAGGAAGTGTCAGACACCGCGCGAAAGCCAGAGCGTGTCGTCTTTGCCCGCGATACCACACTTTGCCGGTCCACCAACATGCTCCAGTCCGCTCAGTGGGCCAACCACCATTTGCTTTTCTCTGAAGAGTCATCCTCTTACATGTCCATGATGGTTGATAACAGCCAGCGTCCTCAGCCTCTGCAATACAGATCCGACTCCAATTTCTAGCCACCCTGTGTTCAAGTGAGCGAGTCTGTCATCTTGCCCCATATTTGCTCGGCTGAAACCCAGCAGACCCTATGTCAATGTGACTTGGAAAGTGTAGGTTGGATCACTGAGCCCTGCCATGACTCTTTGTTTTGCCATCAGGCGGCCTTTCCCACACCAGGCTGGCTTTAGGAGATCTATATGTATTGTCTCAATGACCGCTTTGCTCACTCCCAATTCCTCATAGCAGGCAATTTCATCCATGAACCGCTTCGCGCAAGCTTCCGTACAGAACTGCGAGACTGCGCGTCGCATTGCAAACAAAGGTGCCAACTCTGATCGTACCTGGTGATGAATCTTGAGAAGATCGAGCTCATCGCACCTGGAACACAATGTTACAGCTTGACCCTTGCGACGGCGAGGTTGCCCTTCGCACATCACCCTGGGGTCCTCGTTGTGCGGCAAGAGCAGCTTCCAGATCTCTAGACGCATCTCCGCTGGCAGATTCAGCAATGGAGATTCCGAGCCCTTATAGCCTTTATTTAACCGAGGCGTGGTTCTGCTCTTCGGAGAATCTTTTTTGAGTAGTGTATATGACCGTTTCTGGCGCACACCAATCCTATCTACGACGTGAGTACGGAGAATATGGAGCGTATAGGGCAAATCGACGCTTACCGACGAGGGCCTTTCCCCCTCCAATCAGCTACTTTCTTGTATTTTGTTCGGCGAGCCCAGCATCCACGGAGCTGAATAGGATCCCCTCCATTCCCTGAGTCTGTGACAGAGGTTATACCACGATTAGGCGCTGTGGCTTCCACATCAGATCTAGGTTGAAGAGCTGAAAATATTGTTGAAGCTCCTCCTGCTGGCGGTTCGACAAGGCTGGAAACTGATAGGGAGGGACCCTTTGCTTCTTGGTTTGTACGGGTCATAGTATGCTTGTCGACTCTATGTGGACGAGTAGAGTTCAACACTTGGAGGTCTGAAAGGGTACCGACTTTTCTCAGGATCAGAATGTAATATCCAAGATTCAGAAGTTAAGCGTCATATAGTACTGTTATATGAGGTTGATTCAAGATTCCAGGCAGCAAACATCGTGACTCAGATTCTACCCCTCTTCCGCTACACGCCACATATTCAGGGGCTCTTCTTGGCATACGCGCCTAGGAAGATAGGTGCCAGTGAACTTGTGGACATGGACCGACTAAGACGAGAGCACTTGTTTACGTACACTCCTTAGGCTATATCCTCATTCAGACTCCACAGCATCCCCACTCTCCAGTATCAGCGTGTCAGCACCATACTCGGGAGGCCGCTGTCCGGGTTGAACTTCAGCAGCTTCTGGTCCGGGGTCTGATTCGTCCGAACGAGCTTCCGTTACTACTGCTTTCCGGTCATCTTCTGTTTCAATCTCTCGTACAATTGAAGGTCCATCCTCGGGCTCCTCGTCTGTTTCAAGACACGCTTTCCCATCGCCAAAATGTGCTTCCGCATCTGCTACCTGTTCTTCTGCCACAGGAGGCTTCTCTATTGCGTCTGGATTATAGTCAGAGCTTGTATCCGACCTCGCCTCGAAGCCTTCATCAAGGGGATGATCCATCGCTGGCTCATCCCATGGCCTGCGAGATGCCATCATCCATAAGTCCCAGTTCGTCTTCGCCAAGGGGGCGTCGTGCGAATCCGAACAGGTAGCACTCCTCAGAGAAGCGGCATCTTTGTGTCCGATGCGCCTTTGCTGGAAACACTTCAGAAATTTTGCGTTGTATTGCCACTGTCCATGCTTGGAATTGTAGATCTCGTCACCAGTCGGCTGCTCACCACAAAAGCGATAATAATTGAGAATGTCGAGATTCCTCACAAACTGCTGCATATCGGCATCTGGATCATCTTCGACGGCTGCATCGCCCCGCAGTTCTCTTCTAGACATGAGCATTTGCCTGCGCCTGTTGCTTTCGTATTCCTCCCAATCTGCCAGCTGCGAGCTGAATTCTCGCTCCCGGGCATCCATCATCTTCTGATCAAATGCTATCCTGGACTCCATGCTCGCACGACCCCTTGGAATAGGCTTATCGCACCATAAACAGATTTTACGCCTGTCTTTATCATCCTCGAGGATATTCCCACAATTCTGACCATGGCAGACCCTTGTGCCGTCCGCTCTAGCATCCATGTTCTGCTTCTCTTTGCATTCGTTGCACACCCAGCCATCTTTACTTGTACATATGCAGAAAACCCTAGCCTGGGCCGCTGATCTGTGAGAATATTCATCCACTGCACCTGCTCTTCCACTGTACCGTCTTTGCTTCTGGACATTGCTCGAATCCCAACAGCGCTTACACATGAAGCGACACCTGTTCTTGAAGGTATTCTCGTTCTTGCCAAATGAATGCTTAACGACACAGCTCTCGCAAATGGGCATAGAGCAGTATCGGCAGGAGCCTGTCTTGTCTCCTTTGGTATGTGTGCGCGATGAGCAAGTGAATGGAGCTGATCGTTTCAGACCTTCCCAATACGGCGTTCGATGGGAGCCGATGTATAACACTTTCCGAGGACGAGAGATTTGCGTCGCGTCTTCTGATGGCGGACCAATTCCAGAAGGGCTATCTGATTGAGCCTCTGCGATCCTTGATGTGTCAAAGCCATGAAGAATTCCACGTAGTGAGGTGGAGGATCTCGCGAGGTTTATCAGGCTCCCGGCTGGGAGGTGTTGAGCAAGGTTGCTAGCCACAGGCCAATGGCGCACAACATCCAGGAGCGTGGGCGAGTTCGCTGAAATCTCGCTCATGGGGATAGCACAGGTAAGTATTCCAGGCGACCGAAGAATGACCCAGAGAAATGTAGAGATCGATCAAGCAAATGATATTAGTTGAGGTTTATGGCAGCGTATAATGTCCTTTTTGAGGAAATCATTTTCGTTCACAAGGCAACATCTTCCAGCATATAAGCCGAAGGTATTCTACGAAGTTGAAGCTGTACAACGATATGTTGTTTAAGAAGTTTGGCAGACATGCATCGGGTGTCAGCCAAATAACGAATACTGGAAGTTGACCCCAAAGTGGAGCCTTGGGGATTCAGCCCCACAAGACGCCAAAGTTTTAGTCTCTACTACGAGGGGGCCTGAATTAATTCTAGTCTGGCGCTAAGAGCAGCTAGCTCTTATTACGACAGTCTAGTGTTATGATTCGTCACTTGAAAGCTTGTTCTGTGTGCATCCACGATTCTGATGAGTTATATCATTACATCTAATTCTTTAGGCATAGCTGTTCTGTACAGATAGGGTTTACAGGTGAAGATACTAGCGCTGAGCTAGCATTACCTCAGGCCCCCAGTAGTAATACTGTGTACATACGGAGTAGTACTACGGGAGGGGCCTGAAGTATTGTTAGTCTGGTGCTAAGAGCAGCTAGTTCTTATTACAGCGACATAGTGTCATGATTCGTCAATATAAAGCTTGTTCTGTGTGCATCCATTCTAATGAGTCAAATCATTACATCTAACTTCTTTTGAGCATAGCGGCTCTGTACAGAGAGAGTTTACAAGAAAAGATACTAGCGCTGAGCTGACAATACTTCAGGCCCCCCCGTAGTACGAGGTGCCGCCCAGAAGTAATGAGATACTGCATTGGGATTAGTTTGATACAAGCTTCTCGTACTACATATTACGCTATCTCATGTATTAGTACACCAGAATCCTTAGTGTTTTGGTATTAATTACGTCTTTTATACACCACTCAAATTGTATATTTCTCATCCACGAAAGTTGTTATTACCCTCACGCTGCACACAGAGCTCCAAACGATCTATAAATATGTACAGAGATAGCTATAGCAACGAGAGAGAGCAAATTCAGCTCCAAACGAGAGACTCTACGGCCTCTGATTGGTCGAATACCCTGGTCTACACGCTATACCCTCTAGGGCGAAATCTCATTACTTCTGGGCGGCACCTCGTAGATTGAAAGCTAAGCCCTGCCAACCATGGCTCAGTACGCTAGTAATTTAGAAGGACGACAGGACAGTGGTAAAAACTACTTTGATTCGTACCTGATCATACAAAGTCAAGATTTTCTGGATATCGCCTGTTGTATTACCGGAGACGGACTGCTACAGCCAGCCTTTCGTGCAGCGGATCACTTTATCTTGACATCGTCAACCGAGCTTGGGACAGCTGGTAATGTCTCTACAGGCATACATCAATAGTAAGCCCACTACTCAAATGCTTGCCAATGCATTAGGTGCTAATGATCATGACCACAAGAAAAGGTCCTGGTAATCACAGCCGATGGTCGCACACTTGTTGGAGATCTCTTGTCCTGTGACCAGCTCACGAATATCGTTCTGAACAATACCACCGAAAGAATTATCCGACCTCGTGAGGATCCAGAGCCGAGCTCCGAGGTTCCACATGGCTTATATCTGGTGCGTGGAGACAATATCACAATATGCGGTCTCGTCGAGGAAGAGCTTGACGCAAGCATTGACTGGACAAAAGTGGTATGTGAGCCCTTCGGTACCTGTTGAAAGTCGCTTACTCCCATTAGAGAGGGGAAGTCATTGGAGGTACAAAGCACATATGAAGGATCTAGACGAGAAAGAAGTCGACTGAAATGTGTCTTGGCTACCATGTACGAAGTTTTCATTACCGAGCACCTCGACCCACGTTCCGAACACGTCGTTGGAAATCGGACAGGAAACAGGAGCCTCCCCTAGCTTTTACGCAGCCATTGAGAATGAGTATGTTCCTCAACCTTTTATCCTGTACTACGCGTGATAACACTGCTCTGGCGACTGTGCAGCACTCGAGCAAAGACCCTGTCCAGATCCAAGCCAGCCTCACAATGGAAGCCAAGGAGGTTTTGTGGAAAGGTGTGCCTTGCTTGACAATGGAATATTCAAATCTATACCACGACTCCGGTTATCGCGTTCTTTAGTTCCATCTCAGCGGTCGTCGAAGTCTTCGGGCTGTCATCCTGGTTCTCACATTCGGATAATGCAGCAGTGACTCCCTCACCGTGCATTGCTTGCAAAATAGCGACAGCCGCAAGCGCATCTGTGAACGAGTCAGCTGGCAACTAATAATGCCCGCAAAGTTACTCACCTTGAGCCATTGCCTGCGTTATGTGCTTCATAAAGGTGCCAGCGTCGCCACAACCGAAGACTCCTCTAATGCTAGTCGTAAGTTCACTTCGCTTCATCTTTCGACCTATTGGTGAATCGACCATCTCGAGGCTCAGGGAAGCGATCAGATCTGACCCAACTGGGACGCTTCGGGGCATGTGGACAAGGAGCCGCATATACATTTCCTCGCCATTGTCGAACACTAGTTTCAACCCCTCTGACAAGAACTTTAGTTTCGAGATACGTCGACTTTCAACCTTTATACTCAAAGCTGTTGCTGTTCAAGGCTTGCTGGACATCGGGCGGGTGATCTGGTAGCCCATTGGTGAAAGTAGTCACCACGGAGTCCTCTGTGGATAACGACCGTATCATCTGTGCGAATTTTAGCTATGCTGGATTGGGAAAGTGAGTCTTCTGTTGGCTCGTGACCGCCACAAAATAGACATTGATATCTGGTTTGTTATGATCAAGAAAACATTTTCGTCATCCTAGTCCCGGTGATCACTTACATATTCCGTGGCCAATACTCCTTGTAACCCCTCAATTTTCGGCGTATATCCCTACTACCACACGTGAACACCAAATTCTTATCTATACAATCATTTTCTCCCTTCTCCGTCGCTCTGAACCGCTCATATCCACCAACCTTTTCTTTACATACCGCCATGATAGTTGAGTCAACGAATGTGGCACTTCCATACTTGGCAATCTGTCCTGCGAGTGATCCACCGAAACTCAGCCAGACGTTCTCCATCCCTCGACGCCACGCCGCCGTGCATGGCTTCAGCTTCATCATTGCGGAATCATGAATCGGAAAAAGCGACGCGGGATTTGTGTTGACGAGCGAGGGCGATGGCCACGGCGACGGACAGACTGGCGGGTCCTCCGCTGATTAGGAGGGCGGCGGGGAGCTTGGCTGGAATGGGCATTGTGGAGGGGTGTTGGGCGGCATACAGGTTTTTAAGCTTGAGGCTGTGGGAGATGCACGAAAATGGCGGCTGAGGAATGCCTGTGGTTCCAACATTATACGTTCTACGTGCTCCGAGTGGGTACAGCAAGTCTCCCGGGTACTCCTTCCTACCTAAGGTCGTGGGCAAGACCATCCCATAGCTTTATTACAATATCTAGTCGAACTTCCTAGTCGTGCGTTTTTGGCTGTCACCTTTGGCTGTCAGCGAGCGCGGAGCCACCTGGTGATCCCATCCGCCTATTTATAGCATAGTGCTGAAAAAGGGTCGCTCGGAGACTTTGTTTTCTCATCGACCAAGATTGAGCCTGGAGACAAGACATTGGACATAAAGTCTCAGCTTCGAGCTTACATAAATATCTTTAGCAAATGTGAGTGTAAAAATTCGCTCAGAGGCATGCGCCAGCCCTGGGCGGCGTCGTTCTCCGATCAACGCTGGCGTCGAAGCTATGCAGCGTACCAAAGCTGCCGTCAACGGTGATCCAAACGGCTCAGACTTGCCTTTTACGCTTCATTCAGCTCTCTTCACACAACCTGAGTCACTCACCAGAGCCAAGGGCTACTGGGATAGAGACATAGAAGGCGTAGTGAGCTGCACTGTTCAGGAGTATCCGAAAGACCAGGGGTAGCATACCAGCGTGCTGGCAGGCTTCCAATCAGTCTCGTCATCATTGCCGCATGGGATCATATCCATTCATCCATCAATGAGATCCGTGCCCCTCTTCCTGCCTTTCCCAATCTGCATCTTTGCAGTTCTCGCGCCGAATTGAATGGCTCTTTTCTTTTCTCTGGCTACCTGTTCCATTCCTGTACGCCATGCTAGGAGTCGAAGTGCTTGTTTCGCAGGGTCCAAGATCGGTGGCGAATGATTATTTTCCTTGGACACCACGGTGCCAGCACTGTTGGGGCGAAATCCACATTTCTCCCAAACAGGCAGTTGTAAAGTCCACTTCATGAAATCCTCGTCAAGGTATGGATATCGTGCCTCTTTGGCCCAGTGGGAGATGACCCTATCATCTCGTCCTAGATTCCGCTGTCCGAGTCGTTGAATGTCAAGGTCTAGCTCCTCGATCAAACCTGGATACCCATCCCGAGCATAAGCTGTTGCGTGACGTCTGTAACCTCCAAACAGCTCATCGGCTCCGAGTCCTGATAGCAGCACCCGAGCGTCTGTTGAGTACGGATGATCCTGTCCAGATATGGGATTCCTAATCTGTCCTTGACCTCGGGCAGCAAAGTAGAGTGCTTTTGCAATAGAAAGATCCATCTCTGTGTTATGCGGAGCCATCAATCCGGCAATGGTGCTGTGATGACTCTCACTTTCCTTGTATGGTACATTTATTGCGATAAATCGCCACTTCCGCCCACCACAAATCTGGAGCAATTCAAGATAAGAAGAGCGACCAGTTTTACGATCTGGGCAGCTTTCATATGCAGAAGCGGCTGGATCTTTTCCGGAGGCGGCTACCATAGATCGAGGGTTTTCGAAAGCAACATTGAGCAGATCGATGGGCTGGCTCGGTGGTAATAAATCGTGAGCTAGTCGAGCAAGCAATGTGCAGTCCAAGCCTCCTGAGAACAAGACAGCAATTTTGGCATCTTCGGAGTCTTGATTGTTCTTAGCCTGACCGAGATTGGGAACGTCCATTATTCTCAGATGTAAAGACTGGCGTAAGTGTTTTTCAAGCTCCAGAATAGTTTCCGAAGAAAGGCTGAGCAAGGGAACTGAACCATTAGGCAGACTCCTGTCAATCCGTGGGAGATCCATAGTCCACGGTAACAGATCTGGTGATAAAGGAAAATGTGAAGGAGCAACACAATACACACCACCGGCCTCCACTTCTTTCCAACCAGGTGAAAGTGGCACGTCGGTGATACTGCAGAAAGCCATTCCACCATCACAAGTTGCTCGCGACAACAACGATCTACGACCGAGGTGATCTCGTCCATAGAACAGACGACAGGATAGAGCATCATAGAAGACGAACGCAAATGGACCTGCTATGCTTGTAAGCGCATCAATGACAGTTTCTGTGCTAGGGTTTGGAGAGCTTTGGCAAGCTCGGAGGAGTAGAGTGAAGACATGTTGAGAGTCATTGCCACCAATAACTTGACCGTTTTCTCTCCATGCTTCACCATTCCAGCACAGGAAAGACTCGGTATGCTTGTCTTTTAGAGGTTGAGATTCGATGTGATCTCCTCTCAAGGCAAGTACAGTCGAGAAAACGTGGATGTTGACCGTTTCACGGGTCGGATTTGGAGTCTTCAACGAGATGGAAACCGCTTGCGTGCTATCAGGTCCACGAGCTTCGAGCAATTCCTGCGTCTCCCTGTTGCTATGAATGGGGCTTCCGAAGCTGATGGAGCAATAGATGCCGCACATTGTTGGGTGAAGGACTCCATAGAAGCATGGATAGTATTTCTAGCTTGTGACCATTAACTTAGCTCTGGTGTCACCCGGGGTCCAACTGGGTCCCGAAGTGGTAGATGGTCCCTAAAACTCCATGTCACGAGGCTGATAATCTGACACTGATGTCACTACTAACTAAGTTAGTTTAGGCAGGCGATCGTTCGCCGAATTGCCAGAATGCCGGGGTTCTGCCGGCCAGGAGCTGTGAGTATCCCAACACCACTGTTTACGTTAGAGTGAGAGCAGTTCGGATCAAGTCCACAACTCCTCCTTCCTCGCTGTCTTCGTTCCGTTGGCTATCCTACTCGTTCATCAATTCACACCTTGACTGGGAAAGATGATTGTGCATTCGTAGGGAGAATCAAGCTTCTGTCACAGAATATCCCAATCAAGCTGCAAGGCAGCTAATGTCCACTGCTGAAAATGCTAGAGGTCCAAATCATGCCTTACCGTCGGAAACTTGTACTGGCACGTCACCGGACGAGCAAGCTTCCTCGACTACTGCAACTGAAAGGCTAGCCGATCCGGCCACGATCGTGAACGAGTCATCAACACATTCTGCAAGATCCGAGAACCTGAGAGAGTCGAAGAGATCTTCGGAAGGCTCGACCTCACCGCGAGCCCTGTCGAGACCGATCAATAGCACTGAGCAAAACATTGAAGATGAGGGCTGCACAGTGGAGACAAGCCAAAGGATGCAGAATCTCTCGTTGACAGCAGACTCTCGGAACTCAGCGCAAACTGCGGCTCTGAAGCATCTTCCGCCAACCCCTCCTCCACCGCCAGAGAAAGATGTGGCTTATCTCGATCCTACACCCAAAACACCACAGGTCTCTCGACCAGTTTCCCGTCAACATTCAGATGATGGAGAGTACGACGAGAAAGATCCACAATATAGGAGGAATTCAACTGAGGAAGACTTTGACGCCAACAAAGCCTCGCTTCCTCCAGAGGTCGCGGTAGACAAGGACTCTCAATCGGAGATTCAGAGCATAATGGAACAGTTCACAGGCGATGGTGGAGCCTCCGGCAAAGATAAGATAATGTCACCCCGAATCGAGATGGCCAGTCCTATCTCCAACGATTCCGGCCAATTTCCTCCTCGAAGATCCAGCTTGGAACATCTGCGACCTACGATATCGACTTCCGTGATCAGCTCTGAGAAGGATTTACCCAGCCCACCTGTACCTCCCAAATCCGACTCGACACCGCTAAGCCCGACTCGATCAAGCAAGCCCACTTCGCCTTCATTATTGTCAGGTCCGCCCCTTCCAGAACCGGAACCGGATTTACCATTCGATTTTCACAGATTCCTGGAACAGCTTCGACACAAGTCAGCAGATCCGGTGGCTAAATTCCTGCGGTCTTTTCTCAATGAATTTGGGAAGAAGCAATGGATGGTGCATGAGCAAGTAAAGATCATTGGCGACTTTCTGACGTTCATTGCCAATAAGATGGCGCTGTGTGATGTATGGCGGGATGTTTCCGATGCCGAATTCGACAATGCAAAAGAAGGAATGGAGAAACTGGTCATGAATAGACTCTACACGCAAACTTTCTCGCCCGCCATCCCTCCTCCACCTCAACCTGTAAGAGGTAAGGGAAGAAGGAAGGATCAGGACAAAATACTTGGTCCAGGACGACGGGGACAGCATCAGGAGGATGTCGAGCGAGATGAGATTTTAGCCCAGAAAGTCAGGATCTACGGCTGGGTCAAGGAGGAGCATCTGGATATTCCTTCAGTTGGACCTGGTGGTGAACGCTTCCTCAAGCTGGCGCAGCAAGAATTATTGAAAATCAAGGGATACCGTGCGCCGCGAGACAAGGTTATCTGTGTGCTCAATTGCTGTAAAGTCATCGTTGGATTGTTGAAGAGTTCCAAGTCTGCAGATACCTCTGCAGATTCTTTTGTGCCCCTTCTCATTTATGTGGTCCTGCAAGCACATCCGGACCACCTCGTCTCCAACATCCAGTACATCTTACGCTTTCGCAATCAGGACAAATTAGGAGGCGAGGCTGGCTATTATCTGTCTTCACTGTCCGGGGCCATCCAATTCATCGAGACTTTAGACCGAACGTCGCTTTCTGTCAGCGACGCAGAGTTCGAACGCAACGTCGAGCTCGCGGTCTCTGCCATTGCAGAAAAGAACCGAGAGACGGAAACACGCTCACTGAGCCACATTGTTTCAGACAAGTCGACTTTGAGCGAGCCGGAAGTGACACCACGCACCTCGATGGATGCAAGCAAGTCGTCTCCTGGAAAAAGGTCGAGTCGCCCCTTGTTTGATAGCACAGACAGTGGGTTTGACGACAACGACGCCGTCGCAGGACTTCTCCGAACCATTCAGAAGCCACTCTCGACCATTGGTCGTATATTCTCCGACGAGGGCAGTGCTTCCCAAGCCCGCAGTGGTCGGATCTCACCACCGCAGCCGGAGTTCACACCACGACTCTCTCCTTCACTCTTTCAACCTCCCAGATCAAGCGGAGAGCAGCGACGGTCAGGCGAGCAGGCAAGGGACAGGGATGACGAGTATAAGACCGATGTGAAAGTTGATGCTCAAGAAGCTGCCGCAAGACAAGCCAGCGCCGAGGCAGCCGAGGCTCGAAGGATACAACGAGCAGAGCATCGGAACGTCGTCGAGTACGTGTGGCCCGGGTTGTTCACTCACCGCGTGCTAATGATGTGAGTAGGACACTCTACAGCATGTTTCCTAATCTGGACAAAGACGTGATTGAGGACGTGGTCAGGCTAAAAGAAGGACGGTCAGTCGCAGGACTTCTCTCTCATGCTACTCCTTGCTGATGTGCCATCTAGGGTTGGTCTGGCTGTGGATGCTTGTTTAGCTTTGAGCGCGGGAGGTTGATATAGGAAATTTCTTGCATGGCCTGGTAGCATCCCACGGCGTTTAGCACCTGCAAGTCCGGGCGAGCTTTGACATGTCCGAGTAGGGTCGAGCTATACGGAGGTTAGAAAAGGACGATCATGCTATGGATAACCATTAGCACTTCAGGCAGATGACAAGAATCTACCAAGCTGTGCTTGACATCCCCTGATTTTAGGATTCCTATCTATCTGGTAGCAGACCAGGGTTTTATCGATCTTATTCTTATGGTTATACATATGTAGGAAGGATAGCATCCAGAAAGCTCATTTCGGTGGCGCACGGCCATAGCTCCATCTGCTCTGGATCTGGACTGAAGGATTGCCTGCACGACCCATTGACAGCGAATCCGACACCAGAATGCAACCGGACGCTATCTATTCACAAGCCGTCTTACCAGTAACTTAATGGCAGACTCTCATCTACCAATCTTACACCATGTTTCGCGGTTCTCATCTTCTCATTAGGGTGTAAGCAGCGAAGTCTCTCTTTCAAGTCTCTCTTTCGACCTGATGCCACTCTGTGCTCCAGAGAATCATTCGAGTAGTGTACCAACGCGTCGACTTCTTCCAGTTGAAAAAGCTCAGTTCACAGATGGCACGGAAGAAGGCAACCAAAGCTTCTGTAGCTGACGTCGGCACCGACGATGGGCACAACGGACCCAATGGGCACTCCAGTCCAGCAGAGCAGACAGCTCCGGCCAACAAGTTGATCTCACCCGCAATTCCACCACAACCCAGAGCTGCAGAACCATCAACCCCCACCCTGGTAATTTGTCGCAATAAGTACATCATCTCTCGTCCCATATGCTGCATAGTAACTCATTGCTTGTCGGCAGACGCGAAAACCAATGCATTGACTCTCACGCAGGCACTGGCGATATATTTCCTCCTTCCATGGCCCCTGGCTCCAGCTGCCTCCAGAAGTGCTCGAGACCATTGCATTCAGCAATTTCTACCTTCCTCGGCCCCAATTGGTGGATCCTGCCACCCTGTTTGATCTGGTCAAGATCCGCCGACTGGTCGACGACGCGACAGATCTGACCGTCCGCGCCGCCAATGGGACTACTTCTTCCGCGCTGTGCAACTCTCACAATGCGAGTAATGGCCTCTACGGTGGTGGGAGTGCAGCAGCCCTGGGACTGGGGGGAGGAGGAGGTGGTGGGGCGCATGCAAAGCTAAGTCGAGAGAGAAAGCACCGAATGCGGGAACATGCCACACAGAAGCTATCGCATGCATATCATCTGGATGAGATCGCTGCCAGTGTGGCGACCATGCAATCGGCGTCTGCTTTGGAGGAAGTGGCAAAACACGTCCTGGCCCGGAACAATGACGACGCCGACGCAACCTACGTGCACTTCTTTCACGAAAAAATCCCCTCCAGATCGTTAGCAGAGTGTACGAGTCTGGCACCGTTGGACAAGGTCATCCGCCAGCGTCCGACCGATGGGGCACCCTACCGGACGCGAGCAGTGACGAGGATATTCAAGGAGGACTTTATGGGCGCTGCGACGGATCTGACAGAAGGACTACGCGTGTGCCGATTGTACAATACACAGCATGAAAGACGGAACGAGCAGACAGAGCTTGTGCTTGCTCGCGAGGCGGCACGAGAACAGCGGACGGATGCGAAAGTCGACGAGAAAGATCAGCCAAGCAGCCTGGAAGGGCAGTTGCTGTTCCATCGAGCTGGCACATTCCTTACCATGGCGTGTGATAATATTGCGTTGGCCTTGTCTGGAACATCTACCACCAATGGAGCCAGCTGCGCAGATCTCCGTGGCGAAGCCGAGATGTCGTCTATTCCTACGAAGAGGGTCCGAGAAATGCACCATCGACGTCTCGAAGCTCGCAAATCGGTGCGGACATACGCAAAGCGTGCTCTCCGAGACTACCTGGCATTCATCAGCCGTTTTGACTATACTCCCGGCCAGCCCGCCGAGATCACGAGAGCGTTTCTCCATAAGGTCAACGCCGCCGCCAACGGGTATGGCAGACGAGGTCATCAGAAGCGTCTGCTGGAAATGGCAGAATTTCCCATGACCGCAAGATCAACCGCCCTGATTCGGCACGATGGCCATTTCGCCACACCTCCACGCAGACCATCTCAACCACTCCCGCTCCCCAGCAAGCGCGTCTACCCGCTCAACGAACTCTTCGCCGCCATCCCACCCCCAGAACTACCACCCTACCCCATCGAAACCTCCACCTCCACCGCCTTCGCCAAACCAAGCCAATATCAACCGCTTCCTCCCATCCTAGCGGACGACCCCTCCACCGCTGAGACAGTAACCTACCACCCCCTGCTCACCGACGCGTTGCACTCCCTCCTCCTCTGCCACACTCTGATGCAAACCTCGCCCAAAGAACTCCTCCGCCACGCGCACATGGTTGCGCGTCTCGCGCGCCTCAGCGACGGCTTTCCCGTTTTTCTGGCCGCGCGCTCGCCCGCGCGCGCGGATTGGGTCGAGGTCCTCCGTCGCGCGCCCAAGGCCGCCAACAGCAATTGGATCGGCCTGTCAGCTGTGTCATGGGATGCGCTGTGTAAGCCGGCGCCGCTGGCTGCGCAGCAGGGCGAGGAGGGAGGGGCGGCGAAGCCGGGGAGGGGAAAGAGCGAGACGAAGGAAGAGAGGAGGGAGAGGGTCAGGATGGAGGCGTTCAGAGAGGCGCTCGCTGATGAACGGGTGCTGGATGAGGAGAGTTTTCGGAAAAGCGTCAAGGCTTGGGAGGCGAGGGGTAGGATGGAGGTGGAGGAGCAAGAAGAGGAAGAGGAAGCAGGCGTGAATGGGAATGCAGATGCAGATGCAGATGGGATGCCCAAGGAGAAGCTGGATGCGAACAAGCCGAAACGCTGGGCCCAGGACGAGGGCAAGGAATACCCCATCGCGACGCACAGGGCCGAGGCGATCGCCCGCTGGATCCGAGAGGTGCCGCAGCTGGGCGACGCGGTTGCTGGGTCTGGTGCCGCGAAAGCCGCGACGGCGAAGAATAAGACGCCCGCGAGGTTGAGGAAGAGCGCTGCGAATGTTGGTGTTGTTGTGGATGCGAATGCCGACGTCAATGCGAATGCCGACGCCAGCGCTGATGCCCATGGAGTGGTTGATGGGGAAGGGGATGCGGATGCGGATGGGTTGGAGAAGAGTGGGCAGGCTTTGTCTGAGATGGCGAATTCAGCAGTAATAGATATCATAGACGAGTGACCGAGCGGTGGTTGTGGTTGTGGTTGTGGTTTTTTGAGCTGATTCGGCTCCTGTGGCTACCGTGTGTGTGTGTGTGTGAGAGAGAGAAGCGTCCTGCCTGCTTCCGTTCTGTTACACTTAGAACACGGTTTTACACAGGGCGGAAATCGCGGTAGAGGAAATACCTGCTATCACTAGTTAATTACTACTGTATGTATCTTCGATAGGGGGGTTTCCAGACGGGAATCAAATGATTACCTGGAACCATGGGTATACCGGGTTGTGGCCAACCCCCACTCCACTCCACTCCACTCTCTTCCCTCCCCCTGAGTCCAGAGCTCTAGATCGCAAAAACCCTTCTGAGTATTCTTTTCGTCTCGACGTCTAAGCAGCAGTGAGGCTGCTGCTCTGGTTGGGCCAGATGGTACCGCTTGATCTTGATCGAGAGGCTGTAGTTAGTTGGATTTTATCTCCCTGGCCATCTGCACTCTATCTTTCATGGGTTTATTCCCCCCCCTTCCCTCTCTTCCCCTCTTGTGTCGGAAAGGGTGTGTATGTGAATGCGTGGACACGAGTCCGGCGGTACTGTATTTGGCCTCCTGGAGACTCGGTGCGGTCTTTCGAATCTGCATGTCTGGGTACTTGAGCCGTAAGGCACGCGTGATCGGCGACTATTGTTGTTGTTTTTGTTGTTGCTGCCGTCGTTGACACCTCTGTCGTGCCTCATCTGGCAGTCTCGCACCTTCTAGCAATGAGGTTATTGGCGTTGCGCACTGACCAGCGCAATGACGGTGGGCCGGACTGCTTCGATTGCATGGGCGCTGGATCCGAGGCTTTCTGGACAGTCGAGATCAGAGTCACTTGATCGTACGTATGGGAAGCCGAGGGTGCGGATGTAGGGAATATCCTGGATGGAAGTGGGTGATTGAGTAATTAGCAGGACTGTCACTGCTTGTCCAGCCCCAGTACCCTCTCCAACATCTCTCTCCCGAATGCTTCTTCTCCTTGACGCGGACCTCCCACCATCCTGACTACCCGATTCCCACTGTTAGACCCTAGCCAATCGCCCAGATCATAGGATCTCGCTCCCTCGCTACCTCTTCTCTTCCGGCTCCTCCTCCGATCCACGACCGTCATGCCCCTCGTCCACTGGCCCGTCGTGTCGACGCGGATGTCTTCGGGGCTTTGGGCGCTGCGCATCCATTTTGCGGAGGAGTGAGTGAGGATATAGTAGATGCAGAGCGGGTCGTGGAGGGAGAGGGACGCGGAATTACTGTCGTTGCTGTCTCCGCTAGATGCGGTTTGGTAGGAGGAGTTGGTGGAGGTGTGGTGAAGAGATTCAATTTTAGTGAACATCGGTTGCATGAAGGCGGTTAGCCAGGTTGCTAACGGCGATGGGCTAGGCAATTGAATGAGGGGTCGGGTGAGGGTGTTGAAGAGGCCGCGGGTGAGGGTGTGGAGTTCGGTTATATCGAGCGGGAAGAGGGTTAGCTTCAGAGGGCGGGAGAGGGTGGTTGGGTAGGGCGGGAGGACAGATGATGGGTCGACGTGGGTGGGAGTGGGTGGCATGGTGGAGGACGGGTTGGCAGAGGTGAGGGCGTAGATTCGAGCGGCGGCTACCGAGTCGGCGAAGACGTTGAACTCTGCGACAGGTGTCACCTATTTAGGTCATGGTTAGTGAATGGACGACTATGACTTAGGGAGGCGAGAGTGCTGGACATACATTCCCACACAGATCAATCGCTCCACCCATCGTGACCACCTCTCTCACCCGCAGAAAAGTCTCCGTGTCCTCGGCAGCAGCCAAAGCAAGATTCGTCAATGGCCCAATCGCCACCACCGTAACCGTATCCGCTTCGTTCTCTCTCAAGACACGCAAAATCTCCTGATGGGCCGGCACCAGCGATGGTCGAAAAGATGACTGTTCTGCCGCCAACTCTTGATCGTCCACGACCTCCGAGATCACCGTATCTGGCGGCGGTCTCTCAAAAAGCTTTTGCCACGTATCCTTAGGCGATAGATGGGGATGGCTCTCATGAATCCCAGCCAGACCGTCCGGACCATGAAAGTAATCAGCCATCAGGAGCTGCTCGTGTAGAGGTCCGTTGGCCCCAACAGCCACTAAGGGCTTGTACTTGGTCATCCCCTCGAAGCCCTCGGGTTTACCATTTTCACGTCTCCATTTGAGTTCTTTTTCGAGGACCTGGAAGATGGCGACGATATTTCTGAGACAAGAACGAACTTCCACGTTACCGAATGTTACAGATATTAGGACGACTTCCAGCTCTTCTGCCTTGGCTGACAACGCTAAGAGGATGGCGAAAACGTCGTCGATGCCGGGGTCTGTGTCGATTATGATCCGCTGTGAGGGTGCCATTCCGGAATCTGCTTGGTGAGGAGGCCAACTGATATCTTGTAGTCGGCTCGGCTGCTCACTGAAGATGGTGCTCAAACGGGATCCGGGCAACAATTAAGAAGCATTGTGTCACCGGAAGTTGGTACTCTTAGCACGTTACCCTCCACCAAATTACTAAATAAGGGTGACGGTGCTTTGTCCCCGAAAGGAACAAACAACGCGATCCGGCGAAGAGTGCAGAAGGACCAAGCTACCTAGCTACCTAGCTACTCACAGTAGTTAGGTGGAAGAAGATATGCGAAGACTCGACTCGTATCAATACATGTACACAGTACCTGTCCTAGCGCTCGCGGGATCTAAATCTGCATGATGTTGTGAACCATTGTACCACACCCCGCAAGTGATGTGAGTGTAAGGCTGAGGCCTGAGGGTGTGGGTGTCATCACTAACTACCTAACTAGTTATTTACTTCATATTCAAAATATGAATGGTTTGTCCAATCTGACCAAAGCTCCACCCATGTTCCCACCACCCTCTTGGGATTGTGCTGTCGCAGCTTGGGAACACTCCTGTACCTTTCAGCCTGTCATACAATAGAAGGATGTTTTGCTTGCTCCACGCATAATAAACACTAGTTAGTACTCATAGTTTCCCTCCCACGATAGCAAACATCCATCCACTTCCCGCACATATCACCAAAAAGGCACTGCCTCCGAGTAGCCGGTGCAACCTGCTCAATTTCTCCTCTCTGCTCATCATCAGACTGATTGCAATGATCGCCAGTCCAAGCGCAGCAACCACACCTACGATGATGCCAGCCTCAACTTGCATTTTGGCTTTGTGCCTGCCCGTCGCATCCATGATGGCAGACATGATTAGCAGAACCAAGGCAATGGCGAAGCAGCCTATGTAAGTGCGGAAAAGAGCTCCTTCGTGGGATGCGCGAACTGGTTGACGCTGGGTGGTATGGCGTAACGGCAGGCGCAATGTCCTGCGAGCTCCAGGCCCGGTTGCACAGAAAGTGGAACGAAGCGTCTTCGAAGCTTTCGCGGCAGGGACTGACTGGTCACTGTCTGAGGAGTCGTCATTGTCAGAGTCTACGTCTTTGTTGCGAGTGCCTAGCAGAGGCCGACGCACTCCCTCTTCAACGTCACCGTCACCGTCACCGTCACCGTCGCCATCGTGCTTGCGGAATTGCATCGGTAGCCAGGACATGATGCGGCCTTTGGTCCGACCAACGCTTTGATACATGGAAGAGAAAGCCTTCGAGACTGTCTCTGCCCCAGGAAAGGAAACGTGCTCGTCAGGATTGACGTAGATTGCATAGGTTTGATCCTCAAGAGCTTCATCTCCGTCGTCAAACTCATTCCAATATCGCCGAATAGGCTGTCTTTTATGACGCATCTTGCCCCGCGCTGCTTTTCTCTCAGATTGATGTGGCGTTTTGGCTACCTCCTGCTTTCCAATAACTGGGCTGCTAAGTGGAGTGCTTTTGTTTGAGCCCTGTAGTGAGGTTGCAGACGAGTCGATCGGCCCCGCCGAGAAGACGTCCCTGGTAGATGACGGTGCCGAAGACAACGCTTTGGGAACATTCTTCCGCAAGTTTGATCTCGCCTGAAGTGGTGGCACTTTTCGTATGTCTTGGTCAAGCCACGACTGCCACATGGGTGATGGCATGTCTGAAGCTTTGCAGATAGTGGTGATCGCCTGAGCTTCCAGGGAGAATCCTCTGATGCGCTCGACAAGATGCGTGCTGTCTAGGGCTCGGACGATCTCCGGTGTACGCGAAAACTCCCATCGGAGCTCTAAGACGGTATGTGGAAAGCCCTGTACTCCAGTAGCATCACCAGACAAGTTCTTACCGATCGTCGTCACGTCTACAGACGACATTGTGATGTCCATATCCATCAACGCCCAGGTGCCGACCTCACTAGTATTATTGAGACCTGCAAAGCGAGAACGTAAGCATTGTACTTCAGCTAATGGCTTGATGTCTCTGTTCTGGGCAAGCCAGTCACGATGTTTCTGCAAGCTGGTATCGGGGACTGATGAATCAGTGGCGCAACCCTTCTGATGTTTAGTCGTAAAGTGTCCGTCTGGTTCAAAGAGCTTGACGAGTTCCTTTCTCTTGATGTGGGTGATATCTAAATGATGCTGGATTGGCACAGTCGAAGGCGATAAATCCGAGCTTACCAAAATGGCTTCGGGATCACTTGCCCAAAGAATTTTCATGGCCAACATTGAAGACACAGAGCCAACAAGATCCTCTGCCTGACCTACAGTGACAGCTCCGTGCGCTTTAATAAACCTTTGTAAGTTGTCAAACATTGCGATATGGGTTCGACCATTGGAAGATGCTGATTGTGCGCTATCTCGGCGTGCCGTTGGCAGAGAGGTAAGACAGGGATCACTTCTATCGAGGTGTGGACTGGACCCATTGCGGTCTTTCATATATCGGCGTAGCAGAACAGTCACCTCCTCAAGATTGTCCTTGTGGACCCAGTAGCAAGCTCGTCCACCAGCCACCCCTAGCGGTACGGCAGAGAAAGCAGCATCGAATTCTAGCGGTGATGAATTTAGGAATCGTTCGTGCAGTTGTAACGCAGTTGGCCTTGGCTTCTGCGAGACCAGTGCTGAGCTCTTCCGGTGTGGGTGCACAGATGGTGTTGCATTGCCACGTGACTGGGACAATGCTGTCAGGCAGGATCTGACCCCAGCTAGACGATCGAGCAAGGGCACAAAGTCCAAATTAAGAGCGTTTCCTGGTTGGTTAAATATTTCATTGTTCATCCGTAACTCCAGAGCCAACGATCCAGTCCATTTTCGATATTTCTTCAAAAGCTTTCTAAAGGCCTGCTTCTGCGTGCTAACATATCGAGAAAGCGACTGGATGTCTTCACCAATACTATCCGCTTCTTGTACTAATTTCGCATATCTTCTTGTGTTTTGTAATGGCTGGGAGGCTTGTGCGTTCTTCTGCCGAGTGAAGAGCCGTGCCTGTCGGTCAATATAGTCCATCCGACGCTCCATCTCACCATACTTGCTTCTCGTGAACAAATTAACCCGTTCATATTGACTGCAGAGAACTGGGAAGAGCGTGTCCTCTAATTGGACCCAGGCTTCATTTGCCTTTCCTTGGCCCGGTATTGAAACTGGGCTTGTTGTGCCTTCGCCAGCGGTACTTTCTTTGATCATATGCTTCACTTCGTCATAATCAACATTGTCTAGATAAGGTCAGTTATAACTTGGAACATGGAAAGGGAGATCGGTAGAACAAACAATTGGCCCATTGAGGAATAGATCTCTGCCGGAGCGTCTCGCCGAATTTCATGATTGTGCTAGACTCAACGGATCACGATTCAAGCAATGATAAGGTAAGAGAGCCAAAGGTTATCATACGCCGCGATAGCATCTAAACAAAAGATTGAAAATACGCATAATGGTCCGAGGAGAAGTTTCTTGATAACGGGCGGGGCGCAGTTATCTTGGAAATGCTTGTCTCGGTAGGTGGAGGAGATTCGATCTGCGCGTCCGAGTAGCAAGTTCCAAGAGGGGCAAATGAGGAAACTATGATGCAATTGAAGTCCAAACCCCCTTAGAATGGCGGGAAGGAACCGAAGACAATATGATATACTATTCAATGAAGGCTGCTCGAGTCAACCAACTGGACATTTCAGGAAATTGCCATGTGGATATCACGCGACATCAACCAGATTGTCCAACGGTTCCTGTAGATGATCTTGTCAATGGGGCGCACAGACGGACTCTGTCCAATCGATCCCAGCCACCCAGGTGGAGAAGGGTTGAAGGTGTGGATCACTCCACAGATGACGCGCATTAGCCATGTCGGATTAGGTATCATTGGGTTAGCCTCACATCGAAATTCTCGAACGCCAAAATCTCTAAGCGCTCTTACATGTGGCCATTCAACTCTGCTCTTACAGAATATACTAGCATCTCTCTTACTTTATAGCTGCACAAGTGTCATCAAAGACTGGGTCCTAAGCTGATATACACTTAACAAGAGATGTTTATGAGAATACATTTTAAAGAGCTCTATAAATTAATGCACGGTGACTGGCAAGCATATAGTAACTATTAAGCGTACAGCAAAGGGCCTCCAAGAGAGCGTCCTAGGAGGATGCCCCAGGAGGATGCCTCAGAGAATGTCCCAGAAAATGTCCAGAAGAGTGCCCGGAGGCCCCAGTAGGGCGCCGCTAAAAACTGCCCTAGAAGGAGGCTCTAATCAAATACCATTAAAGGATGCCCCAGAAGGATGCCCTAGAAGGGCGCCCTAAAAGGATGCGCATAAGGGTGTCATAAGAGAATATCTTAAGAGGCCAACCCAATACATAATAGTGCGCCGCAACCAGGATCTAAGCACAGATATTTTCTTCCCGACAGTCGATCGACCTCTCATACACAATCAAGCATCCAAGTTAAACGCATGAACCGCGAACGCATTTATCAAATGCTGCGACCAATTGATCCGTGATGACTGCTACCATCGCCCCCATCACCAATGGTGATACATACTTCGATCCCCATCAAGACATTCTTGCGGCCCTATCCACATCTCCGCATAATTTCCTTCAGCCTACCTCTGCCCTACATGCGGCAGCCATCATTGCAGCCAAAAGATTCTTAGACCCTCTTGCCTCTTCTGTGAGCGAGGCTCAAGAATTACGAAAACGAGGAAACAGAAAGAAGCGTAAGAGGTCGGACTACGAAGCGAACAGTGTGGGCAAAGTCTTGCAACTACGAGAAGTCTACACCGATGGTTTTGGGATTGGTCAGATATGGGAGCAGGCCAAGAGAATACTGGATGCAGCTCGAGACGAGGTACAAAGAGACTTGAAGAACATTCAGACCTCTCAAGACACCACAGATGGCGTCATTGGAAAGCCACAGCAGGGGAACGGTGGTACGGAGATGGTGCCATTTGATGAGGGTGCGTTAGATACCGTCTCGGATGAACCTCAGGATGATCTAGATGTTGCTACCGTAGGTGATGTTGACGATGATCATGGGCTGTACGACGGAGAGGAGATTCAACAAGAGGCTATACACACCGAGGACGACGAGGACATGGTAGACGACGATGATATCGGAGATATGCAAGATTCAGCAGAAGAGAACTCTGAAACAGAAGAAACGCCACAGGTTTATGTTCCAGATCCCAATGGCCTTAACGATGGCTTCTTCTCAATCGACGATTTCAACAAGCATTCTCAATTCCTGGAGCAACAGGATGCAATGGGAGAGGAGGATAACCCTAGCGATGAAGACGAGATTGATTGGGACGCCGATCCTCTCGCAGCGCCTCTGCATTCCACATCAGGAAAGAAGGAGCTCAAAGCAGACAACGCTACCGAAGGCGAAGATGGCGAAGGTCCTACATTCGGCGATGCAGATCTGGACGGTATATCGGAAGAGGAACACGGAGAAGAAGACAACCTCGATCTGGCTGACGGTATGCCTGGGCTCGAAAACACCAATGACATCAAATACGCAGACTTCTTCGAGCCACCAGCCCAAAAGCCTTCCAAATCAAAGCGCATGCGTGCCCTTCCCAAGACCCAGCCTCCACCTCGTCCGGCCGCAGACGGAGAAACTCCAGAAGTCATCGCCAATGACATTCAGCGCGCCATCTCCGACGTACGTCGTGATCTCCTCGACTCCGAAGACGAAGCCTCCTCAACCGACCAAGACGACGATGACGAGCAACCAATCAAACCTTCCACCAAAAACCTTTCGACCCATGAAAAACAACGCGCCAAAATCCTATCCGAGATCCGCCGCCTCGAAGCCGCCGCTATATCCAAACGCGACTGGACCCTCAGCGGCGAAGCGCGCGCCGCCGACCGGCCCCTCAACTCCCTCATCGAAGAAGACCTCGAATTCGAACGAGCAGGGAAACCTGTGCCGGTCATCACGGCTGAAGTGTCAGAGGAAATTGAAGCGTTAATCAAGCAACGGATCGTTGCTCGCGAGTTCGACGAGGTTGTGCGGCGAAGACCAGAGGCTCTTGGTGCGTCTGGCTCTGCAAGGAGAGGGAGGGTGGAGGTTGATGACACGAGACCGAGTCAGGGGCTGGCGGATGTGTATGAGGCCGAGCATTTGAAAGCTACGGATCCCGGGTATGTGGATAAGCGGTCCGCGACACTCAAGAAGCAGCATGCTGAGATTGCGAGGTTGTGGAAGGATGTCTCGGCGAAACTTGATGTGTTGAGCAATTTACATTTCAAGCCGAAGGGCTGGCGGATGTGTATGAGGCCGAGCATTTGAAAGCTACGGATCCCGGGTATGTGGATAAGCGGTCCGCGACACTCAAGAAGCAGCATGCTGAGATTGCGAGGTTGTGGAAGGATGTCTCGGCGAAACTTGATGTGTTGAGCAATTTACATTTCAAGCCGAAGCGGGCGGAGATTAGTGTGCAGGTGGTAGGGGATAAGCCGACCATCAGTATGGAGGATGCTAGGCCTGGCGCTGCGGATGATGGTGGAGTGGAAAGTCGGTTGGCCCCACAGGAGATTTATACGCCTGGCGAGGAGGGGAAGGCGAGGGGTGAGGTCATGGGCAAGAGTGGCATGGCGAGGAGTAAGGAGGAGATGACTAAAGAGGAGAAGTTGCGGAGACGAAGGAGGGAGAAGGAGAGGGCGAAGAAGAAGAAGAAGGGAAGTGAAGCTGTGAAATCGCAACAGGAGCCGAAGAGAAGAGGTAGAAATGCTGAGAAAGCTCAAGAAAAGAAAACCATCCTGGACGAGCTTCGGAAGGGCGGTGTCAAGGTTATCGGCAAGAAAGGCGATGTCGAAGAGATTGATGGCAAGAAGAGGAAGGGGCATAGTGAGGTGGAATCACGTAGCACAGAGTACAAGCTGTGAGGGAGGTAAAATGCATTGCCGTCTACTGGCACATGTCATTGTGGCGGCAAAGTTCTGGATATTTCTTGTCCTGTACAACGATCGACGAGAATTGAGATGCCAAGATTCTTACTTGGGCAGTTGAGCTTCCGAGTGAGGCTAGCCTGTCTTCCGCTGAAGTTCCTTTTGCACTGCATTTGATCTTGGTTTTCTCCTGACCTCATACAGGTATATGCCATCTCTTTTATCCTGGTGTTGGTCGTCATATTTGGCGTCCACCACCTCAAATTGCTTCTTCATATCTCTGATAAACCTCCAATCTGCTTTCCTTCTCTTCATGAAGCAGAAGTAGCACAACGTCTCCGGTCCCAGCAATCGATGCATGGTCTGTAGTAGAAGAGGGAACGCGGGCTCGAAATAAACGCAATCGGCGGCTAAGACGACGTCGGGAAATCGCTCATCGGGCAGTAATGCATGGGTGGAGAAATGTGCCTCGAGCGAAGGAGATATTGAGGTGCCCCAGTCCAGTCTCCCAGCAATAACCCTATTCTCTAGCGAGTTCAAAGCAATGTTCTGTTGCATCAAGCCCAGCATAGGCAGCTGATCGGTGATGATCAATGGCTTGGTTATTTGAGAGCCTCGAGCGACAGCCAGACCGACCAGCCCACCTCCCGCCCCAAGCTCGATGCTAAGAAATGTTAGAGTGAAATGTAGGATATGGACCACGACCATCTATGCAAAGTTTACCGATTTCGGCATATCGCACCTACATTGTCTTGTCCGCAATGTTATGGCGGTGGGCGTGCAGCATATACCTCGCCAGTACCATACCTGCAGGCCACAGCTGTCCGCCGCATCCTTGTTTCAAATTTTCGTGAAGCAGGAGTGGTGGTTGTAGAAGGTCATTAAACGATATTGTAGTGGTACTTGGAGGTTTGCTAGCACGCACGGGCACAAAAGACTCAAGGCCAGGCAGCGGATCATGTTCAGTCAAGGACAACTGGTAGCTATGTTCCTCAGCCATTACTTGAACGCTGCCACCGTTGCATGGTGTAGGTCACATTTCCGGGTCTGCTCCACTTGTCGGTTGCGGTACCACTATTAGCTAATCATTGGGGTTCAAGCTCGCCATTGGTTGGAGTGATTAGTCCGGGTACGCTGGAGCAGTACTCTAGAACAGCATGAGGTGAACTGCTAGATCTCATTATGAATATCAACGCAAGACCCTTGGTAGTACCACAAAGGAAGCATAAGCATTTGAAGCTGGCCTTAGCACATCCTCGGCAATAATTACAGCCTGTCGTTTCCAGGGCGGCAGTCCTGGAGCGATGACATCATGGCAACTCCACACTGTACTGTGTATTATGAACCGGGGGTGCGCGTTGCTCGGGCACTCTGTTTCCGTATCAGGGAAGATGCAAACGGGTAGGAGAAGAAATGGCGTGTATATCAGCCGCCTGACGGGTTACCTGCGCGCAAAACTCTTCCGATGGTAGTGGTAGAATAAATTCAGGAGATGATGCCGTCATTGTTGCCTGCCTTGCTCCTACGTCAAGCCACTTTGCTGTGCCAAGGCGCCATGCAAGGTTAGTCCCAGCCAAGCGAGGTCACACCTGCCACTGCCCTTGAAAAACCTCAACCACCTCCCCTTCTACTACTCAAACCATCATCATACTGCATCTCCGAGACAGCTCCAATCCATCAAAACAGCCTCCCATCTTGAATACATCCCACAACCTCACACCAATTATCACAAGCTCAATACAATGGCCACCCTCCACTGTAAGTTTTCTTCGCGACTCAGCGTTACGTCAATAGACCTTAACTCGACCTCTGCCATCCTTTATCTACTACTATTCGGCGCTGCAGATATCTCAAGAGGACACGGCTAACCTGCAATCACTCGTTCAGACCTCCCACCTGTCAAGCCATCGGCTATCGCCCTCGGCACCATCTTCACTCACACCGCATCCCTTGCTATCTTGGCCCCTCTCTTTGGTGACACATACCACCGCGCTCAAGCCGCAAACTCCAACGAGGAATTTTTCAAGTCAAAGGAAGCTGCCACCGCAGCCGCCAGCTGGGGCTCTTCCCTTGCAGGATCTGCTCTTCAGACTTATGGTGTTGGCGCTCTCATCAATGCCACTGGCACTCTGAGCTACAAAGGTGCCGCTTACCTCGGAAGCTTGATCTTCATGGCCAGCTCTGCTCCAAGTGTACGTCAAGTACTTCTCTTCTTGAACCTGGAAGTCTCGCTAATTACAGTTTAGATTATCGCACAAGTTGTTACTGAGAAGCGCCCAATGGACACCATCGCCGTCACCGTTGTTAGCCGTATCTTCGAGACTGTCGGTCTGAGCATGTTCCTCACCTACTGGGGCACAAGAACCAACCCGTTCGACTAAATGGATAGCCTAGATCTCGGGAGTCTTTGAGGTGGACGGGAAAGCAGGAGCTGGCTATCGCTTTATGCGCGATTTGAGCCAGGCTAGATTAGTTGATATCGGAGCTCTTCCTCAACTTGGTGCATAAATTGTTGCAGCCTCCTGATTGTATCAACAATAACTAGTTTCAATGCAAACATCAATCAGAAAAGCGTCCTCCTTTGGATCGTGCAACTTACTCTCATCACCATTTCAACCGGGAATACTTTATAACTCAAACCAATGAACACGCCCTTTTGGTAGTCTTAGATTCATCCACTAGTTAAAGGTAGGATGCCGCCCAGGATCGCTGGGACAACCTAGTCGCCCAACACGGTTCTTCCCACAAAATTAAGCGCTCATTACTTAGCTAATTCTACAGACCCGCCCATATGCGCTAGACAATGCAATAGGTCCAAAACCAAGTATCCCATAGCAGCATGTACATCGATAATCGTTCTACTCGTGAACAAGGCGACACCCAACTAGAGCATCAAGGCCCCTTTCCCCCGAACTGGATATATGCTTAGTGACCAGCAATCAGAGAAAAGCGACTGATGAAATAATGCCAAGGCCCAAACGCTTAAAAGAGAAACAATCTAGAATAAAACTCTAGAATAAAACCAAATCATGACCTCCTCCCTGGTCCGGACGCGATGTACTGGTACTACTTCACGCCAGCCTCCGGTTTCAAATGTCCTGTGACTGCGTCTGAGGGACGAACGGTGGGACGGTGTGTCTGTCTGCCGAGGGGGACCTGGGCATTTCATCGTTGAGGGTGATCTTCTCTTGCATATCGTTCGGCATATGTCTGTGTCGCTCACGTCGAGACTGGAGGTGAGGAGGAGGAACGAGGGCTCGTTGACTCGTAGACTTTGTGGTTCGGAAATGGTGGGGGGTGAATTGTATGTTCGGGGTATCTATGTATATGTATAGAGGGGTAGATATGCCATGGTGTATGTGTTACCGTATTCGGTGGTCGTGGGGGCGTGGGCTAGATGTCTCTGAAGAGATAGAATATATTCTGAGTCGATGATGCCATACTTTATAGTCACGGGGTGGGCTTGCGAGCGATGTGAGGTGAAAAAGAACTGCTCAGATCTGGAGTGATATTTTAGGGGAGGCATATGTAGATGCGTGATTGTTCGGATTTCTGGGGGTAAATCGTGTCCGCCAAGAACCAGGCATTCTTCAATTTATAACCACTATTTCATTCTCCTCTTTGGCCTCTTCCGGAGTTTCGTCAAGGTTCATAAGTTCATGGATGTAAACGTTGCCCAGGACCCGAGAAGCCTCGTCGGTGAAGCGAAGCAAGTAGAGTGGCCCTGCGCCATATAGAATGTATACGTGATCTCCGGTCTGGGTCTCTGGAGGACCTACCCCGATACGGCCGGCATTACTTGTGAAGAACTTGCGGCCCAAGCAGTTGTGCATCAGGCGAGATTGAAAAGCATATGTTGCTGTTCTAATACGTTGCTTGACGTCCTCGGGTGGAATTGACTGACCCGCGTTTCGCCAGAGGGACCGGATGCGTTGATATGCTTCACGGATTATGTCTGGATCGTTCTCAAAGCTGCTCAGGTACCCTTCACAAAGAGTAAGGAGGTAGGAGAGTGGTGGTGCCTCGTCTCGCTCCGCAGGGGTCAGCCCTGAAATTGCAAGGCACTCGCTCTCCCAGATGAGATTGCTCGCTGCGTCTTCCGTGCTTGACTCCTCTGCATCTCGTTCGAGGCTTGACCAGCAGAAAGTAGAGTCCACCACCTGGTCGACAATATCTACCCGGCATCCAGGGGCATAGAGATCGTCTTCCTCTGGCTCAAACCATGCACTCGGTAGCTCCTCTTCTAGTGGTGCAGTTGGTATGCCAGCTTTCCAGCCCGGGAACATATAAAAATTGCGACTTGGTGGGCTTCCGAAGTCCGGACACCAAGAAGGAAGAGCAGGGTTTTTCTCTGTCCCTGAGAGCATATACAACACAGAAAGTGAGGTGTCTTCTTCCAGGCAAGCTTTTCCACACTCAACATAGAGTCTATATAACGCGCTTAGATCTCGCTGTGAGTAGTCAACAGTGATCTTGTCCCGCAGACGCGGTGAAGCTAGCCCAAGGATACCATACACCCGGTCCCGTGGCTCCGTTACGGCCCTCCTCCGGGCGAGATCCAGCAAGAACGCAGGATTCAGATCCCGGCCCTCGTATTTTCTGGCTTCGGCCGCGGCTTCCATCTCCTGGATTGCTTCGAGACCTCGCAAGCCAGCAACGACATCTGGATAGATTATCGAGAACTGATGCACCTGAAGCCTGGCCAGCGCGGATGTAGCGCTGGAGAAGTCGTCCCAAGGGAGGACTTTCGAACCGCAAACAATCTGGCCCTTTCGAGCTAGCACAACTTCCTGAAAGATCCAGAGACGCCGAAACCATTCCCGATAAAGGAGTGAACCAAGAGCAGATCGTACCTCTTCGCCTGCGCCGGCTAGACCACACTTCTCTAATACCTCTCCGCTCCTGGCAAATTGTGAGAGATTCTTCCGCGAAATGACGCCTTTCTTTTCAGACAAGGCACAAATTGTGTCCATGGCAAGATCGCTATCTGAGCTAGGCGGACCAAGCCACAGAATAACCTCCTCAGCCAAGCTGTACAAAGTATCCATATTTCGGACTTGGTGGGCTTTTTCCGTATCGTCGCGCTGATTGATACATATGGCATCTATCCAAATAGGAAGTTCGTCACATAAGCTTGATATGACCGCCGAAGAGAGCAACTCGAAGACGCTGCGCGTGATCAGCAGTTTCTGCCCATTGCACGTGATACTTTGGGTCAAAGCTGGGGAGCCCCAGGTGTATGAAATGGCGCGAAACCGTAGACTCTCGTCAAGCAACTTGCTTTGGAATTCATATAGGACAGCTCCATTGCAGCGATGCTTCGCCTGCAGGAGACGAATGTATCCTTGAGGCAATGGTGAGTACACAAAAGTTGCACTCATGAGGTGACCTCAAGTCTCGAGCATCCAGCGTAGAGAGACGGAGAAGAAAATCCATCAGATCGCTGACCTAGATGGGGGCCGAAGTGGCGCAGCCAGCCCGTTGCACTACAGTAAATTCGGCCAGTAGGTACTATAGCAAGTATGCATAGGGTACCCCTGAGCAGCTTGCGTCTTTATGCCCACATGGATCCATCGAGGGTGGGAGAGAGTTCCGGTCCTTGGTAGGAATTCTCGATGTGCAAAATGTGTCTTCAGGTGCATTCATGGCAGAACACAATAATCTGAGCTGTAGTACATCATAAACAAGAGGTAACATTAATGTAGTACTTCCCACCTCGCAAAGTCTACAAACCTCGTCCTACTTTTTATCATTAATCTCTAATACTACTAGTATTAGAGAAAGGATGTATTCCAGGGCAAGGACAATGCTTGCAAGACATGACTATTTCTTCTCTTGTTCACGTGAACCGATTCTGAATACGAATCCATGGTATATGGTTATCTTCTTCAGCAAAATCTTTACGACAAAAAACGCCTTCCCCCATAAACTTCATTGCTATGCTCAAAGGCGATCACAGCTCCAGAGTTTAATGCCTTATGTCAAGTAACAACCGTGCTCGACTTCAGTAAACACGCCTAGTCCCTCGTCCATCCGGGCCATGTATTCTCCTTGTCCCTGCAGCTTTCTGCCCTGGCCGGTTCGTGATACTGCCTTTGAGCTTCATGATTGCACCTGAGATCTTATCACCCAGCGACGGTCTGCGGCGCTGGTTATTGACTGGCACTATTGAAGCTGTTGTAGCTACGGGCTGGCTGTGATGGGAGCGGCGGGAGCGGCGGGAGCGGCGGGTAGCACAAGTGGTGGTTGCGGTATGAGTACGGGGTTTGCGGTGGGTAAGGCACGATAATAGAAAGGGTTTGCGGGTGTACGTCGGCTGGGTGGTGTAGGTGGGAGCAGTGGTATGGGCTGCGTGGTGGGCTCGACGAGATCGAAGGAAGGCCATGGTGGTACTCGGAGTCTTGGGTTGTTGATGCTTATGATTATGGGGACGATGTGAGAGTAAGTGAAGAGGCTGACAAGACCACAAACCTACCCTTATATGACTATCCAACTCATGTCCAGAAGCTTATTCATTTGCCTTGTATTTGCAAACCAGCTTTTTGGCCCAGCTGAGATGTCAATGTTGGCAGCCCCCTGTCCACCCGTGCGTGAAAATGGAGCAAGACTGATGGGGTGATCGACTGAACCTTGCGTCATATTTGAGGTTCCGTGATGCTTCTTTGGGGTTTTGGACTCATGAAGATGTCGAGTACTAATTTGTTCTTGTGCTACGTAAGCTCAAGTCAATCCTTGTTTCCAAAGCCGTCAAAATTGGATCGACAAGCCAAGGTCAAATAAACTTGAGTTCAAGACCCTGGGTCGATGACATCAAACGAATGATAACACCAGAATTCTCCTGGACGACATCGTCAGCAGCAAGAGTCCTCCAAATAGAGTCCGCATTGTAATCTACTCACTGCCATAGAAACCATGAAAGAGATATCCACCAAACCACGGTAAAATTTGACAAATAAGCCTAAGTTTATAAAGATAATAAAAAAATATATAATCTTAAGAAAGGCTAAGAACCTAGTAAAGCTAATAAAAAAGGTTTAAAAGTAAGTATAAAGGTACTTAAAGATTATATAAGAGTAATAGCAAGAGCAGGCAAATAAGTACTATTAGGAAATCAATTTTAAAAAAGGAGATAAGGTCTAGCTATTAATAAAGAATATTAGTATAATAAGACCTTATAAGAAGCTAGATTTAAAATAGATTAGACTATTCTCTGTTATAAAGAGACTTAGGCAGAGCTTTTGTCTAGAGCTGCCTTTATTAATACGGATTTATAACGTATTTTATGCATTACTACTTATTAAAGACCCTGCTAATCCCCTGTCAGGCCAGGAATATCTACAGCCTCTGCTAGTAAAAACAGAAGGAGAGGAGGCGTAAGAGATTAAGGACATAGTTAATATTAAGCAAGTAAACAAGGCCTTGAAGGTACGAGCCAAGTAAGTAGGTTGGCTAGAGGACCTGACCTACTACCCTATCACGAACTTTAAGGACTCTGAGGACCTGCTCAGAGACTATTTTGAAAGGCACCTAACAAAAAGAGCGCCTAATTAGTTAAACTTATAAGCTGAATACAGGAAAATCTAACAGAAATGTCACGTAATAAATTTAGCTATACATGTATAGCCAAATTTTAGACTAACCTAATAAGGAAGTTATTAGGCTTAGCAACAAAATTTAGGAAAAGTAAACTTACTTTCTTATGCTCTTAATTAAGGGCAATTAATTTTTTAAAGGGGGGGTAGTATAATAAATAGAGTATCTCTTCTACTATAGCGCAGAAAATACATAAGACTAGTTATACACTTAGATAGTAGTGCTAATAACATATCTATAATAACATACAGCACTCTTACTATTAAGCTATTATGCCGCTAATAGAGGCATCTGTACAGCACGTGGCTCCCTATACAAGTACTATAGAATAGGAGATTAATACGACCTCTTTAAGGAAGTATAATCTCCTCTAGAGGGAAGCTACTACTTCTAGCCCTATAGATACTCTGTCGGATCCTCTGTATAGGTTAACTAGTAACACCCCTTGTGTTTAATAAAGGAGTATATAGTAGCCATGTCCCTCTCACTTTCATCGAGCGCTCAGCTTTAGCCGTTGGCTCTGCAGTCGCCAGTCTTCTGAATCCGCGACGAGCAGATATGATTGCTGCGCTCGGCGAGGCAACTGCTCAACCCTTCTTCATCACAAAGCTTCGAAATCGAATGCTAGCAAGTCCGACTATTGACTTATTCTAGTTTCGAGCTATTATACTAGCTTATTAATCTTAAGATATCTTATAATCTGCTTGAAACGCTCTTAAGAGATATATTTAGTAATTAGCTAAGTTAGCTAATTATTATTCTGATTCTAGTAGTATCTAACGTCTCTGCCACCTAATTAAACGCTAATTAGAAGTATCGCACTAATATAGCCTCTAATATCTATAGCTATTATATCTCTTTATACTAGTCAAGTTTGTTAAAAGTCCTTTAATTATTTGTTAAAAGCGTATTTGTTAGTATGCATTATAATCTGTGTAAATAGCTCTTTCGAAATAAATCGATAAAATAAATCAATTAGTATACATTTATAAGGAGGCAATAAAACTTGACCTAACGCAGGCAGTTTCAGAATGTTCAGCTTTTCAGGATAAGGGCGAGGAGGACTAATGACTTTGCGAAGAATCTGTAGCTTTTCTGACTTATTTCGAGCCGATTCAACTTGTTGCTGCCATTCCTCCTTCTTTTCTGTTTTGACTGTTTGATGGTTGTCGCTGTTTTTCGTACGTTTCGCTCGAGCGTGAGGAGCTCAGAATCGGCGAATTTGGTATGTGGATAGGCTGTGCCGCAGCTGTGGTAGACTTTGAGGAAGGTACTTCGAGTGGCTGATTTTGAGCTTGATTTTCAAGGGCTTTTCGGCTCTGGATTCGAGCTCTCTTCGGCTGAGGCAGGTCTTTAGCTAATGGAGCAGCTTCTATAGTATCTAGAGGCCCTGATATCTCTTCTTGATGATGCTTTTGGGTCATTGAGTTCTTGATATGTACTCTATTCTTACTGCGCTACCACAGCTCTGGTGTTGCACCGCAGAAATTAAGGTTAAGGTTACGGGCGCTAAGGACCCTGGTCCCAATGCGGACCAATTAAATAAATGTCAAATTTTACCGTGGTTTGGTGGATATACTGAGCATATAACACATTTCGTCATGGTATAATAATGAAACAAGATTTGCCTATAGATCTTGGTAGACGAACAGTCCTTGAAGATGGCTCGAGGAAGATAACAGAAAGCGGAAGAATTTGTGTTACCTCCTTTTTCGAATAGAGGCATAGAAGGCCTCAATTAGCGTCGTCGATGTTCTTGCATGTGAGGCTGCAATGTTTTTTTGCTTGGCGGATGTTTCAAGTAGATGTCCGAGGATATTTCTCTCAAAGAACGGAGCTGTCACCTTTCTTGTTAAGTAGATGATCTATCTTACATGCATAATTGTTGAGTGCTGGGTAGAAGACATCTCAAAAGCAGCTTTATTTGAGGTTAACATCTGCTAAATGTGCTGATCAAGATATCTAGTACGGAGTGGATAGAGAAACAGTGATATAGCTGCGTAGCCATAATGAGCACACTCATTTTCTCTCGACCTTCTCTTCCCGAGGAGGTAACTGTACAAGCCCAGCGTGGCCACTCCTCTTACTTATAGGCTTTACAACTTCTAGACATAAGCCATCTACACTCGAACGTCCCATTGGTTGTAGCTGCACCCAAGCACTATCACAGTGTAAACTTGATTGAACCGCATTGAGCGACACTGTTGATAGACGTTGTCCCGGCGGAATCAGATAGAGGATCTTTAGCGAGATCGCTCAGGAGTGAAAGTCTGCTGAAAAAGGTCTGCAATACTCACCTGTGAAGCTGCGTCTCGCTGCCAAAGTGTGCTCCGCTCGGGCTCTTTCCCAGCCCGAATTCTGGGAGAGCATAGATGTACGAAGCTGTGGCGACCTTCTAGCCGTCGGAACTGGCTTACGGTTGATCCAGCTCACTCAGATTAAGGCTTGAGCATCACCCACTAACGATCGATGTGGTCGCACCAATTGTGACTATCGTAAAGCGTAGGTACACCGTTGCACAAAGCTGTTTCATTTTGCATTGGGTTTGTTATCTGAAGCCGCCTTAGGCCTAGTGTTTGTTGGCTTAGACGGAGGCTTGAGTGCTGGCGTTGACGTTGACGCTACCTGGATTTTGTTATTTGCCAATTTTGCTGGCAATGGCTGCTTTGTCGTCTGCTTCGGTAGCACTACTTTTGTTGACGCTGACTTTGGTGGAAGGGGCGTTGCCCCAGGTGGTCTTTGTAAGGTAGACTTAGGCACAGACCCTGACTTCTGAGCTGGTGTATTTTTGGTGCGCCGGACCGGACTTTGCTGGGTTATTTTTGCTTGGCCTCCATTACTTGACTTGCTGGTTGGCTGTTTGACATTTGGATTGGGGGCTTGAGGAGCAGGACGCGATGGAAGTTTGGTTTTCATATCTTGAAGTGCGTTTTTCTGCGTGAATATGGTGTCAACAGCTGGCTGATGCCTCTTCATTTCGTTCTTTAGACCCTTCTCACTGAGCTCAGGCAATCGGACGACCTTCTGAACACTTGGGTTCTTCGAGAGACCTGCGTAAATCGTCGCTGCCTTCCCGAGCAGTGAATCTGGATCTTTGGCCACTTGATTGACTGGATGCGTAAGGAGCGGTTGCTTTTGACCGTTGATTTGCGTCTTCTGCAACTCCTCAGCCTTTTTGAGCACATCCTGGCTCTTCAGTGATTCTGTGACTGTTGTCGGAAGTGCATTATAAAACATGTATAAAACCATTGCCAGTACGCCGACAGGAGCAAAAACCTGTAAGAATTCGTACCAGTAATTGGACTTGATTTCGGTTTCAATATGCCCAGCACCTCGAATGATCTTCCCTTCACGAGTCTTGTGAGCACCCCTGTCGGCTGGAAAACGTCCATGACGGTAATAGGCCTCTATCAGACCATCCTTTTCCATCCACCGAGCTCTGAGCCACACTTCGAATGCTACAGGGTCGTCTATAGGAATCGAAGATAGTGGGAAACGTCGCCAATGCATGTTAACGGATTTCGGAGGCTGGCCCTCGAAGTAGGCACTTTTCACGGTAAATATATCTTGCGCATACTGTCCTCGTCTGGAGACCACATCAGTATAATAGCGCAAACAATGGAACACAGCGATAACATACGGCACACCCTCATAAGCGATAGTACAATCGTAGACATATTTGACGGTTTCCTTCATCTGTTGCAGACTGAACCGAAGTCCCGTACTTCGTGGAAGAAGTGTGTGTTGCATGTCTTGGATTCCATTCTTCTTTGCCCAGTTTGCGCTTCGCTCTCGCGTGGACTCAGCAAGGTTTGTACCCTCCGGAAATATTAACAACCACATTGGAAGGGTCGGCTTGTTCAATTTCTGAAAATGTTTTGCCATTTGTGGTTTATCTTCCTCCCAGTTCCGTTTCAAAAATATGAATTGTGAAAGTCTCATACCCCAGCCCAGTATCGGAATATTTCTGAGCGACTCCTTGAGAACGATAAATATAGACCCATGCATTCCATTGCAGTATGCGAACCACCATAAGTATAGCCAATCGGTGTAGATCTGACAGCTATCAGCCCACGTTCTCTCCTGAAAGTGAAAGCTGTTAAACCTGGTGGTTGGCAATAAGGACCATTCTTTGGGGAAAGAGGCATCTCAAGCCTCCATTAGCCGTCGGAACCAACTGACCCCGGACGCTCTTGTCTCCGCTAACTCTGACAACGGTCGGAGCCCAGTATTGGGTCAGGGTCGTCATGAGGAGGCCGATAGATTTCTTGGTTAATGCTATCCAAGCATTGTACCAGTTTTCGTTGATGAGATATAAGGGGGCGCCTAGGAATTGTGATAGGTTGACCCTAAGAGAAGAAGGTCAGTCCTGCCTGTGGTAGTTTCACAGCCAGAGGAGTTCCTACGCCATGCATCCCGAGAGGAAGTACGAGCCCACTTCCAGAGCCCTTTGCATTTGTGAATGTTCGCCATCGCCACTTTTGAGGTGGTTTGTGGCAGCAGCGTAGAGCTGGTCAGTAGGAAAAGCGACCTGGTTTCCAGTCGATTGCCCGGACTTCGCATTTGACATAATAGCAGTATGGAAGGCTCAACGCAACATCAATATTATCCTCTCGAGTCTGGATAAAAACGACCTCGAATGGTGCTACACAAGTGTCATCACCACACTTGAACCAAAAGAGACAGCTTTGCCAAGGTCATCAGTGACATCAGACCTCGGGGCTAGTAATGTCAAGGGCAGAGCCGCCGAAAAAGAGGAACACGATCAAGAAGCTTTCTCCACTACAAATCTACATCATTCATTTTCTTGCTTTTTCAATCTAACCCAATGCAATTATCTACGTACTAACCTAACTCCATTGATTGGTTGATCACATTACATTCTGAATACCAGCTTTCCACGGCTTCAACCAACAGGTAAGAAATCTGCTACGACCCGATGGCGACACCGGAAAGGAATACGGGACCAAATGCGGTAAGAGGACAGACGACGAACAAGGTTCATTCCAAGTTCAAGCCACTGCTAAGCAACTTTCATGTCCTGTGGAATCGAACCATATCGAACTATCATGATCGGGCCCCCAATGACTGACACGTTGGATGCAGAAGGCCGTTGTTCCAGCTCATCGTCATCCCTGGTCGATCATGCTATGGCGCAGCAATCGACCTTCCAACGAATGCCAGCAAGTTTCTGGTCTTCGTCAGTGTGGCGTAGAGAGTCTCGTCCAGACTCCACTCTGACGCCATAGGGTCCCCAGCAACAATTTTACTACGTATAGCGTCTTGACGCATTGGCACCCACCCCGTTCCTCTCTAAAAGCCAATTTCTCTCTGTATTCTTCCAGTCTTTGGTTCTTCATTATAACATTCAATACAGTCTGCCCAATGCCTAACTTCAAAGTTGACGTCGATTACGATCTAGACTTTCTTAACGTCACGTTCACCAGGTCGCACGGTGTTCCCAAAGTTACCCCTGCGTGGAAAGTCAGGACAGCTCCAAAGCTTGGACCTCCAAAATCAAAGGCTTCACCAGAGAAGTCGTCCTTTCGACCACCCCCTCGACCTAAGATCAACGCTGCCAGATTTCAGCAACCTTCAAGTGAGCTCACGCCCAGAATCACAGACGTGACAGAGACAGAGGAAAGTTCGAAGTCAGAAGGCGACAATTTGAGTGCCACAAACAAAGCTTTGAAGCCGACAAGTGGCAACGCAAAGAAAAACCCTCCTAAGCCAAAGGATACAAGCGACTCCAAAGCAAAAGCCACACCCAACACAGCGAACAAATCTAAGGCCGTCAAGGGTATTTCGAAGCCACAGGTGAACGGAACCCAGTAATCAGAGCAACTTCTCAATATGGCCACAGGTTGGGTCCTCAACAAGGTTTCGGAAGCTCTTGCACCTACAGTCTCCAATATCGTTTCAACTGCTGGGGGCGTTGCTGGTGATGTAGTCTGCGCTGTTGGTAACAGTATCAATGGAGTTGGTGACGGCATCAGCGGCGCTTTCCGCCGATATGGTGATGCCGCAAAGAACACTGGCAATGGCCTCAAAGACTTCACCGGAGCTACGGGAGGACGGGCAGGAACTGCCACCAATCCTCTAGGATTGAGCGATACTAAAGCCGGAGGAAGGAGAGCCATCACATCTCCAAGCATACCAAAGCCAATCGATCGCAAACCTGCAGCTTCGGCATCTTCCCAGAAGGCCCTTCCAGCACCTAAGTCCGCTGTCTCCAAATCTAATACGGCGGCACCTGTTAAACCAAGTACTGCATCCCCAAAGCCTCGGCCTTCTTCAATTAACATCGCCAAATCTCCTGCCCTGCCAAATACTGGAAAAGCACTTAGCTCCGCTAAAAGTTCTGCATCATCAGCCGCTAACAAAATGTCGCCGTACAAATCGCCAAATACTCCAGCAAAGACGAGTCCCACCTCTAAGAAGGTGACTTACAGCACAAGACCAAAAGTGACGGGTACCACGGCCGAAGCGAGAAATCCTCTGGGCTTGTAGGCTTTTGAACGGACGGAAGAAGTGCGAGGCATGGTCTACGTTGTGTGCAAGTTTGCTTTACTGTTACATTTAAGATTGATCTTTGTACGATTAGCATTTCCTTACTGTAGCACAATTCGGCATTGTGATCGATCTAGTATGAAATTGTTCTACGTCTATCCTTGTCTAGGACTCTTAGTTTTCGATTACAGTAGTAATCGATTTCCGTCAGCGCCTACAAGACCGGCAGTCCTTTTTGTACACAGTATGCTTGGGACTTATCGTAGTAGTAACGCCATAAGCCTAATTTGGACGTGATTGATTGAATTGAGTATGAAGCTGCGGAGCAGCAACGGAAACTAGCAATCCACCGTCGCCAAGTAGAGCAAGCACGTACAATTGTCCTGTTAAATGGGATAGATAATAAGCCAGTGAACACGCGCTTCACTGATTCTCAACGCATAACGATAGAATGACTATGTTTGCAATAACTCTAGTGGAATCTCTTTTTCTGTGAAAGCTCGTAGTGCTACTAATCAGTGTTAAAACTACACTCCTATTGTGTCAAGATCGCGCCCTGTGGCTTGAGGCAATATCGCTATGCTGACCATCGGGGTCCTAAACAGTCAGTAATGACCTTAAGTTGGGAGTGAACGATCGCAAAGTCTCTAGGATTAGAGACTACCAGAATGACTGTTGTTGCTCCTCCACCAAACCCGTCTCTTGTTGCCATAATTCTCGTGATTCAAGCACGATCAGGACCACGCTTCGTTTACCACTATCCCCCTTCACCACTCTCAAGAGCGGGGTTGGATAGCTTTGAGGAAGGGCCTTCCTCCTATGAGAACTCGAGTGTTCCAGACGACGACATCACAAGTACATCCAACGAGGAGCTTCTGGCTGATGAATACGGTAGAGGTAGGACAAAGCTGAAACGTGCCGATTTTACAGACGAAGAGGACGAAAATAGCTCAAGTCCCGGGACAGACGACAAGCAGCATGGAGGTTGGCGAGTTCCATGGGAGAACCTTCTTGGCCTGGACGCGAGTGCACTCGAAAGGCTGCTGATGCCATCGGATAGAAGCTGGCATAAGCGGAAGTTTGAGGTCGGCTTCAATGACTTGGTCTTCGTCGGCTGGCCCATCTTCATCCGAGAAGATGGAACCTGGCGCAAGAAAAGGCGAAAGGAGCGTGTTAACACCGTCAAAGCAGAAGATAACAGAGTCGACTCAAGTCTCGAAGTGGTGCATAAGGGGGAATATGCTACAGAAGACGAACTTAACCATGAAAGACATGTGGATCTTGAGAACTCTCCGGCCACTAATCCAGCCTCGAGCCAGGCGGATGAAAGCCGAGAGATGACCATCTTCAATGTCGTTTTTGTTCTCAATCCTCCAATACTCGAATATAGTCTTCGAGTTAACGAGATGTACGATCACGTGGTAAAAAAGCTGGGGAAAGCGTTGAAATGGGAGCAAGCTCGTGCAAATTACGTGTGGCAGCAATCGGATCTAATCTTGAAAGCGAAAACTCAAGCTCGTCATAAAAGTGAGTCCTTCTCCCTCTCCTTTCCAGCGTTGAGGATCCTGATCACACTTTAGGGTCGTCTATTACAGCTCTCTATGCGACACTCCTACGGATCTCCTCTCTTGCAAGCGCAATTGCGACGATTTACGACAATATATCTCGCTCTATGATTGCGGCCATAACTCTCACACCAACCGTTCCTATATCACTGCAGATCCCACCTGTAACCTCAACTTCTGTCCTTCCTTCCAGTACCGATCCACCATCTGCCCGTACACAGCCTGGCGTATGGCTTACCACGGCGACAGCAGGCAGCTCCGATGAAATAGCTGACACTGATCATCCTCAATCTGCAATGTCTCTCGCCAAACACTTCACACTCCTTCTTCTCGATAAAGAATCCAAGATTCTGGCAGACATCTCCCAGTCTGGTGGACCTCTCGCTGCAGCACTCGCTCACTATATACGCGTGTCGTCTCCCACGAAATCGTTTGCGAAAATATCAGCTCTTCATTCAATTTCCCTTCCCGACATCCAGCTCTTGGCACAGCATCTCGTCGACTGGCGGCGCGCTCGAGCTATCCCTCCTTTGCACCAGCGCGATACCTATATCGTTAGTCCCAATGCCGACCTCAAAAAGCTTTCTACGGCTGTAAAGTCGTATGAGTCCGCATTTCCGACCTTACCTTCGTTGCCGAAAATGCTACAAGCGCTTAGTGGTATTCCACGGCCATACTCGTCCCTCATTCCCAGCAAGGATCACAAGCAAGCATACTTCAGGATCTTGGCTTGGTTGCTACGTGGAGGCTGGGTCACTCAATTGCGCTCTTTTGCTTTCGTGAGGATCGACTCAAGTATCAAGATTGCTGTCAAGGAACAAACGAAGACAGACCGAAATGGGAAGGGCCCGTCTGACAGGGACAATCCTTTGGAAGCAAGTCATGACACGATCACCTCTCTGCATCTTGCAAAACGACCAAGCATGGTCAGTCGCGTCAGCAGTGATATCAGGAGCTCCACCTCTTCTCATTCCAATCCTAAGATGAACTCAATAATTCTGCAGCCGGCGCGGGCGTCGCCTACCGAGTCCAAGTGGCTGGACTACATAGCGGATCATTTACATGAGCTACTTTCTGCGGACTTGCATGAAGACGAAGTTCTGGAGTTACAACAGTGCTGGCCGACGTTTACTAGGTATTTCAACGGCATGGAACCACTTGAGAAGATCCCGGTGCGAGAGGGACTGAAGCGAAAGGCTGCGTGGGACCTCCTCAATAGATTAGGCCTATTTGAATCACTTTCAAATGAGGCAGCACGTCAGAGAGATACTCAACAAAGGATCCTAGTGGGATTTCGGCATTGGTAAGCAAAATATAGATCACCGCCAATTTCACATAACCTTCCACCGCTCCTACTCCACCCACAATCCGTGCTTCTTATGCCAGCTCTCAATACTTTCCTCCCCGAACACTTCATGCACTTCTTTATTTCCTTCGGGCCACCTGACCCATTGTGGTTTTGAGTCCCCTCGCACACATACTAGTTCATCAGGAATAGGGAGCTCAGTGTCAATCGCACTACTGAACGGGTGGATCAGCTCAGGCCAGTGGTAGTCCCACACCCAAAGCATGGTAGAGCAGTCGCCGCAGAAGGAACGTTGAGATGTGCATTGTTCCTCAGTGGGTTTGCCACGGTCCTTGATTGCTGTATACTTTCTGCACACAGTTCAAGTCAGCATGCGAGCCCCGGGTGGGCCGGTCAAGAATCCATGCAGTTGGTAAAAAGATACTAACATACTTGATCTGGTTGATTCCTTTCGTGATCTTTAAGCTATCGGCTACGGCTCCCAAATTGCAAGAGCCATTGTACCCTCCAACCTTACGGCAAATGCTGCACGCGCAGATCTGATATGGTACAGGAGTATGTGACTCAACTGTGAATTCAACAGCGCCACATTGGCAGCTTCCATTCAGTGTCATAGGCATTGTTGATTATGGGGAATGGTTAGAAATGCGTCTTAAAGTGATTCCAGTACCACTCGTGTATGTCCTAGGTCCGTAAAATACTTTACTTAGATGTCGAATTGACATTAGAATATACTCAGTGCCCGAAGAAGCCGGGGCGTGAGCTTACGCGGGGCAGCTGGTCCTCTAGTCCGGAGGTCCTCTGGTCCCTGAATTTGTTGTCGATTTAGGCGCGAACAGCCGCGGAAGCTTCCGCTCAAATTGTTGCTGATCTCTTCTTTCTCATGGTGTACAGGTACATACTTCTAGAATCTGCCTTGGACAAGTGGAGGCAAGGGTGCCGCACAGATATTCGATCACGTCCTACTAAGCCGAAGACATCGTTGTAGCAACCATGGCGACCGCCGGCGATATTAGAGAGATCATGGATATACCCCAAGAGGGTCCTCCCAAGCCCCCGCCCAAGAAAGTCCGAGTCGACCCAGGTCCCAGACTGACAGGCTTCCAGCGAGAAGTGCAGTCTCTCATGAGCGATAGCCATAATGTTCCACCTATTCCTATTGTGGACAACTCAAGATATAAGGCCAAACCCACCTATGCCCCTCGAGCGTTTAAGACAAGAAAATGGGAAGAGCGGCGGTTCGTTAATGGCGCGAGGACTGACGGCCTTGAGCTCCGACACTGGAAACATGCTATTTCTGTTGGAGCTGGCAAGAGATTGCTAGAAGCCTCTGCGAATGGAACGAATGTGATACCTGATGGAGGTAGTCAGACTATGGGACAACCTACTCCTGGCAATGAGGAAAATGTTGGTACTCAGCCAACTACGGCTATTCGTTATGATGATGAGTTTCCTATGGAGAAGTTCAATGTCAAGGTGAGCGTGCCGAGTTACACACCGGAGCAATATGAAGCACATTTCAAATCAGAAGAATGGACGAAGGAGGAAACAGATTATTTGATGGATCTGTGTCGTAATTTCGATATGCGATGGATAGTAGTGGCAGATCGATACGAGCCAAGCGAGATCCCAGTGTCAGCGCAAAAGGCAGCTGCAAGGGAATCGAAGAACTTGGGCGCCAGTCAGACATATGGAGAAGCATCAGGCGACGCAATGGCCATTGACCATAGTTCAGCACCAGCAGGCAATTCTACCTCAGACAACAAAAATCCAAGTACCACTGAAGAAACCAAGCCGTTTTACCCTCAACGCGCTCTTGAGTCGCTCAAGGCTCGTTACTACACCATTGCCTCAAAAATGCTTTCCATCAACACACCACCCGACACGATGACACCCTCCGAATTCGGTCTCTGGGAAAAGATGAAGAATTTCGATAGCCGCACTGAAGAATTACGCAAGAACCTTGCCGAGAAACTCTTCCTGCGCACCAAAGAGGAGGCAGATGAGGAGCGCTCTCTCCTCGAAGAGCTAGCACGCATAACAAAGAACGAAGAGGAATTCCTGAAGATGAGAAAGGATCTCTATCAACGACTCGAGACGCCAGTGTTGAGCCGACGAGCCGAAGACCAGGGCACAGCTGCCCTCTATCAATCCAGCCAGGGGCTTGGCCATCTATTGTCAAACCTGCTAAACCGCGAGAAGCGCTTCAAGAGGCCGGGTATGATCGATACGGGCCGTGCAAACTCGACACAAGACGGCAACGGCGAAGCAGAGCGCGGCACCGCGGGCACGGCCACAGACCGACCAAGGAAACAGACTTGGGAGAAGGGACAACATCCGAACCAGTATACTGCTCGTCGTAATACCATGGATTCCGAGAGCGTAAACGGTGATGCACCGAAGAAGACAGGCTCGATGGCTCAGACGCCAAATGTGCGGAATCTAACGCCAGCGGAAGAGGCGAAGTATGGTGTTGCGCACCCGCAGGAACGGATTACCAGTGGTGTGCAGTTCCGGCATGAGAAGGCGAGTAAGGTCGTGCTGTCGAAGAGTGCGGCTCAAATGGCAAAGATTCAGGCTGCGTTAGTGGAATTAGGGATTCCGGTCAGGCTCTTAATGCCGACCGAGAGGGTTTGTAGAGAATACGAGAGGCTGGTGGCCGATATTGTGCTGTTGCTCGATGCGAGGAGGGGAGTTGAGAGGGTGAGCAGCGAAGTTAAGGTTTTGGAGGAGAGTAGGAGGATGAGGTTGGGACTGCCGAAGGAGGATCAGGACGGAGGAGACGGAGGCGACAAGATGGATGTCGACCAAGATAGTAAGGCTCAACATGGTGGCGAGGGAAAGCAGGATTCCGTTCAAGAACAACAAAACGCCAATTTCAAACCCGATCCTGAAGCTGAAGCTGAAGCTGAAGACTCCGATGGTAATGCAGATGTGGCGCCAGAAGGTGATGAGGATGTGGTCACGACACGTACGGAAGTGAATCCAGAGAACGAAAAGAGTGGAGAAAACATGGGTGCGGAGGATAATAGAGATGACGACGAAGACGATGAAGGCAGCAGTGAAGGAGAAGCAGCAGAAGCAGACGAGAATGCAAGCGAATCAGAAGCCGAAGCTGAGAACGATGATGGCGACGGCGATGCAGAAGTCGAAGCCCAAGAAGATGACAACGAGGAGGAAGAAGAAGATGATGAAGAAGAGGACGAGCGCGCTGCAACTCCGTCGCCCGATAACGACGGGAATGAGGCCGAAGAAGAGGACGAAGCCTCGGAAGCTGAGAGCGATGCACCAGAGGCTGATCAAGCGGTTGGCGAGGACGAAGCAGAAGAAGAACAGTCAGAGGCAAAGACCCAACAGCCACCTGCTGTGCCTGCACGACTACACAAACGATCTGCCAGCGTGATTTCGGATGGTAGTCGAGCGGGAAGTAATAGGAGTGGAGTGGGTCGCAAGAAGGGGAGGAGATAGATGGAACTAAACATCATCAGACCAGTGCTAGTTCAAGGTGTATATCTTTCCCAGAATTGCAGTCACCGGAGCTACCTGTGTTAAAGAACGGCCTGAATCCGAACTCGGACATCAAGAGTCTATTTGCTTCCCAAATTGTGCCTCAAGAGAGGCAAGAATTAGAATCTCTAGATTTGGACTTCGAAGGACTTCATCTAGGTCGAATAATCCATAGGACCTCACCTAGCTCGCTGTAGAAGGATATGCCACAAGTCTGTCCAGAACCTGGATTTGATGATACAAAGTATATGCTGACGCCAGTGATGTCACTTTCCAATGCAGATCGCAGATTCCCCCAAATCACATCTAACAAGACAGCTCCCACTTTGGCTTCATGTCCGCCGTGTAAGCACCCCAGTGCTTCTCATTCGCAGCTGAGCCATCCTGTCCAATGCTGTCTGGCTTGTTCGGCTCATCGAAGGCCTCGAAGTAGAACACATTGACGCCCCAGTCAAGCATACCGCAAACACCGCTCTTCCAGTAGGTGATGGCGTTGTCGGTGCTCGCGATAGCGGCACCGTAGCTGGAGCCGCCATCGGTGGGCCAGCCAGTCTCGCCGTTCCAGAGTTCGGGGGTCTCGGTCGAGCCGGAGATGGTCTGGATGTGGTTGAAGGCTTGCATGATGTCGTCGAAGTAGGTGGCGGTTGCGTTGGAGATCTCTTGGGCTTGCCAGTAGGCGAAGGCGTTGACGAGGCTGGTAGAGTGTCAGTTGTGCCGAGATGGGGGCTGGGAGGGTTAGACTGTGTCTCACAGTAGCTTGACGCCTCCTCTGATGACAGGGTCGGCGGTTCCGTCAGCGTATTTGTTCCAGCTGTCGGCTGTGCCAATCATGGTTTCTGGGAACATTTCCTGGACCTCGTTGATCTTCTCGAGGAGCTGCTCTCCGGTGAAGTTACCACGATAGAGTGATTCAGATCCAACGGTGATGGCGTAGATAGTGTCCTCGTTGCCTGGAACGGCAGCTTGAAGGGCTTCCTTGTCGGCAGCGAAGGACTCTTCCGTATCGGGCCTGTATGCTTGTCAAACCGAGAAGTATCAGACTCATGTATCATCTTGACATACCAGACACCAAGCACAACCTGGAAGCCCTTCGCTTTCGCAGCAGGGACGATGTTCCTCGCTGTATCGCATCCATCGGAGGTGTAAGTTCGAACAACCTTTGTAGCACCACTGAGAGCGTCAAGATCTTTCTCGTAGTCTTGCTGGGATTTGCAGCTATTGTCAGGATTGGTGTTGCCCACAGCGAAACCAAGGGTGCCGGCAGCAGAGACTGCGAATGGACTGGCAACGAGGGCCGCTGAGAGGATGCTGGTGATACGCATTGTTGATGTTTCGATTAGCCGTCTGTATGTTGTGAAGTGATATGAGGTATCAAATAGCTCGGGTTGAAATGAATGACAGGAGCTTATCTGTAGAAATTAAAAGAGAGAAAAAAATATAAATGAATGAAGATGCTGAAGATGTAGAGAGAGAGAGAGAGAGAGAGAATGAGTGAGAGAGTGAAATCTATCTAACTTGAGAAAAGGGATGACCGCGCCGCCGAGTTTCACCCAACAGGGGACTGCCTTACTAATAGCGTGAATACTCGCCAAGCCATCTTTACACTACGCTAGCAACACTGCAAATCGTTGTCGTTTAAGTACTGTAAGTTGGAGACCAGCCTCGGCGAGTCGCTTCTAGGCCGTATCAAACAAAAGACGACAGCACGATTGCGACTCGAGATGACATTCCTTTCGAAGCTATGCATCGCCATTGGTCTCGTGTTCCTAGCACATGCGTACGTCTTAGGCGAGGATGTGTTTGCAGTAACTAATGGATACCTAAGGGGCTACTCCGCTCACGAATACTCAGCCTTCTACAGTCGCATTCATTCTGCGAATACCTCGACTGTCTATTCGTTACCGCTTGATATAAGGATAGAGACCATTGTCTCGGTCTTCCTTATTTGCTTCGGGCTTGTGGCAGGAGCAGATCCATTGAAGCCGATTAATTGGAATGTGTGGGCTGGCAATATTGAGAAGGAAGGGGGCGCACGAAACCCGTTCAGAGGCCTTGAAGAAAGAGCAGGGTTCGTGGACATTAGGGTGAGTCTTCCAGGAGCAAAATGGACAGAGCAAGTTGTGGGTTACTGACCGGCTTCAGGCGAAGAGGAAGGAATTTGCCGACTGGGTGAAACAACGAGATAATGTTGTGAAGAGCTGAGTGTGGAATTTTATAATGCTAGCCGAAAACAAAGCCATCAGAAGTCCGGAGAGCCATGTTTTGCGTCAGTCTCGCTCTGTTGAGTAGTTTGTAGGCGGTGAGAGTCATCCATCCGCCCTGTTCCCGGAGCATGAGTAGTGAACCTGATTCCTTCCACGTAGGTCTACTGCTAAGCCAATCTACATTTTTTATTGGTTTCAGCCAATCCACGTTCTCTGCTCACCGATCAACTTAATTTGGTGCAAAAGCTCGAGGTGGAACGCCCATTCCATCAGTGACTGATTTGAATAACACCGGATATCGGGCATCTGTGCTTACCATTCAGTGGAAGCGGGCCCATTTGCAACATTCTGGCACAAGAGGATAGATGAAATGTGACTTTTCATTGAATCTCTGGATAGGCAGAATGATCAAGACCAATTGGACTTCCTTTTCATGAATGTCCTGCTCGTTTCTATGCTGTTGTTGTGTACTTTGATTGTTTTCTGCCAATTGGAACAAAGTTTTGGACCATCTGGCTGTGGACTGCAGAAGCAGAAGCAGAAGCCGAAGCCAAAAGCCACGCCCATCGCACCGGCGCGTCATCCTTGCTAGCTTCCCCTTTTCTCCTGCAACCTGCGCGCTGTCCTGCCGCTACGTCAATAATCCTCCCAAAATCGAAGTAATTGTCATTCACTCATCGCGACTCGAGATATTGCTTGATTGCATATGACCCTTACTTAGCATTTTTAAAGGATCTTGATGCTATCTCATCGGATGCCCAAGATAGCGTAGATTAAGCTGTTGGCCGGTCTCTACATCCTATTGGCTTATTGCTGTTCATTCGATGCGCCGGCGTTCACATTGTCGAGCAGCAAGCAATTGCTTGCTCGCGTAGAAGAGCTGGATCGTGAGTGTTCGTGTGCCAATATGGAAGAGCTGAATTGACGCATAGATTCACCAGCTCTTCGGAACGGGCAAGACTCTGAAAAGAGAACTCGAGACCGCACACCCTCTCAACGGAACAGCAAATCTACATCTGACCAACACCCAGTGCGGGTCGCTGAATGGTCTTCGAACCTGCCCGTTGATTACGATTTGGAAGATTCCTCTAACCCCCCTTATGAACTACCAGCATTCCAGTCAGCCCAAAGAATTGTCCCAGCGAATCCCATCTCAACTCCGAGAAGCCATCAAAGATCCAGCAGCAGCATATATTACACAGCAGCTTGGGGCTCTTCCTATACGACACCGAGTCCGGAAAGATCGGCAGAACGTCATTACGATTCTTCGAAAGTAGTTTCAGCTTATCGCACTCCTAACTACTACAGCTCTGAAAAGGAACGTTGGCTAAGCGACGGCTCAGAAGATAGCGAAGGACCTCGCCGACGTGCTCGAATTGCGGAAAGGAGTAGTGGAAGCTGGCTCGACCTTCACAGTGACAACGATCAGGCTGTGAACGCTCCACCTGCAAGGATTTCTTCCACCGAACAGTCAGCTCCTGCTACGATCGACCTCTTAGCCTCTACTCACCAAAGCCATAGCGGCTATGGTAGCTTGGATACTGTGAAGCAGGAAGATATCGCTGGAGCTGCGAAAAGTAAAAATTCACCGCAAAACGGCATGAAATCTACCATAAATGCAGCAGAATCTTTGAGTGCGATGAACGATCGGTCTCCTTCGCTTCGACAAGAGGTTGAGAAGTCGCGTCCAGAGACCTCCCAAACAGAAGAGACCAGTCCAGCACGATCAGATCCGGCTGATGCTAGCCCTCCATCCAATAGGCGGGCTTTTACTACCTCTGGATCTGCTTCTCAGAGACAGAAAAGGCGAGTGATCTGGAAAGGCAAGGCATGCTACGTCACGTTCCCCTCACATGATGAACGTGGAAGAAGACCTCTGCTTAGCGTAGCTGATGTTGACGCACGCATGAAGCAATGGGAAATTGAGGGCCAGGACATCCGCGGTTTCAGGCTCAGCACCTCCTCAGCCAATGAAGAACTGGCCGCTCAGACCTGCAGGCTATATCCTGACCCTACCTACGTCCTGAAGGAGCGGGAAGGAGGTCAATTTCGTGTCAGTGTCCCAAATCAAGCTGAATGGGATGCCTATGTCAACCTTTTGAAGGAGGAGAAGTTACTAGCGCTCGGAGTCAGTCTAAGCGACAACAATCATCCACCATCTACTCAATATTCTTTCCCTGCATTGATTAGCCGAGCCTCCTCACGGTTCCCCGGACAATCCTTATCGCCTCCAATACCAACCTCATCAGCTGTAAGCAATGATTCGCTTGCAAATCGCCGTTCCTTCTCACCTGGTATTCCCACATCCAATGCGAGTGCTCAATATGGCTTTGCTCCATCTGTTCGGCCACAACATGCGCTTCACCAGAACAGCATGCATCGTTCCGGTAAACCTCTAGCATATCCAGGAACGGATCTACGGAGGATGTCGCCTTTCAGTCCGAGCCCCTTGCACCCGACGTTGCCCATGCAACGGGAGGATTTGCCATCAGCGTACTATGTACCACAGTCTGAAGGGTTTTCCATTTCAAGAGCTAGTGTCCCTCACCAACAACACCAGCAAAACAACACGGGAACGACACTTTCCGATTCTTCGAGGCCCCCAGACAGAGAACAGGAAATGATGCACCCGGCTCCCCAAAGTCCTCAACGAAATATTAGTGAAGCCTTACAGAATGAGATCGATGCAGCGGAAGAAGCAATAGAAAGGAGTGAAAAGTCTGTTCTATCATCTGCCGCTCCCACTTTACGGAATAACGTGGAAATTACCCAGCAATCTGAAAGACCTCTGTCTTCGCATGGGGTGGACTTCGGTAGAAATGGAGATAGAGCTGACGTAGCGCCGCTCAAGTCTTCTGCAGCCTTTTGGAAACCAATGCCTGATGGAAGTGCTGGATCACAAGCCAATGCAAGCCAGCATCACTCAGATCTGCTGTTGGACAATACAGATCATATAAACCCTCATGTACGGGAAGGCGAGCCCAGCTTGTTGTCAGTACGACCGAGTGGAGGACGCGCACATGAGGCGATGTCTTTTGCGTCAAAATTAAATGTTGAAGCAGAGGAATTCAAGTTCAATCCCAGAAGCCAATTTCTATCTACAAACTTTGCTTTCAACAGGGATGCCTTTCAGCCTTCAACAATTGGTATGGTGCCCTTCTCTTCCCACAATGGCTTGGAAAAAACAGTCTTGTCGAAGCCTAAGCCCAAGCCGGTCAATGGGCTGAACGCTGATGCGCCTTCTTTCACGCCGTCCACGATCTCAACAGCCACTTTCCAGTTTAACTCAGCAGCGTTCAATATTGGTGACACTGCCTCCAAACCAGCACAGACCGTCAGCGAAAGGGTATTAGGCCAGGACGTTGACACGGGCAATGCTGGTGGTCCGACTAAGATTTTCACCAACCTCACAAGTGAACCCAATGGAAAAGCAATAAGACGCGGGAAGCTCACAAAAGTATTGCCTATCGGAGAGCCAGATGGTGGAGACCACACTGAAGATGATGAAGATGGACGAGTCCGTGTCTCTGCCGCCCGGCAGAAACGGGCTCGTGTTGATGAATGTCATGATGGCGATAAGAGTCCCCAATACGCCACTGCAACAACTGCACAAGGTGATGACATGAATTTGATCTCCTCAGAGGCTGACTTGAGACCACCTGTGTCTGTTGAAGTCAGAAACAAAAATGCCCCGTCAGCCATCGTTATTAGTCAGGAAGAGGGTCACGAACGAGGCCTTGGAGAAGAGCATCCTGGTGATGTAGTACGCGTGCCAACGAAAATGCAAAGCCCGTCTTCACAACCTGATCCGAATCACGTACAGTTCGAAGGGGAAGCGCAAACTACTCGACTCCTTGTTGAAAGAAACGATGTAGTAGATAGGGTCCTCGAAAATGGGAATGTTGGAAACTTTTCACCCACCCATCATACCACAGTTTCATTGCCTAGTTCGTCTTTAAGCAATCCTGCCAGTCGTAAGGCATCGGCTCCATTGTCCTTGACAAGCAAGCCTCAACAATCAACCGGCCCAGAAGCTCTGGAGTATACCGGGACTCCCCCTTCTTCACCTCCAGCAACAACCACGTACATTCCACCATTGCAGCAACTGTTGGCGCCTGGAGATTCTAGGCTGTCTCAGTGCTCCGAGCCTGCTGGGGAAAGTGAAGCGCATTCTGGTCATGTAGGGTCATCCGACGAAGGCGTAGATACACCGCCCGATAACACTGATCCGACAGCCCGTTCCGGTAACGTTGAGCAGCAAGCACTAACACCAACTGTTCTTTCTCAGAGATCTGTAAGCTCAGCTGAAAAGAACGGTACATGCCCGTCATACGACGAAATCGACGCAGTAATGAAGCAGCTCGAGGATAATTCCGACCTTGGTATCGAGCGTACTGAAACACCTCCTATGAAATCAAGGCCTGCTGGAGGGCTGATTTTGAACCCTTTAATCAATATTAAAGGGGCTTCGTCGAGTCCCAGCTCTAAACCGGCTCACAAAACTCCCGAACCTGTTTCCGAAATGAAAGAAATGAGACTGTCCCTGGATCAATCGTCCCCCAGTATTGATCCAGAGAAGCCTGAGGTCAGCATTAGTCGCGTGGAAGGTGCAGATATTAGTGACTGGAATGATGTTCTTTCGGTTGCTGATGAGGGCAAGTTCGAAAACAGAGCACGCTTCTTTGGTAATTCTGTTGACACTGTCGTCGGAGGCATTTTGCAAGATCGTCTGGGCCCTCTCGAGAGAACACTAGAGACGATTCAGCACTCAGTCGCCCTTCTGACCAGTCAGGCTCATCGTAGCGTCCAAAGAATAAGCACAAGTGACGAAGTGGAACATTCTGATGCGGACGATGAAGAAGAAGATGAAGACACTAGATCCAGGAATACGTTGTTTCACCAGGCACGATCGCCGATCATCCGCAAGAAGGATCTCGGACTTGATGTTGTGAAGACTGCAATCATGGATGCTTTGGCGGCCCATAACCAGGAGATCTCGTCGTCTCGAGAGATGGACCATTCGACGCTTGAGCAGGTCCTAGATGAGTTGCGGTCGCTCAAAGATTCCTCTCTATCGAAGCAAAGCCCCGATGAAATCAGGACCGTTGTGGAAGAAGTCATCTCAACCCATCCTCGCCTGAGGGGAAAGCGTGTGCAAGAAGACCATCAAGCCGGAGCGTCCCAGAAATTTAGGCTTCAGATCGATGGTCTCGAATCTCTGCTGAAAATCGCCGAAGAAAGGACTGAACAGGAATACCGAGCACGAAGGAAAGTTGAAGATGAGCTGGCAGAGACAGAGAGACGACTTCATCTTGCGGCGGAGGAAGCTGCGCAGTACCGTGAAGCATCCGAGGAAGCAGAGTGCACCCTTCGAGCTTATCTCGAGGAGAAAGAGTCGTTCCAGCAACTAGAACAGAACTATTCAGAGCTCTTGTTGAAGAATGCCGCTCTTGAGACAACATTGGAAGAGTATCGCCTATCCCACGATCAGTGGCGCATCGATATCGAAGATGAACGCACATGCAATAAGGACCTTAAGGAAGTGCTGCGGTCTCTTCGGCGTGAGATCGATGAGAACGCACAAACAAAGCAAATTCTACGTGCTAAGCTAGAACGCGTGCAAGATGATATGGCTGATGTCATGGAGAGGGTAGCTCAAGAGCAAGCATCATGGGTCTTGAAGGAGCACGATTCTTCAGGAAAGCAGCGTGAAATGGAAGCTGAACTTCGTCAAGAGATGCGCATGAGAGAAAAACTGGAGTTTGAAGTTGACTTGCTCGAGAAGGAACGTAAAGAGCTTTTGAGGTACAAAGATAATTATGACGCCATCTACAACGAGAACACAAGGCTTGAAGCGCTTGTGGTACAGACCCGACAGGAAAGTCGAATGCATGAAGAGGCAGCTCACCAATTTGAAAGAGATGTCGTTAATCTTCGCGAAACTGCCCAAGCTGATGCTTCTAAGGCGCGATTGACCCACCAACACGAAGTTGGCTTGCTGAAAAGTCACCATGAGTCTCACTGCGCTGACTTGGAGAGTCAGATTTCTCGGTTACAAGTTCAGCTCCAGCAGGCAAGGAATGACACGGAAGAAGTCAAAGCTAGATATGAAAGTCATCTTAGCGATCATGTCGATCGTCATATTCGAGCGCTGCACGAGCTTAATGAAACGAAAGAGGCAGCCCTGGCAGAACAACGCCGTTCCCACGAAAAAGCTATCAATGATCTACGAGAGCGACACGCCCGTGCTTTACACAACTCCTCGGACGACAAACAGCGCCTAGATGCCCACTTTACTGAGAAACTGGCTCTCAGCAGCGATAGAATCCAGCACCTAGAGGGGAAAGTCGCTGATCTACAAGATCGATTGGAGATAGCCAGCTCTGCAGCAAGGGCAGCCGCAGAAGCTGCAGCCGGAAAAGGCACTCCCGGGGGAGACAACGATCTGACGCCGCAACTGACTATTGCGTCAATGCCGCTCGCTAGAGGGAGTGGCATACCCGAAAAGATCTCTCCTCAAGCACTACGGGAATCAATTATGGTCCTACAAGATCAGCTCCAGAATCGCGAGCAGACCATCGAATCGCTCGAAGCCGAGCTCACCAAGGTTGACAAGGACGCACCCAGCAAGATTAAAGATCGTGAGACTGAAATAAATTGGCTGCGTGAGCTTCTAGGCGTCAGGATAGACGATCTTGAAGACATCATCAAAAGTCTCTCTGAAGCAGACTATAACCGCGAGGCTGTCAAGGATGCTGTCATACGGCTCAAAGCCAATCTTCAGATGGAGCAACAAGAGAGAGAACGGGCCGTACACGGTAGTCCGGGCATCATTCCCTCCGTGGCATCGCTGTCCAGCCTAACACAAACTCCGCGTGCGCTCCCAATGGCCGCTGCTGCTGCGTGGGGAAATTGGCGTAAAGCCAGAGACACGTCCTCAGGTACACTTTCTGAGCTCGCAAATATAAGCCAGACACCGTCCAGGTCAAGCTCGGGTCCACAAAGCTTTCTATCTGGTCTACTGACGCCGCCGCGCACAAACCACCGGGAAACAAATCCTCTGCCAGAAAGCGCTCCGCCCGCTATGAGACCGCTAAGTGGACGCAATTCGTCCTCTGAAGCAAGGCCGTTGCGAGCATATAGTAGTCAGGCACGCAGCATGTCGGCCAAGCGGGCGGAACCGAGGACAACAGCGCGGCAACAGTCCTCCGTACACTCATATCTGACAGAGCAGCAACAGCAGCAAAGTCGGCAGTTGGCGCCGAGGACGCCGCCACTGATGAGAGAATCGAGCTACGACCAGGATGCAGACGCCAGGAGGTCTATTATGAGTGATCTTGATGACGATGCGAGTCCGGTAGGCAGCGCTGTGGATGGTGGCGATTTATCGCTTGGAGAGCCGTTTGACGAGTCAGCCCGGAGTTGACCGAGTGCTTGATCAGTACAGCTTTTTGTTCTTCCACTTTCGCTTCTTTGTTTAATACTTGAGTGTCAGCCCAGTCGGAATTGCATAGCGTGTCCGAGGAGTGAGTCGTGGAATGGCAACACAGTCACACTCGTTACGTTCACATTCTTGTTCATGTTCTGCAGGCGTTGGAGCCGATGCGTCCATTGGCACATAGATTGATACCCTGAGAGTGCCGGCTTACCCATCTCGTACAATCCAAGATGACTTTTTTTTTCTTTGGCTGCTTCTCCTCTAGGATCTTGTTTACTTGAATCTTGTGGCTACATATAGGGATTCCGGCCAATTGTAGATGTCCCTTCGTACAAACAAACTCCAAGCAGAACGAGCAGAACCCACAGGGACACGACTGTTCACGAAAATGCTGAAAGTATACGGAGTACGTAGTAAGCAATTCTCCATTCTCCATTCTCCATTCTCCATTCTCCATTCTCCATTCTCCTGGAGCGGGATTGCTGTTTCAGCCACCTATGACAGCCAATCATAAAGCTAACCCTATTCTCACACTAAGAAATCAACTGATCGCCATAGGTCTGTTATCTATGTCTCGAACTGAATACAATGCCAGAACAGGGCAAGCTCCCGAATACGACGCAATCAGGTTGAATGCTCGGCACGAAATCCCACTCCCGAGTAAAGGTTTACACGAACCAAAGCCAGCGATCAACTACACGGCCAATCGCGTTTCGGCCACTCTCGCTAACAGCTCTAAAACCCGCCAATCTTCCCCACAATGGGCTGAGGTGCAGCTGTCAAAATGTTTCACCAGCTGAAACGCCACTCGGAGGTGCTCCATTAGGTAGGACCATCCCTAGATCCAGACCGTTGACTGGCTCTCTCTCCCGGCTGTAACCAGCTCCTCTGGCCCCGTCATCATGACTAACGTCCGGGCAGAGCTTGCGCCCATGTTGGAAAGCTAACATCCCATCCCCAGGTACTGTAGTGCAGGACCATCTGCTCTATCAGAGAGTGTGCGAGCGAGCAACAACTTCAATCTTGAACACAGCTCAGGTGGCACACAGTTATCTGTGAACCTCCGTCAGGGTCAAGATGTCCTCACCGTCTTCCTACAACTTCGGCGTCTGCCCCAACCCCGGCATAACCTACGACAGTTCGCAACTCTCATTCGCACCGAGCAATACCGATGCTTTCCCTTTCTATTCTTCATCTGACATCGCAAGCCTGGAATCTGCGATATGCGATAGACTACGCGAAGATGAATGTGGTGCCAGCCGAGAGGCGATAGCTGCGTGCGATCGGGCGAGGTGGTTGTTTTCGGGCTATGCGGGTCAGCAGGCGGCGGACGCATGGAACGAGGCATTGGGCGTGGATGGGGTTGCGTCTAGTAGAGTTGCGGCTCCGACTTTGACGGATGACGCATATGCTTTTGATGCAGCGAGCTCGTCTGTTGTTGTTGTTGTCGTGTTGTCAACAAGCATGATACGGTCAGATTCATCGTCGACGTCCAGCCGAACCTTGTTCTCAGAAGCATCATCATCATCATCCTCCTCCTCCTCCTCCTCCTCCTCCTCCCTCACCTCTGTCTCTGCAGCCACAAACCCCCAACCATTGACGACAGCACAGTCAACACCAGCCAGCAGCTCCTCAACACGCTCGCGGACATCATCTCCCATCCCAGCAACCACCAGCGAATTCTCCAACGGCTCTCCCTTCGATCCTCAGACTGGCTCATCACCACCCAGGAACCCAAGAAAAACAGTTCTAACGTTGATGACCGTCTTCCTTCTTCTCGCACCACTCATCATCTAACCACCATCTCCGCTCTAATGAATGAATCACGTCCTCAGACCCATTGATAGCGCACGACGCCTCTCACATACACACCCAGTTCGGTTTCACGATGATACCCTTTATTTACCTTCGAGTTTGTTACGCAAAACGCAATCATATGACTCCATACAGGATCGGTATATGCATCAAAAACCTATATCTAGCCTTATACTGGTTCAGAAACCCAAAAAAAATCATCACAAGTCTTCCTACATTTCCCTCACGCTTAAGAACTGTGCATCCATTCGCTAGCCCCACTCCCCTCTATTTAGTATCACACATACCCTTTCCCACTTCATCCCGCTCGCCGCAATCCCGTTTCCCCCCTTTCCACCTTTGCAGAGCCCGTCGTTCGTGCCACCAGAGAAATAGCGCCCCCACCCCCACCCCCCCCACTTTCTCCCTCTCTCTCGCTCTCATACATGTACAATCGTTTTTCTACAACAGCGCAGACATAAGGGTGATTGAGACGAGACCTTAACCGCAAACCTACCAGGTCGAGACGGAGCTCCAGCCAAACCAAACCAAACCAGACCAAAGTATGAACATGGACTCATTCATTCTTTACGTGAACAACAATCATTACTAGAGTGATATCGTGAGCATGCATATGCAATTATGGAGCTAATTAGAACTGATATGTACAAAAGATCAACACGGCATTTATATAGCCTGCCCCACAGACCTTCGATTCACAGCATAAAACCTGTCATCATAACCTCCCGTGCCCCCCGAGTTCGCAGAATCAACCGGTCTCACATCATCGCCCATATACCGGCCTCGGTACCAGCCTTCTTGCTCTTGCTGGTGGAGATCACTTAAGGAAGGATTCTTGGGTTTGGAGTCTGTTGGTGGCGAAGTCGGCATGTTTGGAACCGGGGGGATGGAGGCATCATTACCATAGCTGGGCCGGTTGCCGGGTCGATTGAATTCTCCGCTTGTCCGGTTGCTGATAGGACGGTTGAACTCTCCACTTCCGTTGCCACGAGTGAAATCTCCGCTGCCGCGCCAACCGCCGGGCATGTGGTTGGCGTTGGGACTTCCATTCGTGGCATGATCCCATGCTTCGGAGCTGATGGATTGTTGTGGACTGTGAGTTTGCTCCATTTTGGGGTATGGACTGTTCTGGGGTAGGTCGTCCTGATATCTTCCATTTCCGTCATGTGCGGCACTTTCCCCATCTACCACGTCATCGCTAAACCTCGCTCTTCGTGGGTCTCGAGGTTGCACGTATGGGTTTGTTGAGCCGAAACTTCTTCTGTTGGCCGGATTTGCGAGGATTGATTGAGGATGCCGAGGCTGTCGGTTATGATCCCAGCTACGCCGGCCGGTCAGGGATGAGCCTGGGTGGTCTTGATCCCCATTGTGATGATTGGCGAGGGCTGCGCCTGCCAGAGCTCCAGCACCAACACCGGCGGCACCAGTTACAGCGGCATCATGGCCAGTGCTATGTCTGTGTGTATCTGCAAAGGGAGGATGGGAGGATAGAGCGTGAGAGACCCCATTCGGATCTGTGCCATTGTAGGCAGGTGGATTGCCGTTGCTGATGGCAGAACTGGGGCTGGTACTGTCGGTCGTCCTAACAGGCTGGGAAGAGTTTGCCATCTTTCCTTGAGGCGATATGGAATGACCTGCTTGATATCCTGGCGCAGCATCTTTCCCCATGCCCATCCTTGGTGAGTGGTCGCTTGTGCCATGAGCAAACGCCGCCCCTACAGTCTTCCGCGAGATGCCTCGATCATCGTTGTGATGTTGCCCAAACCCTCGATCTTCGTGGCTGTCGTGGTGATGATTAGCGGCTAACGCCCCCAAGGCTGCTCCTCCGAAGCCCGCCGCTGCTGCGCCTGATGGAGAGTGCGAGCTGAGAGGAATATGACTCTGACTGGAATGGTGTGCGCCTTGAACAGCCGGGGCTCCTCCCGTGATACCTGGTTGAAAATCTGGCGCACCACGACGAGGAACTGGTCGGTCATTGCCAAGAGCGCTATTTCCACCGTGTCTGTGCAACGCGTTTTCAGTCATACGAGGTGCTCCAGCATGGATTGGTGTATGATTGTGCTCATGTGTCGACAGACGGTTTGGCGAATTATGCTCCACTGTGCTTGAGTTGCTTAGAGGTTCTTTCCCCCAAGTTGCCCCGCCGACATCTTCGGATGAAAATGATCTCCTTGAGCCTTGGGCGCGTTGGCGACGACGGCGCCGCAAGCAGAAAAGGAGCAGCCCGGTCAATATGGCGAGAGCGAGTAGACCGAGTACGACTCCCAGCGCGATTGCTATCGTTCGATTTTTAGAGTTTTGAGCGTTGGTAGCTGCAATAGCACTTGCAGCAGATGATGAAGCGGCGGCGGCAGCGGCCGTATCTGATGCGGATTGAGTGGAAGTGGTGATCTGGGAAGACGTAGTACTAGAGGTAGTACTAGTCGTAGTCACGGAGGATTGGCTGGCCGAGGATGATCGTGACGAAGTCGACGATGTGGATGTAGTAGTGGGCGTAGATGTAGATGTAGGTGAAGCTGTGGCGGTGGCTTGTACGCTCAGCAGAGATACCACATCGGTAGCGACAGAAAGGGCTTGAGAGACAAGGTTGCTGATTGGATCAACAGATTGTTGACCCAGAGCTCCTGGCACTATAACCAACAGCAGGCTGGCGAAGTATGGCAGGTACATGTGCATGATGGAGATATGCTGAGATGATTTTGAATGCTTGAGAGTGCTCCAAAGTGGCAACCCTGGTGACGAAACGTCTAAAAAGGGCCAAAGACAGCTGCAGCAGCGTGATTCTCTGCGCAGACGAGAGCGAGCATGTGGTGGATGGTCAGGTATGGTCAAGTCAGCACAACAAGCACAGTCAACTGGCTACAACGGCGAGAAGCAGGTGGTGGGAAGATTCAGAACATATATTCGGTGGACATTAAGGCAAGGTCCAAGGAAAAAGCGAACCCGGATGCCAGGATATGAAAGAGACAACGCCCCGCACCTTGCTGCTGACGCTGCAGGTTATGAAGTAGCATAGCAATTACACCGAGTACTCCGTAGACTGCGGTGTGTTATGATGATCTTGCAACCCATGCGGTTTGGCCCTGGGGTCGCTTTCTGCAGGGCAAACGATCTAGAAGTGGGCGGGATCGACTTTTGATAATGACGAGATGGCATCGTAGTGGCCGTGCAAGCTACCAACAGCTCCGCAGGGTGGCAAAATCTCGTCACTGACCACTGGTTCGACAAGGTCCATGATTGTGACCGGGGACTTGGTGGACTGGGATGTGAAAGGCGAGTTTGTGTGGAAGGCAATCCGGTTTTGCGGGACGCTTGCGCTGACCACGGGCTGCAGGGGCTGCAAGTCGTCGATCGCTTATCGATTATCGAATCGTATCCAGGCCACTCTGCAGCCTTAGCCTTGACTGCGCCACAGAACAAGCCACAACGGTTCCTGACCCAGAACTCTGAAGCCAGACACTCCTACTAAGTACGACGACTGATCTACTGCTAGTACTCCTCCCTCCTTATCCGTGCCACCCATGTGCTCCGTGCATCTTCGAAACCTTGAGAATCATTGGAGAGAGAAAAAGTACTGCTTGCGTGGCATGGAGGCCGAGCTGCTCCAAGTTGGCAAAGTGGTAGTCGCTCGCTTCTCCTGCTCTAAATAGGAGAAAGATCGAGGTCCTTCGACCCTGAGGACATTACTGGGGCAGCATTTGGTGTGAGCGGACATTGAACACGGCGGGTCAGAACAGGGAACAGGGAACAGACCAAACGCCTGATGCAGTTTCATATACTTGTACATGCTACCTTTGATATTGCATAGTGCTTACTCAATCTTGCTGAGCAGCACCAAGCCCCAGGTCTATCTAGACTAGTGCATTAGATCAGGAATATATCTTCGAGCGCTTTCCAGACGCCAGGTCCATCGCTGTCCTGACACTAATGCAACAAATCCTTCATTCCGGATGGAAGACGCCCGGAAGGAGAAATTGTGTTAGCACTCCGCCAGTTGCCTGCCTCTACCGAATCTGGTGTTGGTGATGATTCGGAGGATGTGTTTTGAGATAGATTGGGGAAAATGACAACGGGATTGACGTTGGGTTGGACAGATAACGGAGCGTGGTCTGCTTGGTGCTTGAGCCTGCCAACTTTACCACCGGGCATATTATTTTTGGTCACTTTCCCCGTGAGGATGGCCTGTTTGGGAACACAAGTACTGCTTCCGAACTTATTCTTATTGAGCGATCCTTTGGGCCGACCAGCATTCTTGTGTTTGTTCTCCTTGCTGAGCACGTCGTGTATCGACCGACCCTTACTGGCCGGATTCTGCACCTTAGGAAGCCGAGCTGGTATAGGAATTGAAATTCTCAGACTCTGTCCACGATCGCTCATCTCATCATCATGACTCGTGGGAGGAGTCAATAAACCTGCTAGGACTGACTGTTTCTTTTTCTGCTGTGATGGGCTTCGTGGGATGACCACCTCGATCGGTCCTTGCCTGGCTTGTACTCGCTCTACCTCGCTCAACGAGTACTCTTCCGCAGACGACTCTTCGGAATTGTCGTCCCACTTCCTGAAGTTGATCTGCCGAGCCACCTCATCGGAGTCGCCCTTAACCACCAGATCCCAGCAGTCCTCAAATTCCTTCGCAACAGGTACCGGATCTCGATTGATCCATATAGAAACCCCATCTCGCCGGCTTCTCACAACTCCGCACATCTCTCGCACGATGCGCTTGACGCCCGGAATCTTCATGCTGGTGCCAACAACGATGATGGCGTCCGGTCGGGTACGCAGATCTGAGGTTACAACTGCGCCGATGGCGTCCTCATCAGGATTGTGCTCGTTGTAGAGGACTATCCGTGGACGAAGCTTGCCGATACCGTGGCTCCGTTTGCCAGCGTGATGTGTCCGTAGACTGTCGGCCTCCATACATTTCGGGCAAAGAGGCGGAGTTGCACCCTGGAACAGCTCTGGCTGGAAACCTGAAGTGTGCTGGCATTTCTGACACATCATCATCTCCAATCCACCATGGAGTTGTATTGTTTGAGGCCAGGGTGCTTTGTGGCTCAGAGGAACTTTGGTGGCAAGTGGTGGAAGCGAGGTGTCAATGCCATCAATGTTTTGCGTGTACAACCGAAGAAGTCGACCTTCACACGAGAGCCTTGCTACCAACTGGTGGAAAAGTGTCGGCTTTGCTTTCGATGCCATTGACGATAGATCGCGAACCATATCATGGAATGTCGACGTCGACGAGTCATCTTTGTACACCGACGCATCAAAGAGGCCTTTTCCAGAAGCCTTGAGCTTGTGCTTATGCTTTAAATTTTCGAAGAGCCCGTGGGAGGAACGAAAATCAGGTATGCCTGCAGCAACCGAAATACCAGCACCTGCAACCACCACAATTTTCCGCCGCTTTCGTAATGTTTTCAGAAGAAGTTCGAGGGCGTTCTGTTGGTCATAGCGTGATTGTGAAGCATCGGAAGTAAGGTCGAGGTGTTGTGTGATTCGAGGTTTTGGCTCGACCTTCCTTCGCTTGCGCGCGGGTGGCATATCCTCTTCGGCATTGGCAGGGACCTCTGGATCTTGTGATGGCGTAGGAGTAGGGTAGAAGTCGGGGGGAGCGATAGGCGAGGAGGGAACCGAGCTCAGGTCGGAGGAAAGGTCAGAAATATCGTCGTGCATGGTCGCGAGTCGTTGTTGCGGCAAGTAGACTGCAATTACACGGTAGGGGTCGGATTATTGCATCGAATGTGGGAGGGAGGTACCCGTCGGTCGCTACCGCCTCTCGAAACAGCCGCAATTACAGTCGCATCGTCATACTCCGTATTGTGACCCTGATACCATGATTGCAGTGGGTAGCTTCACTGCTAGAGCGAAAGCTCTGTCATGATCTGAGTTGAATGAAGAGCGAAGGCTGGCGAAGGACTCCGTGGTGGAGTTTCCACCATGCAGCTAGTCTCCTTGGCGGTGCTCCTTAAACAACTTGAAGTCGAAGTAGTTGCTCCTGGTACTAGATCTGTAGTGTGAACGGTGCTGGTTTTAGAGAGCACAGTACCCAATATGCTGCAAGAAGGTTCTATCTGTACCTGGTGTCCGGATTAGCTTCGCAACAAATGATAAGAACAATAGTAGTATGTCCTGGTAACCTCCAGAGTTCGATTGATGTTGACACTGTTTTGATCCTTGTTCCAATTTCTATCCTAAACACGTTGCCGGGGGGGCGACCAATGCTTAACATGAGTAGCCCCAGAGGTGCAACAGGGCTCAGAAGTGCACCACGGTCCCCGCACAGACCCTAGAAATCTTTAACTAAATTCTATTTCTGGTAAAGATCTTTAGATCTCTATCTCACCTTTCTATCTTTAATTCAAATATCTTATAATTGCAAGGTTATAAACGACTCCTCCTGAGCCCATCTTACCATGGAAATCATCCATTTCTACGAGGATTTGAGACTGATGCGGACAGTTGAAAATTGATCATTCTGATTGGATATACGTAGCAAAGTGCTACCTACCTACAGTGGGTCACCCATGTTAGCGTATGACCAACCACTCCTAGGTCCTCCAAAGAACAATCCCAACATTATTGTCACTCACAAGCAATTGGTGCGATGAACTCGCACCACAACGAGTGATACCGTTTGACATACGGAGTGCTGTGTGAATCTTCAATGTCTGCTGGACAGTGGCTTTATTCCAAACTGCTCTGGTTAGATGAGATCGCTGTGATCAGTGAATAGCGCAATCCAGACCCTTTACCATGTCTCAACAATCCTTGGGTCTTCACAGTGTCTGATTTCTTGCTACTTCCAGTGATTTCGTTATGAACGGGGAACATGTGGAAGTCGATGATCTCTTCGGCGATGGAGGCACATTAGGCGATACTGTTACCCTCAATCTTCCTCTACAGTCTCTACCCGTGGACGGACTTGCTCAATATGTTGACGACCTTCATCGAGCTTCCACTGAGCAGTGAGTCTATCGTCTATCACAGGCTCCTACATGATGATAATGATCAGCTGCGTAGGAGGAGGCTAGCATGGTCAAGATTAGGGTGTCTTGCGTCACTTGCCCCAGACGCCCGTTCTGTCAACCTTGCTCATCTCCATTTCTCGGGCTCGGAGCCGAAGTGGATGCTGAGCAAGGAGCGAACCATCGATCTCAGTGCCAACGGAGACGATCAGCATCCGATTCTGCAGCTGGAGTGGAGTCAATCAGGCATTGACCTTACTTTAGTGGACGCTGCCGGAAGAGTCACTGTCATCAACATTATCTCAGTGGCTCTGAACGAGACCGCAGTGGTGCGTCCTGCAACCCTGGATCGAGAAGATGAGCTCAACCAGGCATTGGCCATTTACTGGCTCAACGTTGACCGTCCTGTAAGTGACATGACCAACCCTTAATTAAGCATAGTTTCTTTGATGCTGACCGTATTCAGTATCCGACATTCATACATGCATCAAAAGACCAAGGCAAGTGGAAATACATGGCAGCGAAACGTAGACCCATGGGACCCTTCTGGCCACGTGGATTCGTTGTTGTTACGCGCAGAGGAACCCTCCTGTTTCACTATCAGCGACCTGATGGCAGATGGGCTGTTTCCAACGCCGGTCTGAGGAGCTTGACGTCCACTGGCTACCTTCTCTCACACGCGGCAGTTGCTCCAACTCAAGGTATGCTGACACTGCCCATCTTCTAACTCTGGATAACATAAGGCAGACAACAAGCTTTTAGTTGCAGCACAGAATACTCATCGCCAGCTGCTTGTGTACGTTGCGACGATCGACTTGCCGGATCCAAGGCAAGATCCTCAAATGAACACGGGCCCAACAATAAGCATCGAAAATATCAGAGCTTCCGTTCCATATACGATCCTCAACGATTCAAATGCGCAGCACAACGATTCCATGCTCTTTGACGCAAGCTCACAGTTTCTGTCACACCTGGAAATCGTCCCAACCTCTGACATTCAAAAGGCTCCCCAACTTCCACCAACCATCATGGCCTTCTACACTCCTGTGGTGACCCCTATGGGTATGGCTAATGATGGGCAACTTGGGATGACAACGGTTCGCAGATGGCATGTTGTCTCCGCAGAACACAAACTCCATTCAGGTTTTGATGCTATGCAGTCGAAGACTAACGACACCACACTCAGTCGCAGAACAGACTTACAGAGAATTGAAGATGTCCACATAAATCAGACCATCAGCACGGTGCAGAAGGTCGATGGAGGTGAGCATCTAGCCCTGGGCGGTGCGGATGGGCCGCTTGCCTTACATGACCCCAACTCCCTTACTCCCTTGTACATGGCGAATGATTCGGCCGAGGTAACCAGTATGGCCCAAACTGGATTTGTGTTTCCCCCTTATTCTCGAGGGCTGAATCTGGCAGCCTCACCCAATGCTTGCATAGTAGCCAGCCTCTCCAACGACGGGAAGATGCAAGTGACCCACGTCGAGCACCCCAGCGGCCTCACCTACGATTCGACAGATTCCACCACGGTTGAAGCAGCCATCGCCGCGATTATCCTGTCCTCCGCCCGTTCCTTCTACTCGCAGGTTTCCTTAAATGATATCATGCTCCTAGTGACACAACATCTTGACCCCATTCACTACCCTCAATTGATCCACTCGATGTTCAAAGACCTTTTCGGCGACAAAGACTTTATCCCCGGACCAGAACCGGAAAACAACAAAAAACCCGTCGTAGCTCGTGTCCTCAGCCTGGTAGCTTCTCTTGGACACAATCCATCGACAGACCAACGCAGCGAAGCATCAATGCTGAGCTGGCTCAGCCTCAACGTCCGCTCATGTGCCTTGACCTTCATGGGCATATTGCAATCTGTGCGCCAAACCGGTGGGCTAGAGTGGAAAGACCCCGAGGTCTGTGAACTCGCATGCAACAACATTAGGTGGACCCTAGATCTCTGTAAATTCATCGTGGACGACTTATTCGAGATGGCAGACGATAATATCTCACTCCACAATTCCGAGAAACAACCTCACCCATCGGCAGACTCGCAAACAATAACGAAACTCCTCCTCGTCTCGATCTGGCCGCGCTCTTCTCTAAAATCGATCGCCCGCATCCTTCGCGGCATTGTGCGGGCCACCCAGGACCCAAAGACAACGCTTGCGCCAGAAGCCGCAGCCGCTTTTTCGCGCATGGCCGAGCTCATCGAGGCGTCACCACTAAAAATGGAGCCGCTAGAGCAGCTGCTCATCGGCGTAGAGAAGATGGTGCACCAGTTCTACCAATCGCGAGGGATGACCGACCGTGACAAGGCAGAAACGGAACGCTTTATCCTCTCACATGGGCAGATTCCGGAAGTGTTACAGGATGTCATGCCGCGGATCTTGCAGGATGTGTTGCCGACGACAAGGACGAAGATGGATCGGTTGAATCTGTACATGGAGGATTACAGCTGGTTGGGGATTAGAGAGGATAAGAAGACGAAGGTGTTCAAAAGGGACTTTGTGGTGGATGTGCACAGGAAGAGAATTTTGAGAAGGAAAGGATTAAATAGATTTAGGAAATGTGTCAGATGTGGGAGTGTTAGCGCGGATTTGGTTCGGATGAGGCATTGGCCTCAGTCTTTGCAGACGCTGGTTTTGAGGTGTGTTTGTGAGGATGTTTTTGCTGTGGTTGGATTGGAGGATACGTGACTGAATGAAACTGGATTGGAGTTGCCAAAGTTATTGGGTTCGGGGTACGTAGTGATTGGATAGAATAAGTTGGCGTTGGCGTTTGCAATGTGGTATTCACGTTGAAGCTGTGATCTCGCTGCTGCCAGCTCTCCTCGTGCTCGAAGAACTGATATGCCCACCAAGCTCTCACTGTCCACAGACCGCGGTTCCCTTCCTTCTCAGTCTCCCTCGTCTCCAAAATACACACACCTTAAGCCTCTGCCTTGACAGCATACTTCCTCATTGGAAAATGCATCTGCTTCTTCCGCTGCTTTTCCGTCACCAGCCCCTTTTCCTTCTTGGTCAACCTCCTCCTAATCGCCCTGGTCTGTTTCGGTCGCAGATCAAGCGGTAGATACTTCTTCTTCTTGTAGAACAGGCGCAGCTGAGATCTCTGGTTTGCGTTGATCACGGTAAGGACTTTGGCGATGGATTTACGGAGGTCGTGGCTATGAATGAAGTGAGCTTTGGGTTAGTTTGCGAGCAAGGAGGATAAATTGAAGCTGGAGTGAGGGCGCCATGTTGCACGTACATTCGAGTGAGCTTCGATGAGGCACCACCGGCAATCTTTTGTACCCTCAGCTGGCCGAGCTCGGTCTTGAGTTCTTCGAGTTGCTTCTTCAGGTCGTCTTTGCCTTTGCCCCAGAGCTGGCCGGTTTTGACTTTCGCGGAGGACGACTGAGTCCAGATTAGTATCTGCGACACGATAAGAATTTGCTTCTCGCACTCACCATGTTGGCGGAATGGGTGGTGGAGAGGATTACTCGACTTCTTCTCCTCGTGGGATCGTAGTTGTGAAATCCAATGTGGGATTTCGATGGCACTACTGACCGGAGAATGATTTGGCCGATGCCGCGGCAGGGCACTCTTGGCAACGATGGCCCAAAGTCCGCGCAGATGGGATTGGGGAATCTGCATTACTGGAGATGGCTACGAGTCATTCGTGAGCTACTTAGAAGATCCATAGTGTCTCAAGCGATGCATTGAACATACTAAATCTACATCTTACTTCCGCACCCTCTTCAGACCGTGGCATCGTGAACTCATCGCCCCTCATCATGTCCGCCTCGACAGGCACAGGATGGGCACAATTACGACAGCAGGCGAGAAGCCTGGAGAACCAGGTAACCAGCTCATAACCATCTCGTCATACCACCACTAACGTTACGCTGTGCAGACAGAAACACTCTTCCACAAATATTCTCAATATGCCTCCATGTCGAATCTACCCCAGAAGCCATCCGAGGAAGAACAACGGACAGAAACACAAATACAAGAGCTATTAGACAAGGTACTTGATCTTATCATTCTCCGCGCATCGCCAGCAAGCCCTCTGACATCCTAACCCATTTCAGCGCGATGCCCTCATCGCCCAACTAGCCCGTCTCCTCGACTCCGAATCCGCCCTCACAGCCTCCGCGCTCAAACAGAACAACCTCTCTCGCCACCGCGAAGTCCTCCTCGACCACAAGCGCGAGCTCAAGCGCCTCAAATCGTCCATCTCCGAGTCCCGTGACCGCCAACACCTCCTCTCCCACGTGCGCTCCGACATCGACGCATACCGCACCTCGAACCCTGCGGAGGTAGAGGCAGAGTACATGCTGCAGGAGCGGGGAAGGATCGATAACAGTCACAATATGATGGACAATGTGCTCAGCCAGGCGTATGCGGTGAATGAGAGTTTCGGCGTGCAGAGGGAGACGTTGGCAAGTATTAACCGGAGGATTGTTGGGGCGGCGAGTCAGGTACCGGGGATTAATGGGTTGATTAATAGGATCGGGGCGAAGAGGAGGAGGGATGGGATTATATTGGCGAGTTTTATTGCATTCTGTATGCTTGTGCTCTTCTTTTTTCGATGATCAAGCATGGGCGTTTTGGTCCCGGGGGCCGGAAATATACACTATGCGAGATGCAAAGCATAGCATGGGGAGCGTCGAAACAACTGTACGATATAATTTATGGGTATCATGCCAAAGCCTTTTGGACTGCTTCCTGCAGGTCACCCTCACGAACGGCGTCTGCATGTAGAGCTGGTCTCACTGGGTCTTTGGCTTCTCTTGCTTCTTGCAGCAGTCTGATCAAGCCAGCGTTGAGAGACTTGTTCTCGCCCTCCCAGGCATGCCCGCTTCCCGCCCAACGGATCCGACACTCTGTGTCCAGCAGATACACATAGCCCACCTGCGAGTTGAGCAAGCCCATCGCATCTCGGATGTCCTCTGTAAGCCCTTTACCCGAATCCCGGCTCAATCTTACAGTAAAGTACTTCCCCCACTCCGACTCCGGCCGGCTCTTCCTCAGCCCATTCTTGAAAAGCTTCACGAGCAGTGCCCGGAACCAGTGGTCCTGGACATTCACTTCGACCTTCTGCACCAACCGGCTATTCTCCTTAATCAATCTCTGCAACTCCGGATTCTCCTTCTCTCCAAGGAACGTCCGAACCTGCGTCTCCGCCCATACTCCACTCTGGACACTCACCAGACTAACCTTACCCTTCAGCACAGGCGTCGTATCCCTTCCCTCTGCCCCATCCCAGGCCAGAGTCCACCCCCACAGATTCGGGAACCACAGCGCCTTCTCCCGCCTAAACAACCTATCACTCCCCACAAAGCTCTTCCCTTGGAAATGCTCCAGGCGCTTCCACTCCTGGAAATACGGACGCAGCAGCGTCCTCACCAGCAACCGCCGGCGGACTTGGACGTTTTCGGGATCGGCGTAGGAGTCGCGCCGTTCGGACCAGCTCATGTGGGAGTGTGGGGCGTTTTGGCCGGGGTGGGGTGGATAGGGGAGGCCGATGGGTCGGGAGAGGCGGGAGGGGGTAAATTTCTCGCCGCGCTCGCCTTTTGGGATGGGGATTTTGGATATCGCTGAGGTGTGGTCTGGGTTGCGGTCTAGGAGCATGCGGAGGGGCACTCTGGGGGCGAGGGTGGGTTTGGTTGGTGGTGGTCTGGTACTTGTAGAGGCATGGCGGAGTGAGGCTTGAAACACTGGTTGGCGGTGGATGCAATGGTAGGATGGCCGGCGCGAGATGATGCAAAGGAGGTCGAGCAGAGTATCGCGTGGAAATAGGAAGCGAGGCTTTTGCATCTTGGCCAATGGTGAGAGGAGACCACCTTGGGCGTTGGGTCGATGTGGAATTGGAAAAGAAGATGGAGAGAGAGGGAGAGAGCTCCAAACTTTAATCATGCCAAGGAACTTCTCCTGAAGGGGTCTTCCATTTGAAATGGGGTGGGCGGCCTCCCCACTCCACTGGTCTACGCTTGTTTGATCCGAATCCACAAAAATGTGTGCGGTGCCGCTCCTTCTGCCTGGAAGCTGTGGAACGTTGGTGCCTGCAATGTTGGCGATACTCGAGCCAGAAGCTGGGTGGAGATGGCGTCCTCGATGCGAACGGACAAAGAAGTATTCTTCAGGAGACTGAATGAATTAGATGAATTTTCCGTGGACACCGACGGCGAAGTGACATCTGAGCATGCCTTCAAAGTCAGGCGTCTTTATTCTTTCCATACTTTACATTGCGAGCATACTTCTCCCAAGCAAGATATATCCAATTCAGAAGTGAAGCCAACCCCCTCAAATATCACTGAACTCGGTCCACTTGCTCCGCTATCAGAAGTGATCATCATGCCAGCGCAGTTCTCAAATCGCAGGAAAATATCTGCTAAGGCGCCACCGAAGCTGTCAAAGAAGCAGAGTAGCAAGAAGTCAATTCAATTGCAACCAGAGGACGCCCAGATATTCCGAGGACTTGTCTTCTGTGAGATTATCATGTCTCTTGTTCCACATCACACGTATCTGACCAACACCAGACTTTCTTCCCAACAACGATATTGCTGCACCACGCAGAAAGCGTATCGAGAAGGCTCAAGAGTATGGAGCTCTCTGGGCTAGGGAGTGGTCAGCCGACGTGACGCATGTCATCGTCGATGCAAATCTTCGCATGTCAGATGTTGAGAAAGCCATTGGCTCTGACCAATTGAAGGTAGTTAGCCTCCGGCTTTATCGCAGAGGCCTATAGAAAGCTGATATATTTCTTAGCCTCGCCACGTCATTGTGAATGAGAAATACCCACCTGATTGCATTGAATACCAAGTGCTACTGCCCACCCACCTGCTCAAGTTCCAGGTCTTTCCTGGACCTCGACGTGGCCCAGAAGCAGAAGGGCAGCAGCCTCGTGAGAAGTCTCCAAAGGCACCCTCCGAGCATTTCAACCGCTCTAAGATTTTTGCGACTGCTGGTGCAGCCGCCAAGCCTGATAATGAACAAGAGGAGCCGGCTGTCGTCACCCATGAGCCCGCCTCATTTGCTGCTGTAGAAGGATTTGGGCCATCCATTACTACAAAAAAAGGGGAAAATGAAGATGATGAGCTGGATAGGATTGTGGCAGAAGTGCAGGCCACAGCTGATTTGGTAATTGACATTTCAAAAGCTGGACTATGACTCTCCTGACAATCTGCACAGCCTCTAGAGCTGGAAGATGACAGCTTGGAACCATCTTCGTCCACAACTGCCTCCGATTCGGAAGATGGTCAGCTGACAAGAATGCAAGAAAAGAAGCACAAGAGGTCGATAAGCGATGTGGTTGATCCACAGCTCGGTTTCTCCTGTATGCGGAAGAACGAAGGTACGTCCAAAAGCAAAAATCCCAATCTGAGGACCATTGAGATGCTGGACAAGATGGCGCATTATTATGACCGTATCGGTGACCGCTGGCGCACAATATCGTACCGCAAAGCTATCACAGCCCTAAAGAGACAAACCGATTACATCGCAACTCGAGAACAAGCAATTGGGATTCCGGGTATCGGAGAGAGATTGGCCAGCAAGGTCGAGGAGATTGCCTGTACAAACAAGTTGAGACGACTAGAAAGCACAGTTACGGACCCGAATGATCCGATTCTGCTGCTTTTCATGGGGATCTATCAAGTCGGCCTCCCCACAGCCTCCAGGTGGATCGCCCAAGGCCACCAGTCACTCGAAGACCTGAAGTCTAAAGCAGACCTCACTCCTAATCAAAGGATCGGTCTTGACCATTACGACGACTTTCTATCCAGGATTCCACGTAGCGAGGTCATGGCACATGCGGATATAGTGAGAAGGGCTTGTTCAAACGCTGACGCGCAGATCCAGCTTGTGGTAGGCGGATCCTGTCGCAGAGGTTCTGCTGACTGTGGTGATATTGATCTGATCATCACCAAAGAAAGTGCTTCTCTAGAGCAGATTCGCACCATCCTGGTCGACACAGTAATTCCACAATTATTTCAAGACGGCTTCCTGCAAGTGGGCTTAGCGACTTCTAGATCAAGATCTACGGACCGAGGTTCAAAATGGCATGGAGCATCAGCTCTTCCTGGTTCGCAAGTTTGGCGTCGTATAGATCTTCTATTCGTTCCGTGGGACGAGTTTGGGGCCGCACTAATCTACTTCACAGGCAATGACATCTTCAACCGCAGTATCAGACTTCTGGCTAGCAGAAAGAAGATGCGGCTCAACCAGCATGGGCTGTACGGAGATATAATGCGAGGCGAGAAACGGGAGCGGATCACACAGGGGAGGCTTTTGGAGGGAAGGAGTGAGGAACGTATTTTCGAGATCTTAGGAGTACCTTGGAGACCACCTGAGCATCGCATATGCTAAGAGCGCGTCTATGACGACTTCACATCGATAGTTGCAGACTCAACACCATCTTCCTGGCGGTGCTTCAATCAGAATCATGGCCTATATGGGAATTTCATTGGAATCTGTCATTCTTGGAAAGCTCGTTGCTGGAGCCATACCGGTAAGGGTACTCCGTACAAATCGTGCCAAAGCGCAGTTAACCTTGACTTGAAACTCTGTGCGGCCACGTAACCCAGAGGTGTATCGCATTATCTACCATTCAGAAGCGCGATGTTGTATTCCACATCTGTGAGATCGACCTCGCCACCGAAGCCGCTACTGCTGCGAAGAATCAGACCACATCAAAGTGGAGCAAGGGCACCGACCAGCCAGGCCTGTCACCTCACAACTAGGATTGTGCCCGTTAAGGTCTTAACGCTCTCGCAGAAGTATCAGGTCGGAGACAAGGAACAGAAAAACGCCACGCAACTCCTTTCAGTATGAGAAATGATGCCAGTGTTGGCCCAGCTGTGCTGGATCCCGCTCTACAAAACCAGGGTTTGTCAGCTACTCTGTGCAACGGTGTGCAGAATGGTGATGGCGCTGGGCATGGTAGTAAGTTTTCTTGATTGTCTACTATCAGTCAGAGATTGACTGTTTTTAGGAATCTCTTCATCTGGGCTTACGAATAGTGCTGCTCATAAACTGCATTGAACGACATTCACAGATCCTGCACAGCTGGACCGACCCGTCGAATGCTGCAAAGTGGCCATTAGAACAGTCGGCATCAGAACTCCTCTGTCAAGCGGAAACTGCAACAAGAGTCATCATCGTTTTCGTGGCTAAGATCCGCAATTTGGGGCCAAGAAGTCACGGGAGAAGGTGCCGGTGATGTTTTGAAAGCTGAGCATGCACATGACGATGAAAAGTATGCGCAGTTTTTTGAGGAGATGGGCGTAACCTTCGCTTATCTGGTCCAGCGTCAGAATAGTATTTTCGATGCTGGGGAGTTTTGTTCGTTGGATTTGAAGTTTTCTGCCACGCTGCTGCTTCCAGAGGATATGGTAGTTGCCTAGTTGGGAATTTCTTGGCAGATCTTTCCAAGTTTAGGTTTTCTGTATACGGAGTAGAGATACCCCATTTGCGAGTTATCTAAGAACGTTTACTGCTTCTTTCTAATGAGTTGTGAAGGCAACTTCCCAATGCCTAGTCTGGTGTATTTAACGTGGTCGAGGACTCTAACTAAAACAGCGGACGTCCCCGGGTGACCAGGAGGAAACCTTAGCTGGGAGATGTCTCTCCCTGTCCTTAATTTCCTGATCTCAACTTCCCAAATCTGGTAGATGATGAAAAATCCATCCCGAGCATGGTCAGGCGGAGACTCTGACTTCTAGACCTATCTCATGACATTTTCTCGAGTTCTGGAATTCTAAGCTTTTTTCCCACGCCGATGCTGTATCTCACCGCTGAGCTGTACACGAGGAAGAGAGAGAGAGGGGTCTGAATCATGGATTTATTTTGATAGTGCTGCATCTCGAAAAATTCAGGATATCCTCATTGATTAGTAAAGAAAAAGATAGTCGGGCTGAGCTGATCCACCGTCTTCGAGACGGTACAGTAAGGTATTCTGTATCCGGCCGCCGCCGCGGCTGGCAGCGGGCGCGGGCGATAGCTGTTTCATGACCGACACGGGCGGAAGAAGATAGGATAGGATAGAAGCTGGGATCTAGATGATTGTACTGGTCATGTGGCATATTGGATCGGTCGGCGCCCCCTCGAACGTTGGATCTTCGGATCTCTCCGATCGAGGGACTGGAGGGTTTTTCGAGCGCCGGGGGACGGAAGGACTTCATGCAGCCGGGTTTTTTTTTTCTTTCTTTCTTTTTTTACTGTAGAGGAAGTCTGCGCATTAGAATTATGACGTTCAAGCTTGTCTGGCTAGAAGAACTGGCTGACACCCAGCCGGCATATGGTCGGTCCCCCAAGTCTCCGACTCCCCGACTCTCCGGTCACTCTAACGTAGTAAGCGAAACGGGGGGCGGAGCACACCAAGCCCATCCTGCGTAACAAGTTACTACCACGTAGGCACTCGAAGCGCACACACGCGCGTTCAATCAGGGCCGTCGGGCCTACTCGTCACGAAAGAAAAAAGCCCCACTTACTATACGGGCGCGAGAGAGAAAACTTTTCCGCTCCGGAATGAATTATTAATAATACTCAGATGAATGAAAGTGAGGCGTCTACGTCACCCTCTGGGGCGTCACCGCCCAAGGGCGTTTCTGCAGAGAAAAAGATAGGACACTTCCGCCAAGAGGAACGGGGGGGCTGGATGCGTCTCAAACTTACTACGTATGTTTGCTTGCTTGGTTGACCTAATCCCCTGACGTGTAGTGTTACGAACTGAGTGAGTCGTCTACACGTACACGCATGGTTTCAGGGCGCTGGGTCGGTCGGTTGTCCGCCGTGGTTAGCAGTACTAGTGACGTGGATGCTTGGTACTCTAGGTTACCCGTTAGTACTGCTGTGGTACTAGGGGATTGGCAGTCCGAGGCTTGCGGTTAGCTACGGGCAACGTATGTGATGCCATTTTTTGGGCCGGCTGATAGTAGCGACGATTTGGTTGCGTGATTTAGAGGAGGCTGTGAAAGGATGGATCATGAGACAGGAGGGGATAGGTATGCATCAGATGGGTTTCCCTTTGTCTGAGGATATATAAGGGGTGCTTGTTCCTCCACCTACAGAGACATTATTTCTATAAGCCTCTCCAACTCTGCAATAATCTATCCAATTTGAATACTCATCTTTCTATCCACACCTCTTCTCTCAAGTCAAAGTACCTGAATATATCAGTAATTTATAGCCTTGGTCACAGCAAAGACCCCCTCTTCCGGCATCTGAACATCATCGAACATCATCATAACCAATCATCAACATGACCAGCCCCCAACCACAACACAGTGTCTTGACCGCAGCGGTCTTTCCCTCCCTGCTACCGCTGTCCTTCTCCCTGCCACAGAAACCGGCCATCTTCGACCAGCTCCAGGAGCCGCTGGTATACAACTACATTGTAGCGCCCAGCGCGCGGGGAGATCTGACGGATCGATCAAAGGTCGTGACTCCAGGGTCTCTTAGCGATGAAAGGCCGTCAATGAGGGCCGATACGAAATGGAACCCAAGCGCTGTATCGAGGTTCGCTATCGAATGATGGATTGCATGAGGGGACTCGGGCCTGGTTATTGATTTCTTACCACTAGCGTTTATGAGCGACCATGGTCCAAAACGGGTATCAGACTGCACATTGAAATGTTCCAGCACGATGTATGTGGGATACCAGCCCATGGCGCACGGGGTTTGACGGCTGCATTGCAGGGGTAGCGACTTCAGAGCATTGACGGCGAGAAGGGTGTTAACGAGGGCTTAGCGAAATCTCATTCATGCGGTAACCTTCAATCTCTCCAAACCTTCAATGGCATCTTCACCGTCTTCATCTTCGTCAACCTTGCCAACCAGACCTCCCTCCCAGAGTTGCCTACCCGTCATCTTCTTCTCTTCTGGCTTACCACCTCTCTTCTTTTTGTCTTCCGCCTCCTGCTCCTCTTTTTCTTTCCTCTCTTTCTCTGCCATTTCCGCCAGAAACTTCTCTCTCCATTCTATAAACCTCTCTCTAGTAACAACTGTGCCGTGAAATTTACGGTTCTCCTCTTCGTCCGCTTTTGCCGCTTCCTGGTCTTTCTGAGCTTGAAGCGCGCCCTGTCTCTCAATAATAAGCTGCTCGGCTGCTTCCTTGAGTGTTGACACCAAAGTGAAGACCATTGCCATGCCTAGGTTCTCTTCTATTGTAGCATCTAGGGACTTGAGCAGCTGGGCCTTGTCTTCCGATACATCGAGAAGAGGATGCTTCGGGGCGTTCGGTGGGTTGGAGAGGTCGAGGTTAGGTGCAACGTCGGGATATGTTTCTGGATACGAGACGCTGAGCACGATGGTGGGAGGTTCGGTGGTGTCGCCGTGCTCATTGGTGACTTCGAGCGTTATGGCTATTCGATAGGCTGTGTCTGAGATATCTACAGAAAATGTCAGAAATCTACCTCAAGGCCAATTGGTAGCTGTAGTAAGTCACCTGTGATTTCCTCTGGGAATATTGAGTCGAGCACTTCTCGCTCCTCTTTCTGCTCTTCAATGCCCATTGTAGTAGTTGGCGACGAAAACACCTCTCATCCACAGTCTACTTTGTAGTGAAGCTTTGCATTTCTATCATTGGATCTTGTGTAGGCTGAGGAGAAATTCGGTACTGCGCATCCTTATATGGTGCCCAGGCACTCCGTATGACGTGCAGAACCCTTAAATTTGTAGCGTCCAAAAAGATGCCCACCGAGGAGCCAATGAATTTTCTGCGACAACGGCCCTCACCATATGCATTCAAGAGTTGTCCAGTCGTCGATATATTATGGCTAAAATAAAGTCTGTTTCGAAGAGTATCGGTACAAAAAAAAAAAAGCGGAGAGCGCACAGGGACCAAGAAGGCCTCCACCGCGCTGATGGCACTACCGTAGCAACAAAAGAGCCCGAGACTCCAGAGCAAATGTACTCGAAAGCTTCTGATCTTTTCTTGCAACTTCAAATCGACAAAGCTCTCTCCATCGCGCAAAGATCACTCGATGAATTTCTCGAAGTCTACCCTGATAACCCACGAGCATCCTACCCTACCCTCCTTCTCCTTGGCCAAATCTACCTTGCATTGGGTGATGTCGATCTGTCACGGGAGCACTACTTGAAAGCTACAGAGGTAGATCCAGATGGAAGCGAGACTGGTGCTGCTCCGTTCTTATGGATTGCGCAATTGAGTGAAGTGGGTGGAGAAGAGAGTATCAGGTGGTTCGAGAAGGCGTGTGCGATTTTGAGGAAGGCGCTTAGGGAGTTGGAGGAGCAACAAGGGATCGAGGAGTCTGAGAATGCGATCATTGAGACAAGACGTCAGCTTGGGGAAACCCTTTGCAGTATGACGGAAGTCTACATGACTGATTTATCGTATGTTAAGTTCGACACGTATGATGTGGTTCAGCAGCTGACAGATGTACCCGGCAGTTTTGACCCTGAAGCCGGTTCGAGATGCGATGCACTTATGACAGAAGCAGTGCTTGTCTGCCCAGAGTCTCCAGCAGTCCTCCAAACACTCGCCAGTGTACGAATTTCGGAAGAGCGAATGGATGACGCCAAATCTGCTCTAACAAGGAGTATGGAGCTGTGGAGGCATCTTCCGAACGACGACGTCAACATACCAGATTTCGCAACTCGAATATCCCTAGCGAGACTTCTGCTGGAGGTTGAGATGGAGCCCGAAGCGGTTGAAGTGGTGGATCAGCTTGTACAAGAAGACGACCAGAGCGTTGAAGCACTGTATCTGGGAGCATGGTCACGGTACCTTTCCTTTGAGAAAGGTTCCAACACAGCGAGCGATTCAAGAGATTGGTTCCGTCGTTGTCTTCGGCTGTACACATCAGTGGACTATGAAGATGAGAAGCTAAGACAGCATGTCGTTGAGATGATTACCAAGCTAGATGAGATATTAGGACCACCCGTTAAGGAGGAGGAGGAGGAGGAGGATGCTGAATGGGAGGACGAGGCCGATGTTGAATATGGAGAAGAAATCGAGGTAGAAGAGCCGCAGGAAGATGTCAAGATGAATGATGTGGATATGAAGGGAGGAGTAACCTAATGGTGAGATGGGAAGCCCTCTAAGCACAAACTTCCAGGAAATCGCTACATCAACTTGCGGAGAACCCCGGAGCTTGGCATCTTCTGCTGTAGTTCAGACAGAAGGTCAATATCGGCCATACGAGCCGAGCACTTACTACGTACTTGGGCCTTCTGAAGCAGTCTTATGCTTCCTAACAAGGTGCACGAGAAATCCTTCCAATGCCCTTGCGATACGATGCCGCGCGTTATAATAATGCTTAGTGTAGCAAGCTCCCAAGTACTTAGATCAGCCTTACTCGGTCAGATCCCGACCTTGACAGTTCGAACGGCGGCCCGGGGCTAGTTCCTCCAAAAGCGGTGTCTGAACATCCCTTCTAGGGACTTTCATCTAACAGAGCGGTTGAGAATCTACCATTGCGATCGCGGCTAACCACTTTCTCATGCGCCAATGGCTTGGAACCCTGCTCAACTACTAGTACAATTCACTCCCACTTGCTGCATTTACCCGTGATGCACAGATGTGTCAGCGAAGATGAACCGCATCAGAATTAGACCTGGAAACCAGCCACTTCTCCGTTCTGGGTTGGGAACACGTGGGTGTAATGAATGCTCTTCCCACCCTGCCTGCCACCAAGAAGCGGAAATCGGGGCAGGAGGTTCCTTCTTCGGCAGTAAAAAATGGCCTCTGTCAGGTGGAAAGTTCTGATATATTCAGTATACACGACAGATCAACTTTAATGCAGAGCCGTGGATCAACATGTTCCGATGAGTATCATACAGTTTGTCGACAATGTCCAGTGGGACTAAAAGCGGACATCTCACCAAAAAGCCCAGGACAGTCTCGCGCAAAGACCGACAACGCTGCAGCGAAAGCCGAAGTTGCAAACTCTAGTAATTGCACGGCACCAGGATCGAAGGACGCCCAGACAGCCTTTAAAAATGGCAGCTCGCCCACTCGTGCCCGAACAGGGAACGACCAGTGCACTTACGAGGAGGCCTTAGCTATTCGCTACCACGTGCGAGAAATTGGTCTAGAGCACTTCTTCCAGAATTCTGTCCTTGAGCAGCGCATTCCACTGCAGACGTTGAGTACGGTCTTCGGTGTCACTCTACCTACTAGCCCATCAGATATTCCAGATAATACTCTATATAAAAGACTAAGAAAGGCCATCACAGTCGATATGGGCAATCGCATCAAGCTTCACAAGTACAACTCTGTCAAAGACGCCATCGCTCTTGTTCAACATTCCAAGAACATAATGGTCATCACAGGCGCTGGCATCTCGACTTCTCTCGATATACCTGACTTTCGCTCGCGTGGTGGCCTCTACTCCACACTACGGGATATGGGCTTTGAGGACCCAGAAAGCGTCTTCAGCCGAGACACCTTCGAACAAGATCCGCGACCATTCTTTTCGGTAGCTGCGAAGATCCTGCCGCCAACGGACGGTAGATATACACCAGCCCATGCCTTTCTCCGTCTCTTGCAAGACAAGGGCAAGCTTCTCACACTTTATACACAAAATATTGACGGCATTGATCTCACAGCTGGAATTAGAAGGGACAAGCTGGTGCAGCTTCATGGCTCTTTCGAAACTGCAACATGCATAAGTTGTGCACACCGCGTCAGAGGCGAGGAGATCTTTCCCCAGATACGAAAGTGCGAGGTCCCAATATGTACTGAGTGCGCAAGAGAGCGTCAACTCCGCATTGACCAAATGATCGCCATGAGAGCACAAAACGGTAGATCAGTGCGTCGGAAAACTCAAAGAAGCAGCGGAGAATCCACTAGCGAGCCTGTCGGAATCATGAGACCCGATATCGTGTTCATGGGTGAGCCACCCAGACCATATCTGAAACGCTTTCAGCGAGATTGTGCCCAAGTGGATTTGCTGATTGTGATGGGAACTTCTCTTCCTGTTGAGCCGGTCAATACCATGCCGAATAAAATACCTCCGGCAGTGCCACAAATCTATATTGGCAAGAATGAGATGTCTCTAGAGGGATCTAAGAGGATCGACTTCGATATCCAGCTACTTGGCGAATGTGATGTCATCGCAGAGCTGTTGGCGAGGGGATGTGGATGGGATTTAAAACATGAGATGCTTTCCAGGGACACTGTCATCGAGGCCGAGCCGTGGTGTTCTGGGCGACGTCATTGTCATGAGATTCGCCAGCAGAAGATACCAGCGAAGGACGTGGGTGTGAAGTCTGAACCAAAAGAGTAACATTGGTTTGGAGTTCTGGATGCGGCGAATTAGGCATGTATCCGACCCGCATTAATCGCGCTGTTCGATATGCTCTGAAGACTTACCTCGGTGGATTATCCTTCTCGGAACGAGGCAGATGAACTGCTGAGCCAGGTGATGTACAGGGCACGGTGGCGATGTAGTTGTCTGGGATACCCACCTTTTACTTGTCTCCTATCATAGCGCTCGCGTTCTTGTGGGTATTATATCTCGTGTCCGAAATCCTTGAAAGTACTTCCTCCTAAACGGATTTAAATCCGACGCGGTCTTTCCATTTGCAAGCTCCTTGAGCTTCTCATCATCCTGACCAGACCCATTGACGTCAAGCTCTTTCAATTCTTCCTTTCTCCTCCTCCGATACACAAGCAACCTCCTACTCCACCTATGAAACCGCTGCACGCAGCACTCCACCAACTCCAGTTCGACACGCTTTGGTATTGCAAGCTCCTCATCATCCTCATTTGCACTTGGCATCCAGAACGCTAACCTCCCATCCGTCACCAACGTGTCCGCAGCAAACGCCAGAATATCATCCAACATGCGCTCGAACGAGTAGGGCTTCTTCGGCGCTACATAGCCAGGCAAAGTATGCGCCGGTACACCATCAACCATAATCGGAATTCGATCAGTTCTTGGCTCCCTATTTCCTAGGATTCTCAAACCCTCGCGTACGCCATAAGGTGGATCACAGATTATGCCGTCGAGCCATCCATTGCCATCATTCGTTCGCAGCGGAGTGTTGATCAAATCACAGATAAAACAATCCCCGAACAAGTCTCCGAGTCCATACTCCTCGAAGTTTCTCCAAACACCCCCCTTCCCACCTTTCTTCTTCCCAACCTTCCCATCACTCCCTCCCTTCCCTCTTCCCGCCCCACGAAAACTCCGCCCATCGATATCACTACCCCAGACACACGCCCCGAGTTCCGCGGCCGCCACCAAAAATCCACCAGTCCCGACGAAGGGATCATAGAGCATACGCCCTGGCCCCGCGTGGGCGAGATTGGCGCTTACAAGGGCGAGAGTGGCGTCCATGGAGGTGGTAGAGATGTAAGGGCGGCGTTTTAGATCGTGTTTCATTATCAGATGGTGACGAGGCGAGGAGGAGATGAGGCGGCCGAAATAGAGGGTCTGAGGGTCGTGCTGAGGAGTGGGATGGTTATCAGGGAAAGGTTCATCCACTAGTGATTGTGATGTAAGGTCCGGGTGTTGTTTGCGTGAGTGATTGGGATTAAAGCTCAGGTTCCACTCCTCAAAAGCGGTGAACTCGACCTCTGGGTTCTGCATTCGAATTGGCCCTTCGAAGCCGAGATAGCGGAAGCCGTTGATGATCTCGGTTTGCTCGGCTGGAGATCGCTTTCCGCAATAGGCGTCGACGGAGAATCTGAAGCTGGCTTTCTTGTACTTGGCCCAGATTCCTGAGTTTGTCCTCGTTTGCACGTCGGCGTGGAGAGCGGCGTATGTTGCAACTCCTTCGACTTTGGGGGCCATGCCCCACAACTCGTGTATCCCTAGAGAGAGAACGGAGCGGGATATTAGGGCTTTGGCTGCCACATTTGGTGAGGTGAACTTGGAAGCTGGGTAGGAAAGGATGCGAAGGATCAAGAAGGGAGAGTTCTTTGAGTAGGAGACTATGTCTATTTCGATGCGGAAGTAGGAGGCGAGACAGCGGATTTCGGCGAGGCGGAAGTCTTCGTGCATTTGGACGAGACGGATGAGGTAGTCCATCGACATGTTGTGCTTCGAAATTGCGGTGGTGGAATGAGTCTCGCTCTGAGTGTTGGTGAGCAATGGAATTCTGCTCAGTCATGGGTTGCCGAATTGATGTTCGTCCTCTACTAAGCAAAGTGCCTTATACTCCTTGAAGTGCGTCCCCAATATTTTTCAACACAATCGAACATCAAAACTCAACAGCTTGCTGTGTTTATTTCCCTTTCCATGTACCATGGTTTCAAGTAACTATCTTTTTAAATAATTGAGTTTACTCGTGTAATACGGGAAGCTGCCAAGTAATGCCGGCTTGGAGTTGTCCTAGGTTGTCGTTTGTTCGTTTCAATTGGAGCTGTTAGACGCTCGACGTCAACTTCTGCGGCTGAAGACTTGATGAATCAGGGGAGAACCATATAGAGGTCCTGTCTTTTCATGCTTTGAAGATTAGAATTGGCGGTTGTGATCTGGGAATGAGATAATTGAAGCGGGAACTGAGACGGCAGTTTGGGAAAATATAAGCCCAGTGGTGGAGAATTGATATCACGTGCTAGATATTGCCAAGTGCCCAGGCACCAGCAAAATAGTTCCTCAAATCTGCTCTGCTGGTGCTTTGTGGGTCCCCACTGCAATGAGTAATTCAGAATTCCATTGTGTTGTGAAGCCTGGTGGATGAAAGAACTGAAAATGGGTGTCTTCAGATCACGTAATCATACCATCCCTGAATCATCTTGGCACTCACTCCACCCTCCACATACTAGAGATATTCTTTTATAGCTGTGATGGAAAAACAGAGAAGCGTCTACATTTTCCGTCATCGACAAGTGGCCTATCCGCCTACTAAATGTCATTGAATACGATCTTTCGCATTGAAACCATTCTTGACACATAAGTCACCTATTCGCTGCCCAAGCTACGAATGTGTGCCCCTTTCAAGCAAGAACAGAGATATCCAACATCCAAGAGGAAGTCACCATTCTCTTTCCCGACATAGGAGTGCGACGAACCCTTAACTTTCCAAAATAGAATCAACATGAGAGGTAACCGCAAAGCACCAGAAAGTGGCCCACAACAGGCCGATAACACTGTTCAAGATCTTGGTTACAGCGAAGACTGTCCCTTCTGCAACATCTCCTTAGCTTATCCTTCGGTCAGCCCCTTGAATGATCCCCAGAGGATAGCACGGATACTGCATCATGAAAAAACGAGCCCACCATGTGTGGTCATCTATTCTGGTGAACATGTCATGGCTTTTTTGGACATTCAACCCCTGACCTGGGGCCATACGCTGGTCATACCGAGGAGACATAGAGTCAAGATGGGAGATCTGGAGGCGGTAGATGCTGCTGAGGTTAGTATCGAGTGTGAGGTTTCTGTCTTGATCAAGCATTCCTTATTTCATTCCCCCCGAGATGTTCCTATGGAGTGTAGCAAATAGCTTTATGAATGCAAGATCTGTGACCGGCTTAGTATTCCATAACCCGCACTTTTCCACTCATCTCAGCAAATCGCAAGTTGATCGTGTGCTCGTGCTCTGAAGCAATCTTTTGTTTCGGATTTGAGCAAAACGGTCATCACCAGTGTTAGATTTCTTCCTAACATATCTTCTATTCAGCTAGGCCGGCATCTACCTCTTATAGCTCGTGCAGTGATGCGTGCGGTCTTTGACATTCAGTACAACCCAGAAAAGCTACAAGTCGAAGGGGCGGATTACAACATAGTCCAGAATAATGGTGCGTCTTATCAGTCCCATCCGGGTTGACTTTCTCCTGTTCCATTCTCTACCATGCAGCTCACCCCCCTTTTATCTGCTTCGTACAATGTACCTTTCTCTACCCGCTCTCCTTCACTCCCCCTACTGACCTCCACCTTCCAGGCCCCCTTGCCGCCCAAGTAGTGCCTCACATCCACCACCACATCATCCCACGACCATCCGATCCAATCCCTCGCTTTCACCAGAACGGCAACCCTGCCCCAAGCCAGCTTCCCAAGATGACATCCAAATACCACACCTCCTGGACCATGTTCGGCCGTGGCTATCGCACCGATCTCGACGAGAACGACCCAGAAACCCAGCAGCTAGCCCAGCGGATGCGTTACGAGATCGCACGTGAATTCTCCCGAGGCGAAATTGACAGCAGTTATGGCACCTCACTCTTCAAGCATCCAAATACCACAGGCGCCCAAGCCCCGCACCTAGAAGCCACCCCATATGTCGATTCGGCTTCTCCTGACAGCACACTCATCAACACCAGGAATCCTGACCACAAATCCACTACCACCGACAAAGACCTCCACTTAGGCCCACACTCCGAACCATCAAAACCCAGCGGCAGCGAAAAACCCACCCCCAAGGGAGACTCCCCACTCCAGCCCGAGCAAGCCCTCCACCGCATCCACCGAATTTCAAATCAGAGCACAGAGCCATCACAAGAAGGAGACAAGACAGCAGGTTCAGGCCCCGGCTTCCAAGGAGCAAACGTGATCCCGGTCGCGATAACGCAGAGAGCAGCGGAGGAAGATTCACATCCTCCGAGATCTGGAGAGAAGAACGGGAAGGAGAAGTTGTGAGGGAGGGGGTTACAGGGCCATGAAACTGAACAACTAAGGTGAGGCAGACGATGTAGAGAAAAAAAATAATCGCAAATGCAAAACGGACGAGAGAAAAGATACAGGACAGGCTAGGACGCTGCTTGGAAAAACGGAGCAGGTCACAGCAAAGGAATAGATGGGATGATACTTTGTCCTGTTGAGAGAGAGGAGAAGAGAGGACAAGACAGGACAGGACAGGATAGATTGGTACTGTACATGAATCCACCACCAGGTTAAGTGATCAGTGATGGATAGACATGGAAATTTTCTGAACATATCAATCATAGCAAACAGAACATTCGTGGCAACCAGCGCAAGCTCTCCGATCGGCGTCAGAGAAAGTAAAGTCAGAGTGCATCTCGAGGTGGCCCACCATCATCCTGTCATTATGCTATGGCGAAGGAGCAGGGAGCAAAGCAAGATCGACACCTCAAAGGCTGGTATGTAGGCAGCTGGAATGATGATGGTGAGAGAGGCGTCTGATGTAAGTCAATGAACTTCACGAATGTGGACAGAGATGGGCAGGAATGAGCGCCTCAATGACAGTCCCGGGTAGACACGGATGAAGAGAGTCAATCACTTGCTGGGATTTCTGCATCATACACATAGTTCATGCTTTTTAATGGCTTCGATTCAGAACACTGGTATTTATCCACAGCGGTAATCCAAAGGGTAGCAAAACAGGCCTGACCGACTGACTGACTTGACCGCTTGACCTGGATCATGATGTGATGAGAGCTATACTGACAACAACAAGGATGGACTTTATTATTTCCTCTCTTTCTTCAGGCAAAGCGGTCATCAGAGGCCTTGGAGCCGCCTACTCCACCGCCACAAGAACAAAATCATATCCATCCTCGCCAGTGAACCCTGCGCCGTGTACCTTGTTCTCAAACCCCAATTGTGGCCCGCATACAGGATGACAACAATATAGAAAAGGTTTGGAACTCCGGACAGGATGGGAATGGTGCTGGTGACAAATGTACTTCCTAATCTATGCTTGCATGGATCATCGTAAAAGGGTGAGGTCAGACTGGAGACGTTTTGGTGAAGCAAGTCTCAGGAAGTTGAACTCAAAACTGGTGACGAGTAGGAGTCTGGGAATCTATGACCTAAGATCATTTGTCCACTGTCTTCTGAGAACATTTGACACTGTCACGGGCAGTACCCACACCATTGCTCTGCATGGCATGAAAGTCTTTGGCCCACTTCCGGGTCAATATGGATGCTGTTGACAACAGTCAGTCGGGTAATATGCTATGAGGACCAACCCACATACCTTTCAGAAATTTCTTGCTTGCGTACTTCTTAAAGAATGCCTCATGTGCAACGGGACGGTGAAGATAGTCAAGCATGAGTTCAAATATAGGTTGAATTTCCTCCTCCGTATAACCAGAGTAGTGCGCCAGAGTTGCATCCTGAGAATCTGGTTAGTACACGTCGTTCTCGAAAGATCACTGACATACCCATGGGCCGCGTTCGAGGATGAGACGCGACAGGTACATAGCAGCGGCGGCAACATGACTCTGTCGATATGGCATAAAGCGATGATCAAGCAGACTGATCTCCATCAGGTACTTGCCGATTGTTCGTGTTTGGATGTCATAGTTGTCGGCCTTCGATATTCTCCTAAGAAAGTTCATGGGATTTGGGTAGCTGAGATCGTACTTAAGAGCAGTCAGAGTGTATCGTTCAGCAGCCAGTACTTCGTCAACGCTGAAGCCATTGTCTGCGACATGAACAAAGTTGCCGATATGTGGAGAGAGCACTTCCTCATATTTTGATGCGATGAACATTGCAGTAACACCAACCAACTGAAACTTATCCAGAGGAACGACTTTGCTGGACAGGAAACGATCAACAATGTTGACGGCAAGAAAGAGGGTCTCAGGCAGAAGGCGGAAGCGCGTATGCACTTCGATGAGCCAGTCGACAAGCACCCCTCTCATAGACCAGTCAAGGTCGTCTTGGTGCTCCATGTAGTCGGGATTTGGCATTGTGGTCCCCTCCAATTCCTTGTAGTACTCGAAGATCTCCTGCACATACTCTGCTACCATCAATGGATCGTCGAGGTCTTCTGCGTCCAGGTCATTGACAGCTTCTTGAATAGCCTGAGCAGTGGTCTTCACATCCTCCAATACTTGTGCCTCTGCCTTACTGGTCTTGATCTCTGCCTCTGAACATGACTTCTTTCGAGGTGGCTCTTTGACGTCGGGTGTGGCTTCTTTGCTTGAGTGGACGGTGGAGGTTGTGCTCTGTGCACGCTTCTTCTGTATGTTACCAATGCCTGACGCACTAGCTTGTCTCTTAAGTTCTGACGCTGCTGGCTTTGATTTGACGTTGTTATCCTTCGCTCCTAGCGCTGTTCTTGAAGAGTTCGTCCTCGTGAGCTTCTGCACACCTGCCGGTGCTACCTTGGATGCCAGACCGACCTTGCCATTCGCTGCTTTCTTTCCTTCGCCTAATGAGGGCTCAGCTGCTTTGGTTGCATTTGTGACATCTCCCAGAGCAGCACGTTTCCGTTGAGCCGCAGTATTGTTGAGGCTGCTGGTTGTGGGCTTTTTGCTTTGAAGAGGTTTCTTTGCGAGGTCATAATCCGTCAGAGCGGCTGCCTTGGCACGCGTTACTCTTCCTTGGTTTTCGTCATTTTCGTTGTTCGACGCGATGCGCGGTCTTGATCTTGCCTGTATAATTTTCAGCTTCAGTGACTGTTTCTTAACGAATGTAGAATCGGGTGCCAGTAGCTGGTACCGCGACATGTTTACTGACCGGTGGCATTGTATGGTCAAGACGACAAAGATGTTACAGGCGATGTGCGGAGTTGAGGTTGTTGCACTGCGGAGAACAGCTGTTGCGGGTCAGGAACTATCTGCTTTCCCGTGGACGAATTAGCATTGGATGTATACTTGGATTGCTAGGAGGACTGAAGATGACCCACGTCGTAGACACGCGTCGAGAAGCTGTCTGCAAATGCAAGGACAATTGCTGGGACAATTGCTGTAGCTGAAGTGGAAGAGGAGTTTGGTGGAGTTTATTGGCACCAAGGATCTTTCCACATCAAGTGTTGTTGTTGACGAGCTTAGTGAAAGGCAGTACAGCGGTGAGAAGTGATCGAGTCTAAGGAGGAGGCAGAAGAATCAGAAGATGAGATCTAATATGTGCACGAAAGACTGTAGTAAGTACTGTCTGTCTGTCTGTATGATGGTAGGATGAGGTGCACAGCTGGTCAAGCTGTGAAAGTATTGACCTTGAGAGCGGGTTGGAGGTTGATTTGGCGTTTTGTGTGTGGCAGAGCAGCACCAAGTCAGGGCCAGGTACCTGGAGGGGGGGGTGCCAAGCTTGTTGTGACACTAAAAGCGCGAAGGGCGTCAAGCTCGCTCAGCTTTCGTGCCCCCGTGAGAAATGTTGCAGTTAGTTAGTCTTGTCTGTGGATAGTGTGATCCAAAAGAAGACTGTCCAGAATGTATGCTGGGTAGATGCACGGCCGAGGGTAATCTGAGCACTTTTAGGATGTTGAGGTAATGGGTGAGCAAAAAGGTAGGGGTAGAAAAACATGAATTGGATTGGTTATGCAGAGGCGGATCCGCAACTTGACCACCGAGCCCGTTTGTTTATCCGGCGTTGCTATGCAGCAACCACCACGCGCTCCGATTCTATCCATCTTGTTACACTTCACATGCATTTTCATTCAAGCCTGGAGTTAGAGATTTGGGCTACTAGTATCGCACCACTCGCCGAGCCCGAGTCAGTATTGGATGAATCCTTAAGGGATCCGGGATCCGGGATCATATTCATACAGCACATGAATGTAATGCTACTAGCTCTGTCAATACTCTGCACTCATCACTTTTGCCTTCTTCATGATCATTACGCTAACTCCTGACTCCTGACTCCTTCCTTCTTCATTTTCTTCCTTTATTACCTCTTCTGCATCACCGCCCGAACTGTTCCCTCCAAGATCTTCATGTCCGGCACTTCCTTCTCCCAGATCTTACCCGGACTCTCATCCCCTTCCAGCCATCGTCGCAGCAGGTCGTTACTTTCTTTCGGTTTGATGTCTGAGCTTGCGGTTCCGATAGTGATATGTGGGGTGGCATTCGCACACGGCCAGCCACCATTCCCATCCATCCCTTGATGCGATTCTGAAGGTAAGATCCGCACCACAAATGCCATCACTCTACCATCCCACACTACCCGCTCTAGCCGGATGCGAACCGCCCCTAAATCGGGCTCCTTCTGTTTGTTCTCTTGCTTGATTGTGCTGAGAGCTTGCACGTACTGGTCTAAGTACTTTGTCCAAATATCTGAATCGACGTTTGAAGAGGCCCGGTGAATGAGGGTGACGTGGAACTCAGACTGCATGCGACGGGATTGTTTTAGCTGATTGTACATTTTAGCTTCTTCAGCAGTGGTATTGTTGAATAGAGATGCCAACATGGAATTGATCACGGCTGGGGAGACTGGAATGCTAAAATATTCGAGTCTCTTCAGGATCTGATCGGTGGTAAGTTCTTGATCAGCAGGGTGTTCCTCTTGAGTACCAGGGTTGGGCTGCTTCTTCTTTCTGTTAGATGACATGAAGCTCAGGTCATGTTTCAGTGTGACAGTATTCTCCAGGGCCCAAGAGATTGCATCCTCCATATCTTGTTGGGAGGGCATCTTCTCGCCAACGATCTTGGGATAAGCATTGTAGAGGTGGGTGACAACCGTCTCAAGATTTTCTAACGAACTTGCAGTGACTTCCAGATCAATCACTTCATCGAAATTCGAATCAGGCTCCTTGTGAGTGTCAACACCTTCGAATCGTTGCATGAAACCTTCCATGATAGCGGCAACTTCTTCGTGTCCTTTCGTGTCAGCATGGATAGTTTGATGGTTGTCCCCACGATCCAGAACACGCTTGCGGGTGACCTTGCGGATATCCGACAGCAGGCGATCTTTCGGTTCATGGACGTAGTGAAGGGCGACGAAATGAGCATCCCGCACAACATTGCTCACATCGTCGAAGATCTGCTGGCGTTCCCGCCGCTGATGGTTGTTTCGGTCAGCTATGACAGCCTTGTATTGAGCTAAGGAGTTGGTGATTGCAAGGGCGAACTTCTTGGGGCGGCCTCTTTGACCCTCTATATCGTCGTTTTGGACATGGCCAAAATCAAACAACTTGACCAGGGCTCGTGCAATGGTAGTCTTGCCACACCCAATACTTGCCACAGGTACCAAAACCATGTTCGAATTGACCTCGCCACCAGCTTCTTCGCCCTCCCCATGTCTTTCCAGCGCAATAATGTCTGACCCCTTCTGACCGATCTCTGCCAAGAAGCCATCTCTCATAGCAATGATACCATGATTCTTATTGTACTCTTTTCCGAGTTGAGGGTTCTTGGCCAGCTGTCTTCGTGCATAGAGGAGATACTGTTCTGTGATTTGCTTGTGTTTCTTGTACTTTGGAGGCTTGCCCATGATAACGGATTTCGTTGCTTCTCTCCACTGACGGTACATGAGGTATGGTTCTTCGAATTTGTACTTGAAAAACCAGTCACGATAGGGCTCTCGATCTTCTTCCCTGATCTTGCATCTGATGACGAAGCCTTCGGTATCTCGCCCATCCCAAGAGCCTGACTCTGCACACTTTTCGAGAAAGGATTTGACTTCGTCAAGGCTCTGAATGATAACATACTGCGCTTTCTTAAAGCCCCAGGTGTCCGCAAACTCGTGGACCTCCGGACCTGACAATGTTGCAAACTCTGGTACGTTGAAGTTGATGCCGTGAAGATAGAGACCAGCAATACTTGGAGGGTACTCAAGAACGTGCTCTTCGAATGTATCATCGCACAACTCAGCTACCGCAGTTGCATTCATTCTCCGAAGCTCCTGCGCAAGGTCTTTTGGAGTTCTGCCCACACTGGCTAGATGTTTCTCAGCCCATTTCTCGCCTGCCTGAGCATGACTGAGATTGACATCACTCCTAACCCCCGTGGAATGCTTGCTGCAAACAAGAAGTGTCCCATCTTCTAGACCGGACATGAAGATAATACATCCATTCTCCTTGACACTGAGCTCATAAGGGCCAATGGTTCTAGTTTCAATGTTCCGCCATCGTGTCTCATTCACTTCATCAACATTGAAGAACTTGTCGTAACCTCTGATCACAATCTCATGCTTACCATCCTTAGTCTTCGTTGTGAAAAGTCCCCGCGCATATGTTGGTAAGTCATCTCGTTTGTAGTCCCAGTCCTGAAATCGCCACGAGTCTACCGAGATATCACTCGAGCCTGCAACGCGGAAGGTTGACTTCTTGCATGAAAAGCCACCCTTCTTACCGCGACCTTTGTGACCCTTGGCAGTCTCTAGAGATTTGACTAGCTCTGCGATCTCTTGAGGATCTTGCTGAGCCATGGTTGCCTAAGGGGATCTCCTGCTTCCGATTGGACCAAATGAAGCAGGAAATACCTCAGAATAGATTGGCCGCAATCTAAGGTAGAAACGCGGCGTGGCGGACGACTTGTTGAAAAAAGAAGCGGGGAGAGCCTGAGAGTTGAAGACGTGTAGAATTGTATGCATTTATGTCTCGTTTGCACGGTTATTTGCAGCGCTGCAGTTGCGTTTGCTACGTCTTAAAAAGTACTGTAGGGCTGATGAGTCAGAAGCAGCCTAGAATTTTCAGATATGGCTGCCTAAACTGCGATCGTCGACCACTCGGCTTGAGGATCCAACCCAGGCGCGGCCGCCACTTCCGCTGCGAGATCTCCCGCTAAAGTACATGACATTTTTGCAGATGGGGCCCGACCGCGAAAGAAAAAACTTCACTCTGCTTTGATCCATAATCTGTATTAAAAGGCAAAGCATCTAGCAAAGCGAGAAGATGGCAGCGAATCCATTTCTTCTCGCTGCGGACAACTCTCCCGCGCTACTACCCCTCCTGCGCCAAAACCCTTCCATGGCATCAAAGCAAGACGAGCATGGGTATTCTCTACTGCATGCGGCCGCCTCTTACAACCATATTCCTCTGCTGCGCTCGCTCGTCAATGAGTTCAATGTTGATGTGAACCTCAAGGATGAGGACGGGGAGACGTGTCTGTTCGTTACCGAGACTGTCCCCGTGGCCACGTGTTTGGTAGAAGAGTTACGTTTGGATACATTCATTACGAATGACGATGGTCTCACCGCAGTAGAGAAGATTGAGGAGGAAGGGGATTTCTTGGAAGTCGCGTCGTATCTCCGAAGTAGGTCGGGTGGAGTGACGTCCCGCCCAGGTGACTTTTCACCAATCACAGCACAAAGTCACCCACCACCTCTCCCGTCAAACGTTACAGTGGATGTGGGCATGATGGCAGATCAGCAGTTCAGCGACGAAATTCAACAGCCCGATCCCGAGTTTAAGAGACGTATAGAAGAACTGGCAGCCAAAGACGACTTTCACGGGGAGGAGAGACAGCGTGAATTACGGGCTCTCATCACGGACGCGGTCCGGGGAGTCACAGCTGAAGATAGGGACACGAGAAGACGGCTACAATAATACATTGATACTTGTCAAAGCGCATGACAGTATCTGGTCAAGTGCATTTGCAAGATCTGAATCATGTATGCCTGTCCAAACCTTATCAGTTTTATCAGTTGTTCATCCATGCGGCCACCCTCCCACCTCCCACACGGGCAGCGAATCGAAGGCCGCTGCTGCCCATTGGAAAGTAGCTGACAAGGTACCATACCAGTGCTGCCAGTTGCAAGATCGATGACAGAAGTGTAAGAATTGTGGAATGTAGCTAGGTAAATGTGCATCAGTAAGCGTCATTTCTAGGGGAAAGCAAATAGTCGGGCGAAAATTCCGACTAGGCAGCAAAACAAGCCATCCTTCCGATCAGCCTCTGGCGAGACAGGAAGACTCGACTGCCACACCCTAACTGAGGCTGGAGCCACCAGGGCTGGAGAGTGGCCCGGCTCAACTTGATGATGGTTGGTTATTGGCGTCTTATAGCCATAATACAACGGTGAAGTAAGATGGGCGATAGGTAGTACTATGAAGCATAAAAACCCATTCAGAGTTGATATGAACACAATACTGTACAACCACCAGATGATTCGAGATGAGTGCTCGGACATGTGCAGAAAATGAAAGTCTGACTCACTCCAACAGCAAAATAGATTGTGAGTACAATAGAGCCAAAATAGGCAGCAGTGAACGGAAGTCGAGGGCCAGAGATTAGGTGTTGAACGTATTGGCGAGGACCCATAAGGACGGCCCACGAGGCCAGAAAGAGTATAGAGCCAACAGACCATCTAGTTTCATAACCATGTTAGTCTTTTTGTAAACCTGACTTGCTTCACTGCAAGGAGGCTGTACACAGCACTTCAAATGACGTAGTGGACCAAGACTTGCGATAACCATATCATTATAGACGTAAGAAAGGATGTTTTGTGACTCAGCGCACCAGGGTAGCAGGGCGCAGACTCAACGAGACTTGTGGTCTGGAGGACAAGCTCTCAAAAAGATATGTGGTTCCGAGCATAAAGGGTTCCACCTACAGAATAGCAAACTTGCGTGGTCTCGTCGCAAGGACCAGGAAGAGAATGTAGCAAGTGACAAAACATGCCGCTGCGGCCAGGTTACAACAGCCAAAAACGAGAAGGCGGTCCCATCTACTCACTAGGGTAGTTGTCAGCTGAGATCAACATCAACTCTACCGAGAAATGTGCAAATTCTGGGGATTTTCGACCGCCTCAATAGCCTAATATTGACATGCTGGGCTGGATACGGAGGATGACGGGTCGTAAATAACATATAAGGGCAGAGAAGGCCACTCACATGCGAACCAGCCCTCCTCTTCTTCCCTTCTAGAGGGAGCAGGCAGCGGCGCACCGGGCGCCTCATGTGTGGGTAGTTGTACATAGCCACTTCTTCCAAATAGGTTCCATGATGACAGCTTTGACAGGATGGGTGTGGTTGAGTTTGTACTAGCAGGTAATTCCGTCTCCCTCCGAGACCAGCCCAGTGAGCTCATCGAATTGCGAAAAGTGCTTGACGCCATGTTCTGGAGAAGTTTCTTAGTCTAAGCCGGCCCGTAACAACTCGACGATCTTTCCTTCCTTTATCCGCCTGCTATCCGCATGCGGGTCCGTGTATCGTGCAATAGGAGATGCGCCCTCGCCCACGCTTCGCAGTCCAAATCCCAGGGTCGTAGGTGAAGCAAGAATGTTCCGGCTATGCACAGCAAGCGCCGGGTGTGCAGTGTTGCGTGCAGATGATCGGCAGCGAAACAAATGTGGCAGTGACGGAACGAATATCAGGCAGATGACTCGCTATGGGCGAATGATGACAGACGAGTCTTGTCGATGGTCGGTCCTGATCCACGGAATGTGCGCGCGGTGGAATTCGGGCACCGAGTGCTCATAGGTCAGATGATGGGTCTTGGAGTAGCATGAGGGTGTCATGTATTAGATTCTGGGAACACGGTCATGGATATCTCAATCAAGGTCAAACAAAGTTGCGCGTACTTTCTCGTTGGCTTGAAGTAGTCATCCCGCTTGACAGGTCTGCTAACTACAATTGGCCATGGCTACTCAAAAGGCTGCTGCCGGTGTTGCATCGGATCCTTGCAGCCGTGGCTTGCAGCAAGCTGCACCCCAGGAATCTCTTTAACTTGTTGACCAGTCAGAGGATATGGCGGCACATCATAAGTGAAACGTTTGGAGCTAAGAGCCCACGCACCGCCTCTTCTACGAGGGCCTCGATGCATACTTCAAGAGTTCGATACAGTAAGGGCCATCCTTGCTCCAGAAGCCAGGCGTAAACACTCTCTCCAGGCTTCTCGAGCAATAATCCCCCAGCGCGCGAGCGATCCGGATGTTCACTCCTTCAAGTTTGGTAGCAACACTATCTACCATAGTGACCGGCCGATTTTAGCAATCATCTTGACGTTCGTTGAGAGAGCAGTCAACTACATCATCATGTCTATCCATACCCTATCTCTTACCTCCCATTTTCACATGTTCGAGTACAAGGCGCCCACCCCGCACAATGTACGGATCCGTTTGAAACTGAAGCCGGAGCACAACTGTGTATATAGCCCCATACCACCACCTCCACCTTTCGCTCGTCCTTCACAGATGTAGAGTTGATCATCCAACCCGTCGTCTCAAACTGGCCATGAGATGATCATCTGCCTGAAACATTGCCGCAACCCTGACCGTTGATGACTTGATGACCATTTCAAGGTTATCATACCTCCACTCCCTCCACCCCTGGTGACTCACGTAAGTGCGGCACAAATAACTGCCTGGCTAAGAAACGGCCTGCCCTTTGCCCCCCCACACATTCCATAGTCAGAATATTGTTGATATAGGCAACGTAATGTCAAAAGGACCAAAAGCCCTGGATGTCTTGCCTGGCTAAGCTTGAGGGTGTTCAAGGATGCTGCATGACCACGGATAGCCTGGGTCAAATGAGAGACGCAGTACGAAGTAGATAAAACCTAGTCAGTCTCTTTGTCCATAAAGACTTGCTTCTTCGACTTCCTTGCTAGATTTTCCACTCTCTTGGGCAAAGCTTCCGCCGCCTAGTTCAGCAGCTCCGTATATTTTCTGCCTCTTGCGGTAGTCGAGATCCAGTCGTTTTTGGCACGCCATCATCAAGCAATTTAGGGTCTTTAGCGATCTCGCGAACACCTACAACACTGACAACAGTCGTATTCAGCACTCATAAAAGGTCTCAAACCTGCATCTTTCTCGTCCTCACCGACTGTTTTGGTGGTGGGGTACTTTGGATCGTACCGGCGTTACGCACCTCCGCGCAGCAAGTTGGACATTTTCCACGTCAATTCAGCTCTGACGCTACTAGGAAGGTGCCATCCTGCATCCTTCCCCACAATCCATTGTCCTTTTCTTAGACAACCACCTCGACCTGCCAGTGCTACATAACCTTCTCACTGTGCGAGGTCCCTTCTATATTCAAGAAGCAAAATTCACTAGCCCGCCCGTTATCTCGACGCGGAACTGGTCTCGGTTGCCGGCAATCGCTTCGCAGCCATCCCCGGCTTTTTCGGATTGAATAACTCGGCGGTGACACTCACGCATCCTCTTCCGCACCTTGTCGATCATTAAGAAACAAGCAGGCAGTCGCCTATTCAGAGACCGTTCTCAGACGTCAAGAGGAGTGTGTCGACGAACAGACTCTAATTTCGGGTCTGCCCAGCTATCTCAAGCCCGACGACTTTCGAATGCAGCATCTCTCTGTACCAATCCATTTGCCTGTAGTACTACAACCTCTAAGAACGTGAGCATGGATGACCCTACCAAAGTTGCAAGAGACTTCTACTTACCTCTGCCAAAGCAGCTAGAGCACTTTTCCGCTGGTCAAAAGTTGCGGACCCCGAGTACCGCTCTCAACACGCTCTACAACCAACCATATCTTCTTCACTGTTCATCCAACTCCAGTCCGTGGGCACAATCTCATGATAGATGATGACTGACACGGAAAACGGCATGCCATACATCAAGCACGAACCTGACGAGAACACTTTGAACCCAAACCATTACATGATGACATCGCAAGGATACGGAGGGGCGCCGGAGCAATTCAACGATCATTTCAACCATCAAACCAATGATGGGGTCGATCCAGTGGAACTCCAGAATGGAAACTATGGCATGCAGTACTCTTTTGGCTCCCAGCAGAACCTGTCCAGCTTCAATTTTGGGAATTCTGGGATTGGTGACGACGAGTTGATCGACCTCGATCTGAACGGCCATCAATCCCAGTTGAGCGACTTTAATCCCATGCAGAACAACCAAGTCGGTGCTCAGTACCCGGAGCAGCGTCACCCTACCGGCATATCGCTCAGCCATCAAGGCCAGATGACCAATGTCTACTCCAGCACACCAGATGGTCCTCCTATCCAAAGTCCTTTCCTGGGCAACTTCAACTACGAGCAGTTTCGACCGATCAATGGAATGTCACCACCAATGAACAGTCAAGCCAATGCACAGTTTCAGCAAAATTATAGCAAGCGACCTAGCGTTCAAAGCATGGACCGAAGAACATCAGATCAACGAAGCCCCTTGACTCCCAGGACTCCTGCAATGGCCGCGCTACACATTGCGACTCCTGAATCTGGCAGCTTTGCTTCTCACCCCATTCGAACTGGCAGTTTACAGGATCGCCACCGCAAAACTCAATCTGGACAGTGGGATGCCACACCGAACAGCCTCCATTCCCTTGTAGATTCTCCGATCTCATCGCCCGGACATCCTTCTCACCACACTAACATATCTGAAATCATCAGATCTGGAAAACATGCATCTTTGCCTGCTAAGGTGGAGAATAATCACGGACAAGGCATGGAGTCACTCGATGCCAAGAAGAAGCGGAGACGAGCATCTCACAACGCTGTTGAACGGCGGCGCAGGGACAATATCAACGACCGTATTCACGATCTGTCACACCTTGTTCCTCAACATCGCCTCGACGATGATAAGATTCGCAAGCAGATCGTCAACAACACACCAATGTCGCCTACCACAGGAGCTACAAGCATCAGTCCTCCGAATGCTGCTACATCTCTGCTTGCGGGTGCCGCTGGCCGGCGTGCAGCCAGCACTGCGGGTAATATTACTCTTGGGTTGCCCATCGAGGAGAAAGAAAAGGGACCTAACAAGGGTGATATCTTGAATGGCTCCGTGAGCTGGACAAGAGACTTAATGTGGGCTCTGTACCATAAATACATGCAAGAAGATGAGCTGCAAGAGCGTCTACGGCAGCTGAATGTCGAATGGCCGTTCGAGAGCACGGAAGATGAGAGGCGTATGCGCTCAGAATTGATCGATGCAATGGAGAAAAATGATCCCAGCTCCTTCACGTACACCCGGACGAACGGCAGTGGCTTGCGTGTTCCAATGCATACCAACATGGCTGGCGAAGCTCTGCAGCCCACTGGAACACTCAGCCCGCAGAGCCTGAGTCCTCCATTTCACAGTGAAGGCAGCGGCACTAACAGTGGCAATGGCCTGCCTGGACAACCACAGTTCTGGAACAACGCAGGACATGCTAGGATCAGCTTCAAAGAAGAGGACGAGTACTCGATGGAAATGAATTAAGGGTTGAATTGAGAGAAGGATTGTTTGCACCATCACTGGCGCTGGGGGATGGCTTGCAAGCATGCGTTATTTTGGTAGCTTGAGGGTTCGTGCACTGGAAGTGGGACGTTGAGGATACCCTTCCTTTGAATCGGCAGGAGTCAAGGTTGTTGGAGGTTGGTTGAGGTTGCATTGCTTTGGCATGGACATCGGCTTCGGGCGTTAGTTTGTACCTTCGTCTCCGGTCCTCGAGGCCGAATTCCTTACTGATACCCCTTTCATTAGTCGTAGTATTTCGCTCTATATCACGGTCATAAGCCGGCCATCGGTCATGTTTCAAGACCATGTAATCCTCATCAAATTCATCATCTTTTCTTTTCAGAAACATTGCTCCCATAATCCCCTACTAGTCCGTGGCCCAATGACCCTTTCCTGAAGTGGGTGAGGGATGGCTCCCACATTTGACCCATCAGATGGTCTGATTCATTTTCATCTTGCCATGTACTACATTGAAAGCTTGACTGCGCTTGCTTGATCGTGATTACGTACTAGTACAACGCTTCTAGTTTGGGGTTGTGATCTGATCACAGCTGTGACCATGTCATGTTCCTGCGTTTTTCACGGCCGTACTCCGAAGCAGGGATTCTGCCGAGATCTCAGCTAGAGGATGATCAAAACATCCTGGATTCATAAGACACACGGACAGAACCACAATGATGGACTCTGGCGTTCTAGTAGACACGAGCACATTGGTTAAAATGATGTACCATGTTCTATGTGGCTTGGTACTACTTAGCTGTGGTGTGTGCGCTGCGCCTCCACAGTCAACTTGCTGGACACGCGCATTGAGTTTCCAAATTTGGCTTCATGGTCTGATCCAGGACAGAAAAGGTTAACATCTCTCTTCTAAGTATTCATGATTTTAGGCTTGATGGTGGCTATCCAGATTTCTACCTTCTCTGTATTTGGGTGCTATAAATCTATGTGCTTTTCTTCTTATGAATCTTAACCATTTACACAAAGCTACAATCTTGAACGACTATTTACTGCTCAGCTCGAGTAATTAAGTATCTGCTACCTACTCAGCTGTCACATTTAGTTTTCATGGTGAATACTGTTAAACGCAGCATGCAACCAGACAAAGATCAAATGAAGGCAATGGTTGAAGAACTGGAAGTCTCCAACAAGCTTTCCAGCGAACAATCTCCGGAGCTCCTAAGTACGAGGACATCGTCCATCTGGAAGGGCGCTGATGCCCACCGTGGCGAACCACTCCTCGCTTCAAGCTCGGACGACATGACACGTTTCACAGCTACCGGGCGTCCTTTTAAGCCAGAAAACCACTATCAATCCACCTGGGCAGGTCTAGCAGACGCGCCCCAAGCTGTTCCTGGCAAGACTTTGCCCTGGAAATTCACGGATGAAAGTTTGATTTCTGTTCCCTGTCTTAGACCAAAGTCTCAAGAGGAAAGATTTGCGCCAGGCGAAGCCAACAAGAAGAACAATAAGCGGTGGTGGGATAGGAGGTCCTCGAAGTCCAACGGCAGCATGAACAATCCAGACAAGTTTGTGATGAGGAAAATACAACGAGGTGAATATCTTAAGCATTACGCCAAGGACGAACAGGGAGCCTATATTGGGACCGAAGAACCGGCAGAGGATTGTATCCTCGGAGGAGATGACTTGGAAACCTACCGAAGCGGTAGAGATAAGATGTTTCGGAATGAGATTGTTGGGAATGGGTTGAAGCGGCCAGCACTAGTAGATGGGGAGCCGGACAAAAGTGATGATGACGTTGTCCTGTAAGGACACAAGACCACACTATGAAGTGCTTGATGAGTGGTGAGCAATGCATTGAGTAGATGGATGCCTGCCTCCTTTGCAAAGTCGTCATTGATAGTGGGTTCAGCTTTTTTTTCCGCATGATGAATACTGTTGCCAGGGTCTTACTCTTCTGGTATATCTTTTTCGCGTCAGCTTGAGCGGCGGTAACTCACATTCAGTGTTGTATCATCTGCGCCCCCTGTGCGGTTGTCCTTAAGGCTGCTTACAATCTATTAGTGATGTGACCTGGCGAAGATTGCAGTGAGTGGGAACTCAGGGCATTTCCAAACTAATCCACATCGGGTATCAAGTTGCGCCCCGAGGAAGGTTGGGCGCAAGGCTGCGTAAATACGCTTCCTTCGTCTAATGTTAAGTCAGCCTCGTTCGAAAGGCATTTCCATCACAACCCAATAGAAGTCCATCTACAAGACGGAGACTGCAAGATGGAGTCACAAATCTTGTGGATATGCCAACCACTTCCTAGTTTCCACTAAGTTAGTGTCCTCACAGAACTCAAAGGACAACGGAGATCGACACTTTACACCTACCCAGTATCCTGGTCACTTTGGACACGAGCCGACGTATATCCCCTCTTCGTACCATATCAACCAGCAGCAGGGCTCTGCACTCCAGGCTTCTCTAAATAGCTGTTCCATGCCTTATTTCTGGCGAGGCATACTAACGCTTTAAAACAAGATGGCTAATCTTATATATTTCTCCTGGGGCTTTGCATTATCTCCACCAAGCAATTCCTACCCTACATAACCCCAACCCTTCCTACAGCATTTTAAGACCTTTTCAGACTACAGTCGTTCTACTTCTAGACTCTTCTATTGCCGTCTTTGTCATACTCTTTCGAAGCACAAACCAACAGCTATTCTCTTGTACCCTAAAATGAGTCGGGTCCCTCCAGTGTATACAGCACGAATAGAGAACTACTATCCCTACACTCCCATCAAGGGCATATCCATCGCTTTTGCTGTCCTCTTCTTTATTTCTGGCGTTCTTCACATCTACCAAAACAACATCAAATATCGCTCGTGGAAAATCGGCTTTCTCCTACCTTGGTCCGCCGCACTTTTCGTCGCTGGCTTCGTGTTACGCGAGTACAATGTTCGAGGTCACCTGGATAACCTGAATGTCTTCATTGCGTCTGCGGTCCTTTTGTTCGCCGGTCCTCCTGTCTACAGCGGCGCTGACTATTTTATTCTCGGCCGAGCTCTCTATTACATCCCTTATCTCAGCCCACTGCATCCTGGTCGTGTGTGGTCGACATTCATTGGTCTCGACGTGGTCATTGAGACCCTTGCAGCGAATGGAGCAGCACTCTTCGTGAATCACGGCGCTACCCCAGAACGACGACAAATTGGATTTGATCTTGTAAAGGCCTCCTTAGTGATGCAAGTGATCCTCTTTTTTGGCTTCGCAAGCATCGTTGCCTTGTTTCACATTCGCGCACGAAGAGCTGGCGTCTTCAATCACAAATTGAAAGTCATCATCTACACCATGTACGCATCTTCCACTCTGATATTGATGCGCAACCTCTTCCGGACTGTTGCCATCTTCATACCACATGATTCCTATACGAACACGACCGAATGGCTGATATGGGTGTGGGAGATGGTTCCCATGATATTCAATACCTTCCTGCTCAATATCTGGCCACCTGCGAAGTATCTGCCTCGGGATAACAAGGTCTACCTGGCAAGAGATGGCATGACAGAGCTCCAGGGACCAGGTTGGGAGGACAGACGACCTTTCTTGTTGACGGTTATTGATCCTTTCGATGTTAGAGGACTGGTCAATGGTGAGGATAGCAAGAACCGTTTCTGGGAGAAAGATGGAATTGAGCCAGCTGAGGTAAAGAAGCACAATGGGCCCCAAACGAGTGAGAAAGCGGTCTGACTCAATACTCTGCACGGGTCACATCGGATCAAGGGTGCTTGATTGGTGTCGGCTGATTTATGTGTAATATGTTTTTTGAAGCACGTCGAATTCACGATAGCTGTACAAGTCTCAACCGCTCGTTCTGCTCCCCTACGGAACCCACAATTTCACAGCACATTGACCCGCCGCCTCCTCCGATCTTCTGAGATTCAGGGCTGTCTATTTCTTATTTATATTTCACCGTCCCACAAGACCATGACTTCACGCCAACTAACCGTGGGTGTTCTGATAGTTATGTCCTCTCTTCCTGACCTCCCTCTCTCCTCTTACATTTTTTTCTTCTCACTACTATCCAAACATCCAGAAACGACAAGCTCTTTCGAGAAAGATCATCCTATCATCCATGAAGCCGCCGTCAAGAAGCGGGGGGTTCTTGAGATCAATATAAAAGGACCTCGAACCCCTCAACGCAAAAGACTTCCCCCACATCTATACAGCCACAAGCAAGACAAGATCAAGGAAAAGGACATTCTCAGGCTTACCTGAAATGTTTGCGGAATGGTAAGTCACCAGCTTCCAGCCCGTGTCACGGGCACACCAACAGGTGCCAAGTGGAAGCGAGCCACTCAATAAGTGAGTAGGTGGTAGTTCGGTAACATAGCATTTCAGAATTGCAAAGCCAATGGTTTACTCCGTCGCCTAGGTTTTGGCTGCAGAGCACATGCGAGTCGACATGCCACAAGGAAGTCAATATTCCTGGTTCTTAGAGCGGTAAGGAAATGCAAAGGTACTCAACCTTAAGCAAGCCGCGTCAGCTGCTGTTCATGCAAGCGTGTGCGGAGCCATTGGTGAGATATCCACGACCGGCGACGTCATGTGCCTTTCACTTGTCCCCGCACCCTCAGAGCCTCCTGGCCAACACCAGCGGGGTGGTTGCGGGTCTACTGGGACGACGATCCGCGAGACACTCATTGCTCGCGCCTCGGGATGAGGCAGCTTCTCGTACGTCAGCTCGTATAGGATCATAATGCCACAAGGCGCGTCGACGTCAAAAAAGCCTGCTGGGTCCCGATGCGGTGCCTGTACGCTTTCCACCCCTCCTTACTCATACCTAGGTGGCTGACGATATCACGCACCGCCCCTATATCTACGAAGCTGTCATCTCCGGGGGGGTTCGGGTCAACGTGTGCTTCGCGGCCTCTTACCAGAATGGGCATCAGGCCGAATGACTGGCTTGGAATGCACACGGCGGACGCTTAGATCTAGTTTGGTCGGCTTGTTGACTGTGCACTTGACGTGCAATGGACGCCTCGAAATTGCGGGCGAGTTATGACCCGGCCGCGGTGCCAGCCATTTGGATCGAATGCTATCAAATCACAAATCAATCAAATCAGTCAAATAGGAGTCTTGGCAGACAAGTCTTCTACTATTCTGAAATACTCATGGGTTATTTTTGAAAATCTACACATTGATATTAGTGGCTTATATAATGTGGGACGTTAGACCAATTTGTCAAATAAGTCAAATATACCAAATGGGGAAGTGACTAAACTATACGGAGTACAGGTTCGGTGTTCGGGCGCACGTGGTGGTAGCGCTGCCAACTGAAAGTAGGGGCTGATGGTTATTTGCTGTGGCGCCTGAACGTGGCGTGCTCTGTGCTCTGTGCTCTGTGCTCTGTGCTCTGTGCTCTAAGGTCGCCATTTACTACGTACAAGAGCTTGTGTCAGGACACATAAGGTTAGACTCCTGGTGATCATGTTGTTGATCCGATGTCGGGCCGCTTCTCGTAATTGCAGAGGTTGGCGATTATAGCAAGTCGATCTGACACAAAGCAGCACTTGTTATTTCCCAAATGGACAAAGCCACTGCCACATTGCAGACTAGAAACCTCTCGTAACGCTGCGTTATACCCGCTAGGATCTCGTTTCGAAAGCGTAAGCGAATAGGCTTCTCGCGAAAGTGAGACAGTTGTTGAAAGCGTCGAGGTCCAATGAGATCTTGTTCAGGTCTCTGATTAGGCTGAACAGCACGCAACTGTTAGGATCATCCGGGTCGCCATTTACCATTACGGGTCCGACGTCGGCATGGCCCGCTGCGTACGTCCACCCTTCTCTCCTTAGGGAACAACAGCTCCATGTGGCTTCTTGCCGCGACCGAGTCTTGGAAAATCGATGCAGTATAGTCCAATCGGCTCTCAGCACCAGCTCAAAGAATTCAAGCAGATCTTCGGTCATCTGCTAAGACCGATCTCGCGATGGGTTTGTGGCAGTTGTTCTGAGGAGGCACCACGCGAACCCCAGCTGTCAAGAAGAATGAGTGCGTCGACTTGGTCTTGGGACATGATCGTAGAGGAAAGTAGACCAATGACGCAACGAGGCTGTGTATAGACGAGATCCATAGGTTGGACTGCGATGGCTTTTGTGCGGCATATTGAAAGCTCGACATCTGGAGGGGCTTGCTCTTGTATACCCTGGTCAATGCACTCCTGATCAATCCAAATCAATCCGGAGCCGTGACGACAGCATAAGATATTGATCTGTCCGTGACCTCCGTTGGGGCAGCGTTGTCCCGCTTTGAACCATCCAAGTTGCCTGTCGTATAAGGATCCCGATCAGAAATCATCGTGCCGTTTTCTTGATTTTCCGCGCTCGCTGGGCATCGATATGAAACCGTTACGAAGTAATCGCATGTACTGAAGGTCTTTGACAATGCCTCAGGATTTTGGGGCTGAATAGGACGAAGCTAGGTGCTTTTCTTGTCGCGGGAGAATAAAGGGTACGGCCGGCGGGCGGTGCATCAATATTGAATATTATGGCTACATCAAGCAGACACGCCCCCATCTCTGCGGAAGACGCAAGCAGAATATCTTAGTCATCCAGCCTTGTTTGAGTCCTCCTCTTCTGGTCTGAGTCTCGAGTCACCAGTGCATTCCTCCCACTCTAGAGGCTCACCAGATGCAAGGAACGTAAGATTGTCAACATATTCCCATGCTGCATGTCGCTTTGTAGTATGTTTTGTGACTTCAACGATCTATTCTTTGAACTTGATTTTATAGCCTTCACTGAGAATGAGCTCTTTGGTGTCGTATACGAGGTCATCAGATGCATTGAATTGAATAACGCCCATAGTTACCCGAGAGCACTTCGCAAACCTTCGGCGTCCGTTGGCGAGAACATATCGGGAAGTGAACTGTCACAGCTAAGCAGGGGCACCAGAGCAACGGCCCAGCAAGGCTGTAACCCGACCTCTTGGATTTGTGATAATTCGCTTTTGAGATGCCGCCTTCTTCACAGCGATCTGGGGTAGAACAATGTCTAGAGACAGAAAGCTAAAAGCCGAAATATTTTGTGACGCTGATCAGAGAAGAAAGTCGTGCGTGAAAAAGGCAAGGTCACGGCCTCAGAGGGAAGGTTCAGGGTGAAATCCCTACCAGGGTCCTTGAACAACTTGCATCCTTGACGGATGACTTGCCACGGAGCAGGTGAGAGTTCATCATGGATATCTCGATGAGGTATCCTGAGATGTCTGCATGCTTGTATGCTTGCTGTGTCTGCCCTCGCCGCCACCTACGTCCGCCTTGTCTGCTTGGCGATCGGCTTCAATTGAGGCAAGAAGAAGAAGAAAATGAACACCCCAAACACACTCTTCACCTTGGGTTACATGAGATAGGCAGGCCCCCGAAGTGCATTGAACCCAAAGCGCCAGACATTCAGAGCGCCTAACGTGGGAGGCATATCTCGGGTGGAAGCTCATAGTAGGATCTCTCTGTTGGCGTAGCGGATTATTGCTCGACATTGATATCAAAACCAATGGTTATGACGTAGATAACAGTATCGAGGATCATGGATAAAGCCACCGCACGATTGGTGACTGCCTCAATGGGAGCATGTAAAGATGAAGATCGCAAAAAGGGAGAGTGCCACAAGATCCTAGCTCGAGACCCTTGGCAGGCCTAGGAGCTGGAAATTATACAGAGTGGGACCAGGGAGAGTGAGAGCCCCACTCCTGCTTTCTGTTTCAGTAGGATCCACTCAGCGGAGCTGAAGTGACAGAAAGGGAAGGTCGGGCAACGGAGCAGAAGGTGGCGGGAAGCATTGAGGAACTTAGGAGCAAGAGGCCCACAAAATAATGCCAGCAGAGCCATCAAAGTGCGCTTAGATGAAGTCTAGCTGTGAGATTGTTTAAAACGCATCAGGGTCTGTAGTTTAGTCGTCCGTGATCAGGTATATCTCATTACTTCTACCTCTCATATTCTACTAGAATGATTCTTTTGACTTAGCCCACATCTCTATTTACTACGGTAGGAGGCGTGGGTATTGTTAACGCAGGATTGACGAAGGGTATATCTTACTAAGAGAGTATTAGTCGATTTGACTCCGAGACCAGTGCCAATCATTATCATCACTGAGGCGCTCTGGGTGCGCTGGGCCCTTGTATCTAAAACTGGCTAGTACTAATCACACACTTACAGTACTTATGCCACCTACAGTAGTACCTCTTCCCCGCAGGAGCTGCCCGGAAACAAGGCCCATTCCCAATCAATACCGCCAATCAGTATGTAGAATGTGGTTAACATACCCAACTGTCATATGCACTACAACCCCATATGCACGGATTTCAGGGCCGATGTCTCCGTTTATACCAAATCTTCAAGGCACCAATTTCAGCTCACCGCCATTTAATGAATAGTCATCTGTGGGCAGTGAGCTTTTGACGTATCGTTTCTAGAACATTTCTTTTCAATTCTATCTTCAAAATAGGACCAGCAACGTTCGAATAATAGAAATATGCTCTGAGACCCAAAAAGCCATGTAATTTTGGTGCATTTGAGGGTGTAGTGCATATGACGGTTGAGTACGTTAGTAAGTGGTGCTCGGCTATTTCAACGAACGATATGCTACGAAATTGTACTATTATAGCCTTCTTAGGATAGCGACATTGGAACTCACATTCCGGCGGCTCAGTGTAATACTAAAGCGAGCTTTATGAAACCACTGCTAAAATCCGTCTGACTAATGAAGGATGATTGTAGTACACCTTTCAAAATGCTAGGTTTCTTCTTCCACCAACATGGATCCTTCCCATCGAATCACGACTTGGCAGAGGAGAGGAAATCGGCTCAGTTCCCTGTTATTACTGACTAATATTGCACTCGTGCTCTCATGGCCGCATAATCGCGCTGCGTGATCGGTTCGTACTTTGCGGGGTTATCCTCATCAACACAGGCGGGCAGACATTCGATCAGAAGATCTGGGTCTGTGGTCAGGAAATAGACGATGGAATACCGGGCGCGAGTGAGGCGTTCATCCCCGGAGAACCGGTCTTGGAGTGGTGGGAGGGTGACTCGGTGAGAGGTTGATTTCAGATAGTCTAGTCCGAGGCATTAGCTGTCATGAACGAGTTCAAAGATTTTCTATTTGAGCCTTGCGGGTTGTGTGTAGGATTCTAGAGTTTTGACAACTTACCATTACTCCACCTCATGAGAAGGTCTCCTACATTCATCACGAGGGCTCCCTTCATTGGCTCAGCGGGAATGAATTTCCCGAGCACGTTAGGATCCTCAATCTCTAGTCCCCCACAATCATCCTGGAACAGCATCGTCATACTGCTCCAGTCCGTATGAGCTGGCATCCTTGCCATGGAGCCCTCTTCGATTGCCCGAGCGGGTATGGGTGGATAATGGAGCAAACGTAGCTGGTTGTAGTGGCCGCTATGGAGACGAAGTAGGCTTTCTTCTTCCTCAAGATCAAGCCCCAGGGATAGAGCCCGTAATATATCAGAAGCTGCGTTGAAACAGGTCCAGTAGAATTGTGTCATGAATGGCCGAAAATCATCGAGACTGGATTGGGGTAGCCAGATATTGGGCTGGTCTGGGTTCTCGTCTGAACCGATCTCATAACTTTCCTTCCAGATGAGTCAGTGACATTGGCATGGCACCACTGAGATGCGTGCGGTGCTTATGTTCATTACCTTGCAGTCGGTAACTGATCGAAGCTTGTTGACCAGTGCTTCATCGTCTTCTTTGGCCAAAACTGCAGATACCCTCTGCAGTCCCGGCGAGGAGTACCCACGATGATGAGCCCATCCTGGTGGATGTGGAGCTTTCATTTTCTCCTCCTGGGGCAGGTCGTAGAACCGTTTCGAGATTGCAAAAGCATGATCAACGGCATCTTGAGGCACACCATGATTGATGATATATGCAAAACCAACTTCTCTGCAAGCCTTGACAAGCTCTTTCGATACTGCCTGGCGTTGGTCTTTGCCGGCGTGGTTGGTCCAAGCGGAAAAGTCAATGACTGGAATGGCCATTTTGACGTTTGGTCGGTGTATGAGTGCTCGGCTGGGACTCCGGTTGTAGGTGCGTTATAAGGTGTCTTAGCCTGTCCAATCATGTTTGGGTGGTCTGCAGGGCGTTGTGGGACGTGCATACATATTGTCAGGGATAGTGAATGAGTACCATGAGTCAGGGGATATATCAATCAAGTGTGGTTCGAAACCCATTAGCGCTGTCCTTTGGCGGATTGTTTCACGTCTCCTTTCTCTCTATGTATGACCATAGCCCCCGAACTTTTGTAGGTCCCGCCCTGGCGATTGCGTCCGCAGATCCCATGAACTCGGTTCCGTTCCCCACACTCGAGATGAAAGTTGCTTCACCACAAAGAGATTTTGAAGTCTGTCGCCATGTTGCTTCCAACTACTTTCAAGGCATGGTCTTAGATTCAAGACTTTACAATTTCTATAAGAATTTCAGAAGAAGTTCATGCTGATGTTCTTCCTGGAAACTATTTCTGAATTCATACTACGGTAGAAGCACAAGTATTGTTAGCTTCGAGCTAGACCTTTTGTACCTAACAGAATCTTGACGAAAGCGCACCTTAGTACTCGAAGAGCATTAACGTGGGATGTCAGCTTTTGCAACAGGTCACCATTTGCAACACAAACTCTTGGCATTTTGAGCCCACGAGCAATTCAACATTGCTGTCGCCATTTTTAAGATAGAATCGATTGAAATAGCTCAAATAGGCATTATGTAAACAATTTAGGATTGACTCTGGCCATCCGAGCCATTTCTACATTGATTTCGCGCATATCCTTGGCTATGGCGCGTTGGACTGCCTTTTCTGCCTTTTCTGCCTCTTGCTGGGCCTTTTTGAGCATTTGTTCCTTCTTCTTTTGGTCCATAGCAACTCTGTGTGCTATATCAGCAGCCTCCTTGGCCTCTATCTCTGCCCGTTTGGCATCTGCGGCCTCTTTGTCAAGCAACCGCGCCTTACCAAGCGTTTGCTTGCCCTTTTTGACCTGTTGACGAGTACGGGCCGTGGCCACCAATTGAGCATTCGTTTTGCTCAAAATTGCATTATTGGCGTTGAGATACTCAATCGTTCTGATAGTGCGCTCTGCAGGGCTCCCTATCATACTATCTTTGATAGCTTGAGTGGCCTTAGCGATATAATCGTCACTAGCGCCAACGAGTAACCCGAGAGGGGATCCATTGACGACAAGCTGCATTTGAGTAGTGGGAGGAGGAGTAACTGCCCTGTTCGATAGTTTCGAAATTACTACTTGTGGGTCATAGGGCAAAAGCCCTGTGGTCCTCCATGCAGAGAGAATATTACGCTCTCGTAGTGCCTTTTGGCGTGCAATTTGATAATAGACGATAAAATCGTCCTTTTCGAGCCAATAATGCTTCTCTCGAGAGTGATTTTCGATCTCCACACTATAGTACTTCGAAAGAGGCTGAAATATAGCCACATCAAGTGGTTGTAGCACGTGAGTAGTGTGCGGAGGCAGCACAAGGAGGATAATCTTCTTCTCAACGCAGAATTCGATGAATTCGAGCGTACAGTGCGATTCGTGACCATCAAGAATAAGTAGTCGATATTCGCCTTGTTAACGTTTAGCAGTTTCGACTTCGAAGTGCTGTTTCAGCCATAGCAATCCCAATTGATTATCCGTCCATCCTTTTGAACTTGTAGCTATCTTCGTAGAGCTATTATCGAGCTTCTCGAACCAACTCCTTTGTTGATAGGCTGCTTTGAAGATGATATAGCTGGGTAATGACTGGCCAGAGGCCGAAATAGTCTCTATAATAGATACCCATTCTCTATTACCATCTTGACGTAGAAATGCCTCTTTTTCAGTGACTAGAATAAATACATAAGACCTTTGAATAGCGCCTATACAAAAGCCTTTTTCATCCATATTGTATATATCTTCAGCCTCAATTTTGTACTTCTGACGTAAGGAGTTATAGAGTTCGAAATACTCGTTAAGAGTCTCTATTTTGAGAGTCGCAGAAGCGCGCATTCGATCGAGGCCACGTGCTACAACACGCTTAATTTGAGGATTTCGATTCAACAGCCTTCTGTGCCAGGACTGCCCTAGAGGGTGGTCACTACCCTGTGGCTGTGGGTATTTTCGGAGGAGAATAGCAGTAGCAAATTGACGAATTTGCTTCAAACCAAGTGGCAGTCCCCATTGGTAGTATTGTATGACCCATTTCACAATGGTTTGTTCCTCTATAGGCGTTAGGAGCTGTTGTTTTGCTCCTGAGAGCCTTTTTGATTTTGTAACTCCTTGAAGTCGTCGAGTAATAGTAGAGGGGGCACAGTTGTAGATTTTCGCAGCTTTTCGTGCGGTCATTTTGGTATCTCGTTGGCATGCGCATACGGCTTTTTCGATTCGCTCTTGCTTGCTCAAATTAGCGAACGCGTCAGCCATATCAAAATAGGATATAGAACTAAGCTTTATAAGCAGTACATCAAAAGCTCACTGCTCTGCGATAGATATTGGTAGATGGCAACGTGCTGAAATTGGTGGTTGAAAATTGTGGTAGGAACGGAGATATCGGCCATAAAGTGTTGCAAATGATGACCTGTTGCAAAAGCTGACACCCTACGTTAGTTCCCTCAGCTCTGCGCCCGGAGCCAATCAAAGTGGCCCCTGAGGAGTCCAAGAATTCAAGGTAGATGTCGGGCCTTTGTATCGAAACTAGCTGCTAGTAACTCATGCTAACAATACTTATCCCTCTTATCCCTCCTATCGTAGTACATTGTGGAAATAATGTGCCGTACTACGACCAAACCTTGTCAGGTCAAATGACGCGTATCTCGTTTGGCTCACCGTGCTAATGGGTAGGAGATTCGTAAGGATTCCAAGGCTGGGGACGGATCCTCGCTTCCCACATCAACGTTGGCTAGCGTAGTCGGGGACATTGCTTATCTGATAAGTAACCACTGAGCATGCATGTTAAACGATAGGTGCTTCCCAAGAAGTGGGCCGCTGGATCGTGTAGCCCCTCCGACCCTTGAACGAGGCCGGGGGGGAGCAAACCCGGCGACATGCCACTTGATCCACATGGGCTTCCTATTCGACGATCCAGAGTGCATTATGCTAGCTACAGAACCTGGAATTAGGCAGACTATTTGTGTCCTTGTCGACATTCAATATCCATCAATGCAGTCAAGCTTATCTGTACTGATGAGCCACGACTACTGCGTACTCGGGCATGCTGTGAGGCCAAAGCTGGACCAGTATATCAACAAGCCTGTCGAACGAGCGTGCGTATGAGCGGGCGTATTCCCTTCGTGCACGAAGGTCAATTGCTCGATTCCTGAGTGTTCAAATCTTTCTGCTTGCACGATGCCCCCGAACTCAGAGCCTACTGCCGACGACTTCTTCAATGACCTCTCTCGCCGCATGAACGAGAACGGCTCTGGAGCGCGATCTAAGAGCCCAAAGAATACCGATATATGTGCCAGGACAAACGACGATCCTGACGGATTTGTGCCTCGAACTAAGCGGATAGCATGTATTGTTTGCAGGAAGCGGAAACTGAGTAACGACTGCTTGTTCAAGGAGTATTGTACTGTTTCTAACCTTTGTCTGTGCAGAATGCGACGGCACGAAACCCAAATGCGGTACCTGTGCAAGATTAGGGCACAATTGCGCATATGACGAAGCCAGAAAGAAGAGTGGTCCAAAAAGAGGATACGTAAAGCACTTAGAAGCGAGGCTAGGTATTCGGACATGTTGCACCTCTTTTCACGGAACGAACGACACTGATGTAGCATTGTTTTATAGCACAAGTGGAAACTCTCCTCAAAACCCATGATCCTTCCGATCCCGCGGACTCGTCGAACCCTACACAGAGCATGCCACCTGCGACTTTCTCAGATGTTCCAGGCTTGACAATACCTGGCGAGCCGACGGACGGTATCCCACAGCCAGGCACCAACAGTGGTGTGAGCGATTCGCAAATCGATAGCATGATGAACAGTCTAGGGCTGGCGTCTGAGCCCTTCTCCTGGGAACTAATCAGTCTCGGTCTGGAGGAGCCACTCCCCTCTCAAGAGATTATTGATGAAATGTACACCCTCTTTACACTGTTTGCTAAGTTTGAGACCTGACCATCTTAGGCATCAAATATACTTCGAGAAAATTCAGCCGTCTGCACCGATAGTCCATCAACCACGCTATCTTGCTGCCATGAACCTGGCACCAAATATGCGACCTCCGGTTTGCCTACGCTACGCTATGTGGCTGCACGTGTGCTCGATTACCCCAAGATACTCTGCCTTATCAGATCACTTCTATGCTCGCGCACGAAAATATGCAGAGCAGGACGAGATGAGGGGTTTCGGGGAGAGCATTATGACGGTCGCCCACACCCAGTGTTGGTGCCTGCTTGCATTATATGAGTTCAAAATGATGTACTTCCCTAGAGCCTGGATGAGCGTTGGACGTTCATCAAGGCTGTCGCAAATGCTGGGCCTCCACCGGCAAGATGGAGCTGCACTTGATGTCAAGCAGACACTGGCTCCAGCTCGAGATTGGACGGAAAGAGAAGAGCGGAGACGGACCTTCTGGTTGGCATTCTGCCATGACCGTTATGCCAGTATTGGTACTGGATGGCCAATGACTATCGACGAGAGAGACGTAGGTGTCAATCATACTAGTAGTTCTTCATGCGAACACAAATACTAATCATCATCAGATCTCGACAAATCTCCCTGCAAGCGATGAAGCTTTCCTGAACAGCAAACCTGAGGAAACTCTACCGCTCGCTGGTGCCATGACTCCCGATGGCGCCTCCACACTGTCGCCTTTTGGAGCGGTCGTGCTGATGGCCTGCCTCATTGGTCGTAATCTTACCCATCTGCACAGGCCGGATGATGAAGACAATGACCACGATCTGAATGGGGAATTTTGGAAACGTCATAGATCCCTTGATAACATCCTGCTCAATACCTTGCTTTCTTTGCCACCCCAGCTGCGGTTGCCTGCTGGTATTCACGATTCTAACATCGTGTTTCTCAACATGAACCTCCACGCTTCCACCATCTGTTTGCATCAAGCTGCTATTTTCAAAGCAGAACACAATCAAATGTCCCCACAGATCACCTCCGAAAGCAAACGACGCTGCATCATTGCGGCCGACCAAATCGCAAACAACATGAAGCTTGTCTGCCATATTGATCTTTCCACTGTATGTGAACAGCATTCGAGCCATCAAAATCTGCTGACATGACCAGTTAAATCCTTTCGTTGCGTTTTGCCTTTATATCGCTGCCCGTGTCTTTGTTCAATATTTGAAAACTCATAAAGACGATGCTACCGTCATGTCCTCTCTGCAATTTCTGCTGGTTGCAATGCACGCTTTGAAGGCAAAAAATCCGCTGACTGAATCGTTCATTGTGCAACTCGACGTCGAACTTGAAGGCAGTGGCATGCAGATACCAGCCGGTAAGAGCGGACCTCCCCCCAGCATATTGCGAGCCTGCGGTGGTGGCAAGCCCCATCATACACCTGCCAGCACCAATGATCAGAGTTGTAGCCCTTTAGCGGATATTCGCACGGCTACAGTGGAACAATCCACGGACGATGTGAGACGACCTGTCAATTCGAAGGTACGAATCAGCAGTCTAACAGAATATCCAAGAATGAATTACAATGGGAGGGTGCCTTCTAAATATGGAGAGACATCTGGCGGCATGGACATTGATATTTCTATCGAGAATATAAGCAATCAAAGACTTCCATCAATGACAACCTCAGCGCAACCAACAGCATCTGCATCTCCAAACAACGCTTCGTCGCAAAATTCCTTCAGTCCTCCAAATGTGGAGGAGCATTCGAATCTTACAAATACTTCATCCTTAGGAGGGATGTCCCCAGGTACTGCATCTGCAGCAGCTATCTTTAGCGACCATCAAGCATTTCCATCTTTCGACCCTGGTATCACGAACATGTCGAAAGTTCCGGGTTCTGAAGGAGCACAGCACCCCTTCGCAATGCCCGCTTCTTGGAATCACGAAAACGCCAGGGTAAGCCCGAGAAACTCGGCAGGAGATTATGACTTTGATAGCATGACATCTACGAACGTTCCAAATTGGCAGCCGATGGGCGTGGTCGAGGGTGAATGGCTATTCTCGACTTGGAATGGCGCTGATACTTCGACCTGAGGTTCCAGTCTCAAGAAGACTGTGTTTTGCTGTGTCTCGGGAGGGTTCTTTTGATGGCTATGAAGCACTCTGTACCAATATCAAGCTTGGCGCTGGAAGACTTCTTTTGGTTGTGGCTTCTTCCGGAGAAATCTATGGGTGGCTCGCAGGTGACAGTACTGTAGCTTGTAATAAATTCACCTCATTTCTATGTGGAAGTACACACTCGATTACATTTCTCCGAACTTGCCTTACCAACATTCCAACCCGACTTTGAGCGGATCTACCTGATAGCGGTGATCTAATATAATATGCGGTCATCGTAGCTCCTACCAATCAAGCCTGATCTTGCCTCGACAGTACCTGATTCACTTGATGTTACGACTTGTCAAAAGACGTCCAAAGGAAATCTCAACTTGGTCCAGGAAATGGCTCCGCCGGTGCAGCGACGGCAAATTTCCAAGGATCGGTTCGGTATAGTGTTTGGATCACACAAGTCACAGAGCTACATCGATCCTCTAGTCAGAGGAGCTGCTTCACACTTGTCTGTCTTTGCAACAACTTCGCAAAGCAGTGCCCCAAGCTGACTTTCGTACTAGTCATCGAACAATATCATGGAATGCCACTGGTACGTTGATAGCGACCGGATCCACCGACAGGACCATCCGCGTCTGGAATCCGGAAATAACGACTCCCAAGAGCCAGATTGAGCTCAGAGGTCATACGCATGCCGTCGAAAAACTCCTGTTCAATCCGACACGAGATTTCGAGCTTGCCAGTTGCGCCAGCGATGGCACTGTTCGATTCTGGGACACGCGAAGCAAGGCGTGCACTACGAAGCTCGACGTTGGGGGAGAAGTCTTTACCCTATCATGGAGTGTTGATGGCACAGTGCTCGTTGCAGGGACAAAGGTAATTTTACTATCAATGTAGCTCGAATCTTATCCTCTGACAAAACTCAACTACCAGAACGATGTCTTGTTCCCCATCTCCACCACCTCTACGCCTGCGATCCTTGGCCGCCACCCCCAGACGACACAGACGAACCAGACCTGCTTCTCAAATGCCTATCCGCCAGGCGATCTTCTTCTGACCCATAGCGACGGAAGCGTGAGCATTCGAAGCTATCCTTCTTTTTCGACCATACACACTCTGATGGCCCATACCTCATCCTGCACCTCGATCGCATACTCTCCGAATGGCAAATACCTTGCGGTTGGTGGTTCGGATGCATTAATCTCGCTCTGGGACACTGCAGACTGGGTCTGCCGCCGAACGCTCTCGAACCCAACGTTCGGCGGCGTCAAGGGTCTGAGCTGGAGTTGGGATGGACGGTTCATTGTGGGAGCAAGTGAGGATGTCAGCTCTGGCGACGGCGCCGGCATGGGCAGCGGCGGCCTCGAAATCTATCATGCAGAATCTGGTGATGTGGTCTATACGGTTCCCACTGGCACTTCAGGTATACCAGCGGTCGAATGGCACCCCAGCCGATACTGGTTGGCGCATACTCAGATTGAAGCTTCAACAGGAAAGAGTATGCTAAAGGTGGTGGGCGCAGCAGGTGTCGGCCTCAGCATATGACATTTCTAAGATTACGATCATCATCATCATCATCATCAGGAACACTTGACGATTATCCGATCAATTGGAAGCTTTATTGCGAACCACAGTCAGTTCAGAAAAACGCTACAAACAGGCAGCTGCCCTGGAACAACGCAAGAGGCGGACGAGTATGTGGCAGCGAACCGCGTCTTCAATCGAGCTACGAAATGCCGGAACAGATAACGAATTGAAATCGCTGTACTTAGCGTGCCGCCTCACGACTTGGCACTTTATGAATCTACATGACCGCAACGTGGTGAGGTTCTTCCAACAGGCCGTTCAGGAGAACATAGGGGTTGTCTATTCCTCGATTGTAACGATATGGAATTCTGCTTTTACTGCACTTCCTGCTGATCAGAAGCCTGCACTCTAACTTACACTGGTATGGCTACCACTGGGACAGCTGAAAAGTTGAGGACATCGTGGTTGGCGGGTTTGAGGTCCCTGAAGCAGAGCGACGGGTGCCAACTTAGGCATGGCCAGCTAAATGGGTTCGAGGGATCTGACGACACAATAGAAGATGACGAGTACTGCGCTGAGACAAAAGGGAAGGCTGAGAGAGAGACACTCTATCTACATTATACGTACACAGGAAGATGTCGCGGTACTTTTTACTTGGCCTGCCACTTTCCCCCACAGCCATAGAGAGCTGAAATGTAGTACATTGAGCAATATGAAAGTTGCCTACCGTGCTTCATCGATTACAGTATGAAACCCGGTGTGTGGATTGTGCTCCACATTTGCGGGATCCCAAAGCTCCACAGTCTGACTGCTCGAGTAGTACCTAAGTTACATAGTAGTATGTAGTATCCCATGCGCCGGCAATTAAAAGTGCCTTTTTAGCGTGCCAAGCATTTTGAGTCTTGGCATGTCTCTTTTCGACTTTTTGATGAATCTCACCATTGAGATCGATTTCTAACATGGATTTACGCAGATCGAAACGCATACCAAAGCCCAAAACTATCTGGGAGGCAAAAGGAGCTCCTAGTGCAGCTAGCGATCCAAAAGTTACGAAGAATACTGCTCGAAGAGAGCAACGAACAGCGCTCAAACCCATCGCCGCGGGGCCGCTTCCAAAAGCGCTCGAAATAGACGAAAATCAACTTCCTGAGCTCCCTAATTATGAACCACCCCTTATTCTACAATTTCAACGGTCTAAATCGCTAGCTACAGGTCTCTCACAGCTTGATACGTTTCAACGACTTCTTACGCTAGCTATTATTGATAGAATCGTTGAATCAACGAATAGCTACGCAGAAAAGGCTCGAAATCCGGATTTCGACGAAGAAGAAGATGCTGAATGTCTTTCTAGACTCTGGAAACCAGTCAATTCAACCGACATCTGGCGATACATCGGTTGTTTGCTTTATATAAGATATCATAGGCTATCCAAACATAAAGAACATTGGAGCGAGTCAGGTTATCTAGGCGCATTCTTGGGTCTAAAAAGATATAAGCAAATTCATCAATATTTTACGCTTCGAGAGTGTACGACTGCTCCTCGTAAGGATCACGAGACCTTTGCGTGGCAAGTAGAGCCAATTAGTGCTATTATCAAGCAAAATTGCAAGGATAATTAGCAACCAAGCTCTCATCTAGCTGTGGATGAGGCAATGCTTGCTTATAGAGGTCGCAGCTCTCATAAAGTCAAGCTGCTGAATAAGCCAATTAAGGAGGGCTACAAGGTTTGGGTACTCGGCGACGCTGGATACGTGTATGACTAGCTATGGCATAGCCGCCTTGATGGACCCGAAGCTATCCCTTAAGAGGGTATAGAAGTCGATCAAGTTATTAAAAAGGAGTTCACAGAGCTTAATACAATACATCTTACACTAACGTTCGCCCTTGTTATTCGTCTTGCACAGCGTTTACGTCAAATACATCTAACGCGCGTTTTTTGCTTCTTTTTGGATAATCTATTTCTAAATATTAATGTTGCGCAAGCACTCCTTGCTTTACGTATTTGCTACACTAGTACTACTTGCAAAAACGCTCAAGGAGTCCTTACATAGATCTTGAAATTAAAAGAGCATAATTGTGGCCTTGTTTAGAATTCTATGCTTACAAAAGTTATTGATAATACGCTTGTTTTTCTATAACAGAATAATAATGCTGTAATAGGCTGTACAACTGCTCACCCTCTCAAAAATAATACAGTTTTATAACTTTGCAGAAGGCCCTTTCTTACGTTAACTAACGCTTGAATCATACGCCCTATTTTTAGTGACCTGCCCTTTAAACAACTTTATATCCCTTGTGCTATTAACGACTATAACCACTATATGAATGGCGTTGATTAAAGTAATCAATTACAGAAGAATTTCACAGCTTATCGACTATATGAACATCGCGTTTAGCGCCCTTTGTGGTATTATATTCTGGATATCTGTGCGGTTAACAGTTACCTAATCTGGAAGAAGGGTACTACAAATACTTCCGAAAGAGGCGTTGTAACGGATACTTCCAAAAGAGGACAACGCCCCTTTCGGAAAGCGCTCATTGACGCTCTACTCAAAACACCCTATTCAGAGCCTACTAGGAGTAGGAGAGAGTACAAGCTCCCTCTACCAAATCGAGATACGCAGGACCATCGTTGGCAAGCATTTCCGAAGCGGGGACTCTGTATATAGTGTTGAAAGGTTGCTTAGGAGTCAAAATCGAAGAATATTGATACAAG